ACGTCATCAACGAGGTAAAAATGATTCTTTAAAATCAATAATTGATTTTAAAAAATCACTTATTATGACCAAGTCAAGGCAGCAGTGGTTTCCCACACCCTCGCATTCGGCAATCTGCGCGATGTAGGCAATGAGGTCGCCATCAACATGAAGTTTAAGTAGAATCCTTTTTTTTATGGAATTTTTGTTGGAGAAGGGTGAACCGCAAATCAGCAACGGTAATTAGTTTGCTCGCGCTGATATCTTGGTGCCTCGTTAGTGAACAATTGACCAGCTAAAATCAAATCAAAGTGGGTTAACGGTTTTCTGACTCGCACAATAATGGCAGAAGTCAAGACAATGGATGTTTACCCCAACGGAAATCCGAGAATTAACAGAAATTCCATCTTATTAGCATCTGATTTTTTTAAAATTTGCCACAGATTAGGTAAAAAAAAACGCAAGCGGGAAATGACCTAAAAACTAGAAGGTTGAAAAGTAAAAAAAAGATAGTAGTCATTCATGGTTTATTTCCTGGCAAATAATGATAAAAAGTAAGGCAGAGGTAATTAAAAAATATCAAGCTACGAACTGAATATTCTTAATGTAGACAAGATACTTTTCTTCAAGATTTCTTACCACATAACTTATTAAAAAGTTAATTGGCCTTCAAGCGGAGGCGTAGTCCGGATGATATACTGAACATCTGTTTCAAAGCGAATTTCTCAGATATTAGGCTTATGTTCGTTGTAATGTAAACTTCAAACTTGCAATGTGAAACAAAAATTAAGTATACCAAAGTGATTCTTTCAGCGTGATGTCCGACGTTACGTCTCAATATTTTTTTTATACAGTAACCAAGTAAGAATATTCCCTAATAAAGTAAACTAGATAAGTCAAATCTGAGTCTCAACTAAACTGTCAAGCCGAAACTTCCGTTGCTTGTATTTTATTGTTTAACGATGAGAAAACGTAAAAACAATTTTCAGAAAATCCTCGGCCTTGTTTGTAAATACACTATCTTTTAAGAATACATTTTATAAAATAAGCACATAAAACAAGAATATTCAGTCTGGGCCAAAAAAAATTCTTATATATGGAAAAAAAAGAGAGTTTCAGAATCCCACACTACCCCGCCTCAGATCCTGCCAGGTAGAATTTTTTGTAATTATTTAAACGTAGTGCCTGTTTACTAGCATGGAAAAACTAAGAGCACTTCCAGATGTAAACGAATTTTCTCTTTCTACGTTTTTGGAATCATAAACAATTTATATAACAAATGAAAAAAAAAACATGATGTTAATTAAAAATGAACCTCTTATAAAACACAACTGAGTTTTATAAGCTCCTATTCTTTTTTTTTAGAAAGAATATCAACAATATATCAGCCTGAATATATTTTTTAAAAAATGAACAGATCTATAACAGTAAGTTCAGTTCACATTTATAGTGGAAAACACTTAGCTGCCGTCTGATCGACAGTGCGTTCGTTTGCAATACACTGATTTCACCTTAATATACTCAGACGATTGGCTGAATGACAGTATCCGTGCAAATAAAAGTCGTAGCGTGAACGGTATGCATTTGTAACCAAATGACATCAATTTCTCCGGAAAGAAAGTATAGCAGCGCAGCAAAATGGGCGTTATTAATTTTCTGGAGAACTCTTTTTTCGCGGATCCTTAATTTCGCCACTTTTTTTAATGTGGTAGAAAGGGAAGTCAAATTCATAAATTTCATTCGACATTGAAAGCCCTGCAACTCAAGCGATGTAAGAGTGAAAAGCCTTGTAGGTTATCCGCAGTGTGGATATCTTGGGGGCAAAGCATTTTGTGTTGCATAATAGCCGTTTTTCCAAGCTTACCGCACTTGAAAGACAAAAAGAATGTCCTTAAAACTCAGTTCTTACCACAATTGACAGCAAATAGATAAAGCAGCAGTTCCAGAAGTCGGTGCCCTTCAAATCAAGTGTAAGGCGGCCTGGCAAATAGAAAAGAAAATGTTTGCTTGCTACCAGATAGCGTTGGAAATTTTCCTCGACGAGCTTACAATATTCCAGAAAAAAATTGCAACTTACCCTACTTAACGTATGTCTCTGTCTCGGAGAAGTTGATACCCTCAATTTAGAACGTTGTTGCCTAAATTTTCCAATTCTGATGTCTAAACCTCAGAGATTTCAGGACAAGTTCAGTATACTTTCATTGAAGAGGTCATCGCATCGATAGATGTGAAAGGCTGGAAGCTATGCTTAGACTGAATGTGACTTATGGGAAATCGCTTATGACACTCCTCTCTCATCCCAGCCCAAAATTGTCAACTTCCCTGCTTAATCTCCTGTCTTATTGTAAAAAGTCCCTTGTCATTGAAATAAGATGATATTTATAATCAAACGTACGTTAATTAGAGAGAACACGCTTTGAATGTGGCTGAGAGGAAATCGATAGTTCAGAGTCCTCTCTTTTTCCCGGTATGACGTCAAACCCATTGTCGACTTCTTTGCGTAATCTGCTTTCTATTGTAAAAGGTCCGTTATGGTTGAAACTAGGTGATACTTATAACCAAACACTTCCTGACATGACCGACATGTATTTAACAGAGTGCGGCAAGGGGAAAGGAGAAGTCTATTGTCCGCTCGAAACTGCTGATTATTCAAATTAAGATCGGCTCGGTATTCCCTTGGGAGATTCAACGTAAGTGTGCCTTTGTTTTGCAATTTTCTGACGCGAAAGTTTGCTTCATTTGAGGCTGGAAAAAATACGTGATACTTCAGTACAGACTTAAAAAACAGTTGCATTTGCTTTAATTATCAACATATCTGCCTCAAATGTTAATGAAAAGTAACTCAAAAACTTTACCGCACTCCTGAAAAAGTTGAATTTCCAAATAATGCGATGCTGAGGCTTTCTGGTGATTTTTCTATATTTGGTTTGGTTTTCTTTGTGCTCAAGTCTCTTTTGGGAATTGCGAGATAATGGAGTCTTGAAAAGTTTGCAATTTTGACCCTGAAGCCTTGGAGTCATGTTAGAATTTTAATATATCGAATATACTTTTGTAAATGAGGTTTCAAATTTAGCGCGCGTGAGAGCGAGGAAAAGTCCCGGATGTGTCCCGATACTCTAGGCGATGCAAGTGATGTTTATAATCAAACAAAAACACCAACATGCAGTATTTTTTTTCTCTTTTATAGGACTTTCGCTTTTTTTTTCAAACATAAAAAAGCATAAGGTGAAGGTGAAGGTGGCTCCACCCAGTTTAGCCTGCGCCACAGACGAACCTTAAAACTCTGGTTAAGTCCGTCTGCGAAATAGCGCCGCCGAAATCCTTGTTCTGGGACCCCACCTGTCAGTACCAGGATTTGAAAAGGCGCTATGATTGGCCTGTTAAAAACGCCATTGTCGATTTGCCAATCGGGTTGAAAGAAAATTCGAAATGCACTTCCAGTAATTCCTTGAGTCCGGCGGGTGCCCAGAACAAGGATATCATTGCTGCTTTGCAGACGTTACTAACCGAGCTTAAATTATGTCTGCGCCGCAGGCTAGACCCAATTTCTTCATTGACGAAACCTACCGTCTATGAAGAGGGTCCTGAAGGGGTAAAATGGGAACTGGGATTGGCCGGTTTTTTGCCCTGGGAAAATGGGATTTAAGCCACTGGGACTGGGATTTGGTCACTGGGAATGGGAATAAAATGTCAAAAATGGGAATGGGATAAATAGTTTGGAACCATGACCAGTCGAGGCATCACTTATTTCCTGGAGTTAAGAAACGTCAGAAAATTGCTAATGCACCTTGTTCTAGTCAATTTTAGCATTTTTATCTAGGTTTCCCCCGAATGGCCCCGATTTGCGGTCAACGATATTCGTGTACAGCGGTGTGTGTTCCAAGCGAAAGTGATGAGCCACCTAATTCAAGTGAGGATACCAGTTTACCACCAGAGTCTCCCAACAACGAAAGGGTAGACAGCTTTAGTGCGAGGGACAGTGACAGTGACTCTGAAAAAGAGGTAGACAGCGCTCTTGAAACAATGAACATGATCCGTCCGACCAGACTGGGAAGAGTAAGAACACTTACAAGTCGGATGGCAGATTTCCTGCAGGCAGGAATGGCAGGAATGTGAAGTGGCAGGGACTAATCACTATAAACTCGCTACTTGAAAGTTTTATTACTGTCTGAAATGATCCTGTTATCTTCAGAACATCGTTGTAAATCCTTGTTAATTTTTGGGTCTTTGTTGGGTCGTATTTAGAAGCCGTAATTTTGCGGATGCGAAGCAAAAAGAGGTGGTATGTATAACACTGGGATTTTTTCCAAAATTGGATTTGAGCACTGGGAAGTGGGATTTCGAAAAAAAAATGGGCTGGGAAATGGGCCTGGTAGCCCCCCTTCAGGACCCTCTATGAACACGAAGTGCAAAGATGCTTCAAACAAAGAAAACAAACGCTTTATTTTGAAAACACTAGAGAACACCGACGTTTTTAGTAAACGTAAAGGCATGTGGCATCATAACCTTACATTTTCAAATACACTGTGTACAGCTTCCGCTAGACAATTTTGTTAGATTATATTGAATATATCATATGCGTATTCGTCCTTTACAATGAGAGCTACAATTACGACTGGCCAAAACTAATCGCTAAAAACCAAAAACCAAGACTAATTGGTAAAAAAAAACCATATTCCTCCGTTAATGGAGTGTTTCTTTACCATGTCTCAGGACAGGCCGACTGAATAAACTAACAAATCAGGAACGAATTGCAGGGATCCCGGATTCGTTGAGTTGAAGTACGGATTCCAAAGCTTAGGATTCCAGATTCCACAAGAAAAATAAAATTTCCGAAGAGGAGGCGATAACAGGATTTCCCCACTAAAAGTTTTTTACGTCCTACTTTATCGACGGTCGAGTACTCTTTAGGATATTTACTTTTTATATCGTATTGGACGTTTTGTTTTTGAATTGATTGATTGAGTACGCCCCAATATACACATACAAATTCTCCAAACTGACCTCTATATATTTCCTTAAAGAATGAGTTGAGAGAATTTGATAAAAGATCAAAGCATTTTCTCTTAGGTGACCATTTTATTAATTCTCATAACTTAGTCTCTTGACAATGTATGGATATCATTAGGAGAAAATTGAAGTTGGTCAGTATTGGGACTTAAAGGGTTAAGGACGACCATTAACACAGGATAAATTGTAATTTAAGCAATAATTCATAACGAAATATTACTTAACGCTTTCATCATTGCAAATTTAGAAAAGTCACTATGCCGTTACTCTAGAAGAACTGAATGGTGAGGTCAGTCAATACATGTCTACTTTAATAACGTACCTAATTCGTACATGAATGTATTATACTGATAAAATACTACATTTAAGCGGAGCTCCTCTCGCGCGACAGCGGAGCCTCATAGCTGAGAAAATTTTGTCATCTATCCATCCGAGGAAATTTGGCTATGACGTCAGCGTACGACCTCCCGTCCGTACAGACGCTGGGAGAGGGGGAAGGAAGTCAGAAGTCAGCCCGTCGGGGGAGGAGTACGTTATAGCTGAGGTGAAATTTTGCATTCCAAGCACCTCGCTCGTTTCGGTGGTAAATCACATTGCCACGCGGCCCGGACTTTTAGAGGAAAAAACAAAACAAAAAAAAAACGAGTCTTTCTTTCCACTAAATTTAATGTCTCCATTAAATTAGATAACAGGGAAAGAGCTAAAGCGAAAAAATTAGGTAACAACGGAGACTAATTTTGTTGGAAGAAAACATGAAAATGATATAGCGGCGGTTAGAAAATGAGAAATGCTAAAGAGAGCGTGGCTAAATCTATATATTAACACAGAATGGCTGAGTGGCTTCAGTCTATAAAGTTTAAAATGCAAAAAGATTTTTTTGTTCGCTTCACAAAGCTCGCGAGAATCTACGCCATGATTAACCTAGTTTGTACGGTCAAAATGGCTCTCGTTCTTTTTTTGCGTTTAAATTGACCTCGACTTCGTCTCGGTTATTTAAGACGCAAAAAAATAACTTGGCCAATATTCAGCCATCTTCACCGTACGCTTGGCCAATACTAAACGCAAATATATTACATCTTACATTTCATTCTGGGAATAAAATATAGTAACCAGTTTAAATAAACTTCTGAGTGTTGGGCGGTTCTGGGGTTTGTTTTCAAGATTGTCTCTAATTTGTAAAATAGCCTTCGTATTCCTTTGAAAATGTTTAATATCAATTGGTCAGTTGCTATGGTAACATATACAGTACTCTCACAAAAAATCAAAGCAAACAACGCATTCATAATATTTATGTCATGCGAATAACTTCTTAATCTGGCTACTGTATAGGTAGCCTCTCACGCAGACACTCTTTTGGCTCGTCACGCAATCAACGCGTGACGAACCCCTAAGAACGTCTGCGTGCGAGCTACTGTATAAGCTAGTTGGCTAGTTACAGTCCTGCTTGAGACTTTCGCGTCCTGAGGCGGGTTTTCATTTCATGATTGCCAATCCCGGAATGTCCTCCTAGCTCGCTTTTCCTTGTTTTCCTCTTACGAGTTCCATGAGCCTGCAAATCACTTGTATCAGCGGGTGGTTTAAAATCCGGCGGTGCATCCTGGGTGAGTTTAGTGGATCTCAGATTCCTCTCGGTTGTATATCGCTCGGCATTCACTACTTGCCCATTGCGGTAACCATTAGCTACGACAAGCTCGTTTTCGCTGTCTTCTTGAACGAAGTGATTGCCGTTGATATAGTTTAAGGTTTTAGAGGTCGAGTCCTCGGCTGGTAATTCATCTAAGAACTGAGCCTTTCTGCTTCCCTACAAATGAAAAGTTTAAACGTAGTGAGTTCTCTGGATACCAAGCTCATTTACAGAGAAATCAGTGTCTTAAAGTAGGCGTCCAGTGACAGGAATCCTACTTTACTCAGGCATCCAGGCTATCAGTAGACTACGAGTTCGAAAAGCGCCAGAGGTCCGAAAACTTATTCAAAACTAAGAGCGTCCACTTTAATTATTATTTTTACATTAATATTTGATTTAAAAGGTTAAATGTCTTGGCTAAAAAAGTGTCAAGGTTTGAGATTTTAAAAGAATTGCGTCAAAAAAGAGTTTAAACGTTCTATTTTAAAAATGGTATGATTCCCATCAAAATATGAAAATATTTTAGATTTTAAAATGATTAAAAACCTTATTGTTTAATATTTGGCACTGATAATAAACTAAATTGGTCAACTTTAGGCTGCTTAATGTTATCGCTTAAACTTTAAACACAAGTTTAGAATCACATTTAATAAAAGGATCCTTCTGTTACAAAGAAAATGACTTGTGAGTTGTTGTCTGAGAGAAAGCAGAGATTTTAGGCAGTTAGGCACTGGCCTATTGGTCATGTTGAAAGGGTCGGTGTAGTGTTGTGTCAAATTGCATTATGGGACTATTTTTGGGGACGAATTTGGAGCCAGTTTCCAGCCTGTCAACTTCGCAAATTAGCCAATGAAACAAGAGATGGCTTTCTACAACAGTCCCATAGTGCTATTCAACCCAAAACCGATCCAGACCCAATCGCCAAATGAATGTAATTTTATCAGTGTTGTTTACAGTCAGCATTAACAGCCTGCTTTACCACAGAGAAGCACCCTTTCTAGATTAGACCAGTTATTGATTTTTCTTACGTATCTCTTGAGCATTTTAAGTTTCTTGATAATGTTTGCCTTCAGTTTATCACCTTCCTGAACAAAGACATTGAGAATAATAGATGATCATCATTTACGTTACACATGAGCACAGAGCCTTTTAATATGTCAAATAAGAGTTAAAAATTTTTAATGAAAAAGTCTTTCACAGGTGTCACAGTTAAGGTTAAGTTCTTGTCGTAGGTTAAGGTAAAAACTTTTGTACAGTTTTTCAGTTACAGTAACAATTAAGTCATGTTCATGCTGAACTTAAGTTTTTAATTTTGGCATTGTCAGCTCTTTAAAGGGTTTTTCTTTAAATGACAGTTATTAGAAAAGAATTTTAGGATATAACTGACTGGGAAAATATGAGCCCAGCATTTTTCAATACTTAAGAAGCAAACTGGGTAGTTAAGGTTTCATTATTATAACTCTTAAGCTTAGACTGGTTGCATAGTGTATATGACACATATGCACTACAAAGAATGGCAACGCTACAATTATGACTAAAAGTAACAGGCAAATTCAGCAAAGACAACGTGAGGACTTTGACGACGTGACACACAAGTCTCTCCAACCAGCTAGCAGAGCTTTTCTTTCACTTGCCCGATCGGATTGGAGTACTCGAGAAAGACTCTGCATGAATTGAGCAAGATCTTTGTTCAGCATGCGTTGCTTACTCCTGGGCCTGATAACCGTGCGCTCTGTACAGTGGGCTCAGTTATGACCATCAGTTTATTGATAAACGGATGCTCCCACTAGGAAAATCAGTTGGACTAGCCTGCCAGCAAGCCCTCCGGCGTGCTCAGGTGGTGGGGCAGGAAAAGGAAGGATAACTTGCAACTACGTGTCAGGAATTTGAATTCCTATTCCAATTCCCCTGTGGCTCCCTGTCAACTGAGCTCTCAGAGTTCCGCCAATCAGTGCGAAGCGGAAACGAGTGCAAGTGTAAACAAACATTGAAAAACACGTGCCAAGGGTAATGACGTCATTACTAATGTCATCTCCACCAATCAGCATTTTGAGATTCAAGGGTCCTCAAACCTAAACCTGGACAACATACCTTTGACTTTGTCATAACCATGAAATACAGCAAAAAGAAGCTTATTACCATCTGGAAGAACAAACATACAAAAATATACCATAAATGTTATATCACCAGGCTTTCTCTGTCCAATTCATTACATGCCTTCCTTAAAGAACATCTATTTTATTAACCGGAAATCACGTTGTCTATGGTGCCACTCGGAAAATTAGAAAAACAAACGAAATTCAAAACCGATTTAGAGAAAGTTTAATAAACAATGAAACCTTCCTAAAACGGACTCCACAATCTGCCGTTATATTACAGAGGTGGTACTGCTAGTCCTTGGTGAAATAAAAGTGCGTATTTTGACTCCACTACACAACATCAACAGACAAAACGTATTGGCAAATAAGTTTATTTTGGGACGGCTTGGCGAGAACCAACCCTACAAAGTACTTATGTAAATACAATAATGACAATGATAGGTGATTACTGGTGAATACCTAATGTACAACACTCGTAAACTAGCTTTCACAAAAAGAAAAAACTCGTTCTACAAATGATCGCTCTTGACCTGAATCCCCCAGTTAAGCACGCAGGCTTAGTGCCAGTTAGGCTGCCAGTTATTCTGGGGAAACTAATTAATAAAACTCTGACAACATATAGCTGGCACAGGGAACACGGTAGGAGCACAGAGGCTAAGCAAAAAGAAAAACTGTTATAACTGGTCGATCTCGACCTAAATCCCCCAAATAAGCACGCAGGCTTAGTGCCAGTTAGGCTGGGGAAACTAATTAATAAAACTCTGACAACACATAACTGGCACAGGGAACACAGCAGGAGCACAGAGGCTAAGCAAAAGAGAGATCTGCTACAACTGGTCGATCTCGACCTGAGTCCCCCAAAGAAGCACGCAGGCTTAGTGCCAGTTAGGCTGCCAGTAAGGCTGGGGAAACTAATTAATAAAACTCTGACAACATATAGCTGGCACAGGGAACACGGTAGGAGCACAGAGGCTAAGCAAAAAGAAAAACTGCTATAACTGGTCGATCTCGACCTAAATCCCCCAAATAAGCACGCAGGCTTAGTGCCAGTTAGGCTGCCAGTTAGGCTGGGGAAACTAATTAATAAAACTCTGACAACGCATAACTGGCACAGGGAACACGGTAGGAGCACAGAGGCTAAGCAAAAGAGAGATCTGCTACAACTGGTCGATCTCGACCTGAGTCCCCCACAGAAGCACGCAGGCTTAGTGCCAGTTAGGCTGCCAGTTAGTCTGGGGAAATTTAATAAAACTCTGATCAACGGATAACTGGGACCGGGAACACTTCAGGAGCACAGAGGCTGAGTGCCAGGAAAACTGGGAATTATCTCCACTAATGTACCCAACAAGGCACGTAGCCCAATAACCAGTAAGGCTGCCATAAAAGGCTAGGGCAGGACATTGAAAGTAAACAAATCGATAACGACCCTGGCTAGAAGTCTGTAACTTTGCCTGCAACCTAACTGCATCAAACGAGACTTATGTCGCCTCCTAAAGAGCGGTTCCGGGACAGCTGACCTAGATATACATAGAAACTAAATATATCAAGTAAAGGAGTAGGTGCAAAACTAAGATAACTGTACAAGTACATAAAATAAGAAACGGGAAAAAACTGAAAACTAGCAGAGCTGAGCTACCGCTTACAAACTGAAGTAAATGCGGTCAGACGGAGGCCAGAAAAACCCTGCCCAAAAAAACCCCGAAGGGAAAAAATGCGGGTAGGAAATCTGGGTAGGAACCAAGGTTCAAGCTCAAAGCCCTTCCTACGGGACTTTACAATGTCATCGAGAATATGTTGCTCCTAAAAATAAATAAACCAAAAATAAAGAAAAACCAAAGAGAGGGTGGTTCGTAAGCCTAGATGACGTACACGTGATATACGCAGCCTTATATACCCCCGATATGGCTACCCATGGTGCACCCGGCCTAGTACCCAGGCTCTTTTTTTATCTCGTGCCGTCAAAATATTTATTTCTGTCTTCTTCGCGGGCTCATTCGTCAGAAATAACATATTATACTAATGCAAAAACCTGGAATATGGAGGGGGGAGGGGGGGGGGGGTACTGTAAGGTTTTGTTCACACTATACCATACCAGGTAGCTTTTTCGCTGGCACGAAAACCATACTGGATAGGGCTTCTGTTTACACGTAGGGATGGTGAATTTGGTGTGATTTCTGTAACAGAGTGAAGCTGCACCGTGCTGATCTCTAAAATGGAGAGGTCTAAAATGATCTCTAAAATGGATGGGTGTTCATAATATTTGGGATAGTATAGTGTCGGCACGAAAAGCTAACCGGTATAAGGTGAACAAAGCCTAAGACTAATCAAAGGTAAATACCTGGACTAAGAGCCAAAGAATAATGCTAACAATTTCTGTTTTCTTGAACATATCCAGTCCATATTTGATGCAAATGAGGGCCTCCAGACATGTGATAACACTGAAACATTTAATAATATGTACTCACACAAAACAATAGTGTAAATTAAAGTATCAGCAGATCTATTTTCACCATTTTCAGCATGTCAAAAGTTTACATAACGTAAAATTCCGAAAATAAGCCCCTCCATGTATAAGCCCCTCCAAATTTTAGCCCCTCAAAATCGTAACGCAAAAAACCCTCTGTTAAATCGCCCCTCCGAATATAAGCCTACCAGGGGGCTTGTACATGGAATTTGCTCTCGAATACAAAGAAAAACAAAGCTGAAATGGTAAATTTCCTTCCCACTACAAGCTAGCCGAATCGATTTGGAAACGCAAATTTCCCTCCGTACATAAGCCCCTTCGAATATAACCCCCTCCAAAGATAAGCCCCTCAAAAAAGGCGCTTTGAAAAATATAAGCCCCAGGGCTTATTTTCGGAATTTTACGGTATTTTACAACAAAACAATAGAGAGGTTAAACATCACGTTTACATCAAATGGCAAGCACGAATTTAAACCATGTGACCAAGTTTCCCAATTGATCAATATTGTTGTTTACTGTTCATTATTTCTACACATAAATTAGTAGTTTCATGGAATTTTTTATCCATAAGAACTGTTTTAAGCTGTTTTTATCTGCTCATAATCCATTTTGAGACACTCTCAACTTGAATCTGACATTTGCCGTTTGCTGTATACGTGAAGCTTAAACTCTCTAATAAATAATAACAAAATGTGAAGAGGTACCAAAAGATGTACATGTCTTCAGTGAGTATTAGTTTAATATCATGGTATCAGTTAAAAGGTAAGCATATATTTTGTTTCATGTGATGTTGTAGCTTGGCCACTATTTTAACCTTCCAACCCTGCTCCAGGGCCTCTGTTTCATTTTGTTTACAAATGTACTAAGCACACGTACCTGTAGAGTTCAGATAAAACAGTTACAAGCCTGTACTAATTTCAGGAAAATTACAAAAAACTTCACATCGCAGAATTTGAAGTTTTGGTTGATCAATAAACTTACATCAAAACCCATGCTTGAGTTCCAAGACGATAGCTTCTAGCATCTGTTATGTAGACATAGTACTGACTAAAAAAAATAGGAATGTTTACATCAAACTTTTCAACAAAGAAACAATTTTCATGTTGCTTGGTGTGATAGAATGTAGCAAAGAACCCATTGCGAATACATGCTGAGAGAAAATTTGTACCCGGAATCAAAATTTGAAAGTAAAGTATTTAAAATCTATGACTTTGCCTTAGTGGATTTGGGCTAGTGAATTACAGTAGCTACATGTCAACCCTGAGGGGTGGGGGGGTCACTCGAGGGAAGTGTGGGTAGAGGTGTGCCCCTGATCATGAGGCCTTTAAATCCTGACCCTGTTTAAGGCAAAAACTGCTCATTTTGCTCCCCTGTTTATTCTCAACCCTGATTCATTTCATTTCAGATTCAGAATTAAGTAACTTTTTAAAATAACATCAAATTTATTTTGTTGGAAAAAAAAGTTGTTGGTACCACACATGTAAACCACTCATCGCCCACCTTCACACCTTTTCAAAGGTCTCTGGTCCAAAAAGACAGCCTGTTCAAGATGCCAAAATTAATAGTAAAATTGTATACCTTGTTTAAGACTCAAGACCCGGAAAACCACACCCTGATCAGTGGCACATACCTGCCTACACAAGGTTAAGGAGTGCTACAATGTAGCCCATGAATTACCCTTCACACTTGTGGTTTGATTGGCTAAAGGGTGCTTGAATTCCACACTACTCTCCTCGGGACTTTGTTACTCATTTACGTGCTCGACAGACAATATCGCCAAATACCCAGGCTTTTTATGGACAAAAACTGTTACGACAATGTTGCTTACCGTAATGAAGGTGCAACAATGAGACTGATGAGGCCTAAGCGATAAACGTTGAGCCAGTGAGGGGTTGGAACCCAAAGGATGTGCTTTAGGAAAAATGTGTTCAGCTCCACGATCTATGGGAAAAAACACCAGAACTCAGGCTACATTCAGCAATCAGTGTCTTCCCCAAAATCTAAGCATGGTATGAGCCCTCTTATGAGAGAAGACCCTCAATAAGACCATAGAAATCCTTTTCCAACCAAGTTCAGGAATGGATCAACCCCAATAAGCATTTCTCAGAGGAAAACATCGTGGATAAGACCAAGCCAATTGGAGATGCCTCACAGTCACATAATACATTTTATTTGAGTAGGTTAAGAAAAAGCAGCCATACCATAGGCTGATATGGACCTGATGTGAAATTCTTCAGTGCACTGGCAACAGTGTTCCAGATAAGAGACAGGTCTCGGGTCAATGACTCGGCAAAGAAGGCTTCCTGACCCGACAGATAACATACATGTATAATGATTAAGTTAATTATGACGAGAAAAATTAGCAGGTGGTCTTGGTGACCCCTCAGTTGGTCTACATGACACCCCACTTCAAAGAATTAACTGGAACACTGCACCGATGATAATGATGATGATGATGATGAATTTAATAATAATAATAACAATAATAATAACATAAATTCAAGTGCTTACCTGTGATATTACCATCATCTGATATATGGCAAGGAATCTCATGTATGAACATTTGGGGTCCATCCAGCGAACATGACTCCAGCTTTACGTAACAAAAAATAACAGCAGTTAGCGGTGACCTCCATGTACTACATACTTATCATTCACCCAGGATTATTATGTCAAATTCATGCAATAGTTTTAACTTAACTTATTTGTCAGAACTTAAAGGTTTGCTAGACGGTGAAACAAACTAGCACTCAGCCATTTTGATGTCATTTCTATGGTCGATAAGAGTATAACCATGGAAAATCGTTGTTGATTTGTCAATAAGCCATTCGTTGGTCAGTATTTCAATACGTCAATATCTGTCTGGATTTGTTAAAACGTGGCTAAAGAAATTTCAAGTACATTTTAACTATTTGACATCTAAGTGGAATGGGAAGCAGCTAAAAGTCACTAGCTGAAGCTAAACAATGACATCATTATCGTTGGCAATAGACCGTAAAGTTCTCTCGCAGAAGTAACAGGATTTTGAGATGAAATAAACAACATTTGAAATGTCAAGAAATTGTAATCTTTTAGTCAGTTAAACTGCGAGGCCCACAGCTCAGTGTTGGCCGAAAACAGATTAAGAATCCACCATCTTTGAGCACATAATAGGCTTTCTAAGACAAAATCACTTAAACTGAACACTCAGGAAGCATTTTTATGCTTGGCACAAAGTATTCTGGCAACACGAGCTCAACCGCACATACCTGAGATTTGTCTGTCAACACTTTTGGTAAATCACACAATAAAATAATGACTTTGGCGGCAATCACAACACTTCCGAAAACCATTCATAATACTTCCACACTTAGCACGGGCGAAACATCGTCAAATTACTCCGTAAAACTCTCGCTTTGTCCATATAAATCGTCACATGGAACTCTTCCCGACTCACTGACAGTCGATTTATTCAAGATCCTGGATGTAAACCAGCGGTTGAAAAGGAGACATACAGCCCCTGCCTTCCACACAATTTTTTACTAAGTCTTTGGCCTGGTCAGAAATCAGCATGAATTTCCATCTTGCCTAATAGATTTCAACCCTAGAACCTACTTTGTGAGGGCAAAGACTTGTTACTGCTAACAACAAAGCTTGCAATATCCAATCTTTCCGTCTCAAGCCCGGGATCAGTCTATCACCCGTGTAGCCCAAAATGAGATGAAATACCAGAAGACATTGGATGCAGCAGACTTTGCCAGACGTGAGAATTGTTCCTTCATAAGGCTTAATGTTGCCTTCCGGAAAACTTTGTTCAAGGCAGCCAAAAAACCTCTATGACAACCCACTATGAGAGCCGAGTTCAGTCTAATACGAGCACTGATTGCAAACTGACATACAGAGAGAATTATGGGAAGTTATGAACAACATTTTGTTTTGGGGGACAGGGGGTGGGTAATAGGTTGATAGCCAGCAAGAAACTCATCAAAGTCTATCTACTGTGGCCTATTCGGTACTGATTAAATAGATAAAAAGTAACTAAGAAAAAAAAATCATACTCCACCAAAACACTCAGTCAGAGGGTGTATAAGAGAGATTTCTGTAGCCATGTTTTTGCAAATCCAGACAGATATACATGTACTGGTATCAGTCAGTCATTATTCAGCCAGCTACACTGTAGCTTATAAGCTAAACCAGTCAGTCAATTGGTTTACCAGCTAGACCAAGAGTCAATCAGCCGTAGTTACTAAAACAAGGAATGACCTACAATGATCTACAATGACCTACAATGACCTACAATGATCTACAATGATCTACAATGACCTACAATGATCTACAATGAGTTACTATGAGCTGCTAGGAGCTAAAATAAGTATAAAATGAGTTAAAATAAGCCCTACAATGAGCTACAAAATGTGTCACGCTTGCACGTGACACTAAGCTCATGGTATTAAATTGCCAAGCACATTTTGAAAAGGCAAAACAAAAATAAAGCCTGATCTCAGGTAACTTGAGAAACTTGAACATAAATTATTGCAATCGCATTTTTACCGGTAACAGTATTATACCCCGTATCGATGGAAGTCATCCTGCGCCTGTGTGAATCCAGTGTATTGTCACAGTACTGTTTAATTTGTTTGCAAAAAAAGACAACACAAAACACAACTAACGGGAAAGGTTGCAAGGGAGGGATGGTTTGGACAAAAGTCACAGTACTGTGACAATACTGTGAGAGGATTCACGCAGGCGCAGGATGACTTCCATCAATACAGGGTATAATAGTGTTACCAGTAAAAACGCGATTGCAATAATTTATTTTCAAGTTTCTCAAGTTACCTGAGATCAGGCTTTATTTTTGTTTTGCCTTTTCAAAATGTGCTTGGCAATTTAATACCATGAGCCTAGTGTCACGTCCAAGCGTGACACACGACAAACGTAGCTTAACATCATTGTCTGTCATTTTGTAGCTCATTGTAGGGCTTATTTTAACTCATTTTAGCTCCTAGCAGCTCATAGTAGCTCATTGTAGATCATTGTAGGTCATTGTAGATCATTGTAGGTCATTGTAGGTCATTGTAGATCATTGTAGGTCATTGTAGGTCATTGTAGATCATTGTAGGTCATTCCTTGTTTTAGTAACTACGGTCGATCAGCTACATGTACTAGTAACCAGCCAAGAGTTAAACCAGCCAGCCAGTCAAACAGCTAACTAGCCGGTCAAGTCAGTCAGAAAATCAGCCAGCCTGCCACTCCATCAGTAAGCTAAACAGTCAGATAATCATACAGTCAGCCAGTCAGCCAATCACTGAAGTGCATCTTTGTGTCAGTCAGTCAGCAAGACAATCGGTACTCTATAGCAAGCTACTTAACTAGTGAGTTGATCAATCTTTATAAACACAGAAAAAATGTTTGTTGGTACCAGTAAGATGATAAACAAACCTTGCTGGTGTAAACTGCATAACAGCACGCTGTAGCTTTCCTGTTGTAGTATGGATATCCCTTTAAATAAAGCAAAATGGTATTGATCAATACACTCAATGACAGAAAGTTTTCTGCAGTTATAAACTGGACATTGTGGATTTTTTTCATTCGACAAATCAATGTGCATTGTACAGTGTAAATGATAAAATTTTCCAGCATTTCATACAACATTTTGACTGTATAATCCAGTCTTTAAAGCTGAATTGACAGTTGTGCTAGCTACTGTTGTGCTCAAACTCAATTGATTGAATTAAATTTGACTTTCAGGTACTGTAAGTTTGGCAGTAGCACAATGTTTAACCCTTTAAGTCCCAATATTGACCAAGATCAATTTTCTCCTAACAATATCCATACATTGTCAACAGATAAGTTATGAGAATTAATTAAAACGATCCCCGAAGTAAAAATGCCTTGATCTTTTATCAAATTCTCTCAACTCATTCTTTAAGGAAATGTATGGAGATCAGTTTGGAGCATTTGTATGTGGATGCTGGGGCTCAAAGGGTTAAAACCAAAATAAAGAGCCACCACCGTGCTCAAGCATTCATGTAAAAGTTCACTAATTAAAAGCACTTTTTATTTTTAAGTTTTGTTTTCCGCAACAGCTATTTTATTCCACTGAGTTAAATTCCACATCTGAAACCAAGTCGTGCTATTAAACAGGCCTAAGATAATTAAAGTTAATTATTAGAAAACAAACTGCATAAAAATATTACAATATTACAAGGATGATAAAAATTAAAAAACAAAAATTATTAAACCACAAGTAAAATGCTTAGATGTAATTTACTTGATGCTTTCCCAGTGATAGTTGCGCATCTCAAGTTTCTTGCTAACATAGAGGCCAAAGTGAATTCCTAAGCCATTACAGATCAAGAAATCCAAAACCAGTGCATCCCACCAACATTCCGCAAAATTGGGTAACAGGTGAGAAAAGAAAACCTGAAAGGTTATTATTACAAGTCAATAATTACTTTAAGTAAGATATTAACCCTTTAACTAATTCACCCCTGGGAATTTTGCCAAAAAACAAGTTTTGCAGAAGCTAGTCGAGTTGTTTTCTGGTCACTGCCTGCCTATTAAGGGCTTAAACTAAAAGCCATTTACAGGTCGTGTGTGGGTAACAGGTGAGAAAAGAAAACCTGAAAGGTTATTATTACAAGTCAATAATTATTTTAAGTAAGATATTAACCCTTTAACTAATTCACCCCTGGGAATTTTGCCAAAAAACAAGTTTTGCACAAGCTAGTCAAGTTGTTTTCTGGTCACTGCCCGGCCATTAAGGGCTTAAACTAAAAGCCATTTACAGGTCGTGTGTCTTCAACCACGATGATCTTCTTTACATGTGCATTCTTTTATTCACCCGCAGTTCAAATAAATTCATATCTTCATTATTTCATCTTCATTACGAACCAATTTTATGACCAGTTCCCAGTTGGTTTAATTCTAGCTTAATTGGTTTGAGCACTGCACTAGTATCTTAGAGTTAGGGTTTGAGTCCCAACAAGGCTGAATTTTTTTGACCTGTTAGAACTGCTTGGTCACCCGCTTGCTAGAAACATCAGCCTGTTTAAACAGCTTGGTTGACCGATCATTGAAAACATCAGGTTGTTCCAACAACTTGATCACCTGTTTTTTGGAAACATGAGGCCATTAAAACATTTAATGTAGTGTACATTTCCACATGACAGGTTACAATTTCTAATTTTTGTGGCATGACATGTCTTTTTTGACTCTTTTTTTCTTCTCTCTAGTAATCTTATCCAGCATTCTGCAGCTTACCTCAGTGACCTCCCACATAATACTTGAGGTCCACAGTAGTGGGGCATTACGGACAAGCAATGCCTTCAGAGCCCACCCAAAGAAATGAGAAAATGCAAAGACATCGCAGTGTCCCCAAAGCCTTTCCCAAGTCAGTTGAGAACAGTTCACAGCATACTCCTAACATGAAAAAAAAGTATTTAGTAGCTTATTAAGTTTAAACATCCCTCTAAACGATAGCCTGTGTAGCAGTAGCCTGTTTCTTTAGGGCGAGGAAAGAAACCTTGAGTAGGCCTGTAAAAAATAATAAACAACCAGTGCCTGCTACGCCGGCTACCTAAACATTACATTGTTTTTGTGTGCCAGTACCACCAATTAGCCACTATTGGTGGTGTGAGCTTAGTGTTGTGCGACCACAAGTGGAAGATGGGTGCCCTAACAGGGCTGTCACTGACGCCAGAGGCACATGGATTTCCCTCGGACTCTATGAGCATGACCTCTGGCTATTTCCATAGGAAACAAACTAGAAAAAGAGAACCAAAAGCCTCCACAAAAGGAGGGACAGAGAGGGGAACAGAAAAAATGCTGCAAAGGCTACAACAATAATATGGTGCAAAAGTATGTTAGCCATACTTTTGCAAAGTACAGAACAAAAACACATATTGCTAACACAAGCCTAGTCTATAAGCTGAGCTACAACTGTGGGCACGCACCTGCTATGTGGACAACACAAACACTCCCACAACCTTCACTACACTGTTACATTTGTATACATGTGTGCTAGTGAACAACAATAGCATGCTATTAAATGCCTTCTCATTTGTTCCTATCAATTTTATATACTTCCACTACCAATAATCTAACCTTTGTATCCGGTCCTTCATCTATTAACGCAGGATCGAAGAAGAACAAAATATTTCGGAAGTCATCACGAGTTTGGAACAAGGCAAATGCCAGGAACATCATGTAAAGAACACTAATACCTATTGAAATACAAGACAAGTAATTAGTTTAATTTAACCAAGTTTAGTGTGTACCATGTACACTCCTAGATCTGCAGCCACATTTATAAAGATCTCCCAAGTTACAAGTCAAGTTATTATCAATGGTAACGAATTAAGTAATAAAAAGTAGTAAAAGTAGCGTCCTTATTAATGCTTCTTTGGTAAGACTTTCTTACAGCCCCAATTAAATATTTTATCATGCATACATGTTTCGACTCTTTGCATATTAACTATTTGCGTTGTGTGAAATAGCATCAAATTGCTGCATACACAATAAATGTTTGAGGATGTACAGAAATCTCACTGGTTCTTTAATTAACTTAACAATTTTCATTGGCAAAATGCAATTTTTTCTTCTTCTTCATTGTCTTTTTTCTTCAAAAGGGTGGGTCTGTTACACCTCATTTGAATTGATAATTAGGAGTGTAGGAGACATTAAAAGTCGATGACAAGATCATCCGAGTTGCCACAAGTCCCACTAGGAGTGTTTGGAAGGGCTGATGCTAATATTGTTAACAATAATATTTCAATGAATACTCATCTGAGCTTTCATACCAAATATCAACCTCCAAAGTGCTGGATGAGGGCGAATGAATGGTCCTACACCAACAAAAGAAAAACAAATGATTACTTTTCTCTCTTTTCAATTTTAACATAAACAGCATTCATAAGATTTTCAAGAAATTGTTAAATGTACTAAACAAACAAAAAATTAAGGAACAAAATCAAATTTACCATTTGGCATGACAAGAAGACTGAGAACAAGAAACACTACAGCAAGAGAAACCAAACCACTCCAAATATTCTCTTCACGGGTAGCACCAGGGTTTCTAAGGAAAAAATGGGACAAAGGTAAGTACACAGCCATAATACACTGTAGTATGGCCACTAGGAGCCTTAGCTAGAACAGTTTCAATGATACCTACACTGCGAGCAGAGGTTTCTCTCTTGTATGGCTTTTAGAATTAATACAAAAATGTTTGCGTGCCTTGTCTGTCCCTTAGTTGGTATGTTTACGCCCCATTTCTCACGGCACGTAAACAAATTAACTACCCAACAGACAAGCCACATGAACGAATAATAAGGATTTGTACTGCAATGTATTGAAAGTTAAATGAAATGGTTAAAATGTACAAGGCAAAACTCAAAAAAGATATTCTGTATTGTTTTCTTATTGTTTCCTGCCTTGTAAAGGCTGATTACACTTACCGAGACTTTGATTGTTCCAATTGTTCCGATTTTGTTATACATTGTTATGAAAAACCATAACGGCAAACACACCATCACATGGATTGCACTGACATTGCTCTTGTAAATCATGCATTGTGCGTGCAACTCAGAGATTAGTCACTACAAGTTATCTGCTAGCAGATAACTGTCGAAACTGTAGGTTACACTGATTTCCAAAATTAAATGAAAGCGTTTAGCTAATGAGAAGACAGACAGTGAGCACAATGTATAAACCATTTTACTGAACTTTCAATCAATTCCCTTGCAATCCTTATAATTTGGTTTTTAGGAGGCTGTTGTGAGCCTGGGCCTGCCATGGGCACAGAAGAGTTATCTTTAATCTTGATTCAAGTAAAGTTTCATGATGCACTATTCTGATTGGCTGTCCCAGCAGGCAAGATGAACCTATCTTGCCTACTTGGTATTGACTACATTTTTTCTGTAAGAAAACAGTATTCTTTTGGCTCAGTAACAAATCCTTTATTTCCAAGCTTGTTTAGAGATGTTTAGATGGCTGGACATTGGACTTATCCTTCGTTTGCAACCACAAAAACAGTTGAACAATATCGGAGCCACATGGGATCATATATCATCAAAATAATATATTTTTATCCGTCTGAGATTAAAAGACACATTTTTATTAAACATAAATTCATGTTCTATCTTGACATGTATTATTAATGTAGCTGTTATAATATATATGTATAAGATATGAAAAACAATCTGAAACGTGGGCCAATCCCAATCAACAAGTCAAGACATAAATTGATGCATATCACGATGAAAATTTTTTTCCGTGGAAAAATAATTTTGAAGATCTAAAATGACAGCACAATTAGCTAGCGACAAACTGTTATACAAAAATTAATGTTCAGCTTATTGAAGCGTAACGTACATGAAGAATCGAAATTAAGCTTTAATTATCCACCGACCAAATCTTACCAAAAATAAAATGATAACTGATATTATTGAGAATCATGATCACAAAAACCAACAGTCTCCCCTAAAGCTACGATATAAATCAAGTGCCTTGAAATAAAAAAAGTAACTGAATTTAACGTGGGCGAACAAGCTCAGGCGTAACTAACGTTGATTATAGCTGAGCACTTATAAAACACATGACCGTGCAAAAAGCGCATTTAAGCTTGCAGGCGGCCAGTTAATGCTTTGTTAAAATGTAACTCTTTCAAGTATTTCCATGCTCCTTACATTTTTTTAACAAATCTGCACAATCTTCGTTAAAGAAAGATGCTTAACAAATCCTTTAACCTTTATACAAAGTACCCGCTCACCTGGTAAACGCTGAATAAATAAGGTAAATAATCATACACGAAAGAGCCGTGATCGACCGAGGCTTGTAGAAAAAGTCTAGCGTGATATCCTCTACGATCTGCTCGTTAACATCTTGGTAATCGTCCGTGGAGATTGTAGAAGTTGTGGAAAAGGTTCTCCTCCGACGCCGAGGACTTCGATCGTCCGCCATTTTACAATTATGTAAATTTCTATGGGCGGTTCTCTTTCCTTTCCAGTCCCTCTCGCTTCTTCAAGCTAACCTTCCCAGTCTTCTTTCTTTTCGGCCAAACAAAATGGCGGTGAGTGTCTATTGATAATCGGAGCAAAGCAATCCTCTTACATCCTCGTCGTTTTTGCATTTATCTGGTTTTAACTATTTGCAAATTTTAGAAATATAATTTCTCTTTTGGTCCACGTTCGTAGCTAAACCTCCTTTCGGGTAGTCTACCTTTTATGCAGCATAAACATATACTCGGTCCGAGTGTTATCGATAATATATCGTTCCGTCAGTTCAGTTTCTTGGGCTTTTAAATTTTCTTTTCTGTTTATACTCTGAGAAAGTGCGCTTCTGCGTAGTCTTAACCATGTAGTGAAACTCAAGTCGAGTAAAAAGATCTTCTACCATTTAACTTTATCTCAACTTCGATTCGCCTCTACCGTCCATTAACAGACGAAAAAAATAATATTAATATTGTTTTAAATTTGCCCAGTATCCAACCCTTGCATCATCAGTTACGCATATGTAGTGCCCAGTATATAAAAAAGAATAGTTGGATGAAGTTTTTGTGATATCCGTAATAGACCTTGTCACGGTTTTCGACGCCATCTTCACGAGTAGGCAAACCTGTGAGAAATTACAGTGTTAGTATGAGAATTTAATGTCGAATAATTTCCATAAAACGGCTGGTTTAAAAAATATATGAACTGTAAACTAAAGCTTCACTCTTAAGGATTCTACTGAAAAAATTTAAGGGCATTACATGTGCTAGAAGACCTAGAACCTTTTTTTAAAAATTTTCTATACATTTGTCTGTAAAAATTTCCCGGGAAAAATTGCAGACAAATATATGGAAAATCTAAAGCAAGCTTCTGGAGAAATTTAAGCACAGTAACGCCCCACAAATTTGTTGGTAAAATCCTTTGCTGTGTAGCTTTAGTTTACAGTCCATATTTTTTCCAGAACAGCTTCCAGTTTTATGGAAATTATTCAACATTGGATTCTCATACAAACACTGTAATTTCTCACGCGTTTGCCTACTCATCAAGGTGGCATCGAAATCCGTGGCAAGGTCTATCCATCAGTCAATTCCAGCTGTGCCCATTTCTTGTGAAAAAAGAGTTTTATTTGCATGAGAATGAGAAATCATTCTCGTATCAAGGGCTGAGCATTTAACCTTGTTTTGATACAGAGGCCCAGGAAACTTGCAAATGGGCACCTAATTGACATTGAATAGGGTATATTGATAGCTCTTTAACTTAACTTTAATATACCATAGGTACAAGTAAAATCCAACCCTATGAGGGATTTACAGATCAGGAAACTCTGTCTAAATATTAGCGTTGGAGAGAGTGGTGACAGATTGACCCGTGCTGCTAAAGTTCTGGAACAGCTTACAGGGCAACAGCCTGTTTTCTCTAAAGGTAGAAATTAAGAGAATCATTAGTGTTTTATCTGTTATTGAGAAAGCAAGAAGTTGGTTCAAAATACAATGCATAGAGCTCGCTTAGCCTAAGAAAACAGCTGAAATTTGGCGATGTCACCAACTGTTTCCCCACAAAATGATGTCTGAGAAACAAGCACAGCTGAGAAACGAGCACAGAAATTCCATACTGATGGCGTGTCACTACCCAGATCTGGGTGGTGCTTCTGTTTGGTTGAAGCAATTTTCGTGAGCGGCACGACCAAGCAGAAGCACTTCTTAGATCTGGGTAATGACGCTTCATTAGTGTGGAATTTCTCAGACGTCATTTCGCGGGGAATTCAGTAGTGGTGTCGCGAAATGCTGGCTGTTTTCTCAGGCTAAGACCACCTTTGATACCTCAGGGACAAGTAAAACCACAGTTGGTCCTAGCATGGTATAACTGACCGGTTCTTTGGATGATGATGATGATGATGATGATATAGTAATAGCAATAATAATAATAACAATAATAATAATGTTAAACTGTTTTAATAACAATAATCATTTTAATAATAAGAAGAATGAATGATGCACGTGTCATCAGCTTCCCCCAGGGGTAGGACCCCATGGGAGAATACAAGGAGGAATTCTCTGTCCTTAGGGAGGGGAAAATTTGTTGCTTTCCATTATCTTGAAAGGAAAGGGGTGAGGGAATTCAGATTTTTATAACATCATAGACAGCAACCCTTCTCTAGCCTGTAACTATTGAGAATATTAATGTGAGCATTTTTATATGGAGTGGAGATCAGGGGCATTTTTCAGTGAGAAGCACTTGACCGAGGAAATTTGTTTTGTTAGCCAGTTTGGTAACCTGTATTTAGCAGTCATGTGCCAAGTAACATATAGTGTTTTTATTAGAAAGTCTTAATGGTCTTTCCAAAGTATTAGAGTGGAAAATGTTTTTAAGGCAGCCCTCTTGTTTATTCCAAACCCTCCATGTTATATTGCATTCTGGTGACCAATGGTTTATTTCTTGGATTCATTTTAACAAAAAGGGAAAAAAAGTTTAATTCAGAGCTCTAAAGGTTTTTACAAATGTTAAAACTTAGGCATAGTGAATGGTTACCTATGAAATGTAAACTAATCTTAAATTGAAGAATCATTCTGTGTGTTTCTTCCCATCTCGCAAAATTTTTCCTGCAAAGTCTCAGATTTTTATAACCATCCTCTCAGCCTCAAGCTAGTGAGTATTCTGTTAAGAGAAACTTTTTTACCCTTTAGCTCGTTATACCGTGAGGTCTTTTGGAATTCGAAGAAATGAGAAGATCTCAGTTCATTGTACTGTACGAGGTCCAAAGGCAGAAGAAATCTTGGAGAAGGGCTTGAAAGTGCGGGAATATGAGTTAAACAAAGGAAACTTCTCTGCTACAGGTTTACTGTATTTACATTATTTTTTACTTTTACCTGCGTTGAAAGCGGGGCTTTGGTAGTGATATTAAAAAGCTTAAGGAACAACAACGCTGACAGCTACGAAAAATTAGGGCTGCTTCAGTCAACTTCAACGTGCTCATTCCATCTTGTTCAATTTGTCAAATGTTGGCAATTTTTTTCTGGAGTTGAATTCCAAAAGACTGTGTCAAAGTTCAAGAAAAGAAAAAGAAAGTCTTGTCTTGTGTTCATGTCCTCCACAAAATGTGAAATAAGGAATTTTTGTGTGGTAGTTCTGCAATGACAGCAAAGAAATAACAAAAAGGGTGATGCACGTCCAATTTTGTTGTTTTGCCAATCTATTGTGCCTATTGCTTTTTTACCCTTCTTGCTGACGTTGCCGTAGTTGATGCTTAAGCATCCTATTATCTGTGACTTTTGCCGATTTCTTCACAAGCTTTCTCTTACCATGTTGAAATAATGTTCATTCATTCCACATGTGGTTTTTGGCTCACAATAATACTGATAACAAAATCTTTTCTGAAAATGAAGAAATGATCATCACAGTGAACGCAATTTATGCAATTGCGTAAAGAAGCCTGCAGAAAATTCAGGCCTTCAACGGGGTTTAAACCCGTGAACTCACTATTACTGGTGCGATGCTCTCCCTTGAAATCCTGAATTTCTTTCAGGCTTCTTTACGCAATTGCATAAAATTGCGTTCACTGCGATGATCATTTCTTCATTTTCATTTCATTTCCGCAGTTCATATACGATTTATTTCATATATCATTAACACTCATTTCTTTCATGGGAACATATAAACCCACAATTGACCTGCTTCCAGTGTCAGTGGCTTCATAGCTCAGTTGGCAGAGCATCGCACCAGTAATCGCGAGGTCACGAAATCAAACCCCGTTGAAGTCCAGAATTTTTTTCAGGCTTCTTTACGCAATTGCATAAATTGTGTTCACTGCGACGATCATTTCGTTATTTTCATTTCATTTCCGCAGTTCATATATGATTTATTTCATATATCATTAACAAAATCTTTTTGTCGCTGATCTGCTTCAGGAAACTTTGGCTTTGGAATCCAGGAGCATATTGATCTAGGAATAAAGTATGACCCAACCATTGGTATTTATGGCATGGATTTCTATGTGGTCCTTGGTCGTCCTGGATTCAACGTGGCAAAGAGAAAAAGAGCCAAGGCTCACGTGGGATTTCCACACAGGATTACCAAGGAAGAGTCCATGAAGTGGTTCCAGCAGAAGGTATGAGTAAAGCTCTGAATAATTTATACCTTTTGTGGGGTGTGACTGTGGTATGTGTTAATCTCATAGAAGTTTACAATAAACAATAGAAACGGTAGAGACTTGGTAAATTTTATGCAAAAGTAAGGTGTGTAATCTCCAGCACTTTGTTAAATAATCAATTACGATGTTGGTTAAAAGTAAAAAGGCTTAAAGGCTTGTTTACAGTGGAAAGTGCACTTAGCTTATCCAGCTAGTTTACTGGCTTTCCACTCAACTACTTGGAAACAAATAATTCAAATACAACATAACAGGATTAAAAACCCCAACTGGCAGGGGGCAACCAGTTGGCTATTTACAAGCATGGCCGAGGATTTGAACTCAGGATGACCGAGAACAAATCCAGCAAGTTGCCTGAACGGGACTCAACCCGGTACCACCGGATTGCGAGTCGTACGCATTGACCACTTGGCCACTCTGCCTCCTAAGTAATGAAGCCTGCGTGGCAGGCATTGAAAGGGCTGGACAATCCCACTTTTCTCCTCCCCCACCCTCCCCTTTTTTTGTGCCTACCACACCGGCTAAAATCATGAGAAAGTTTTTGTTCAGGGATCCTGTGTGGCTTTTCTCTTCAAGTCTCCTTGTTATATGTCAGTTAACCCTTTAAGTCCCAATATCAACATACAAATTCTCCAAACTGATCTCCATACATTTCCTTTAAGAATCAGTTGAGAGAATTTAATAACAGATCAAGGTTTTTTCTCTTTGGTGATCATTTGTTAATTCTCATAACTGTATCTCTTGACAATTACTGGATATTGTTAGGAGAAAATTGATGCTGGTCACTATCGGGGCTTAAAGGGTTAACTAGTTGCCTGACATAGTTCAGATTTAGACTTGATATAACAATGATGTGAGGCTACTCGGTTAAAATTTTCATCGCTCAAGGGCGATAAATTAATGGCTTTTGTTCCCTTTATTTTGTTTTTCTTTCAGTACGATGGAATCCTCCTTAATCCCAAGAAACATTAATAATCCTGAACTTCTTTGCCAATAAACAAAAGGTATAAAACAGCTGATGTGTCGAGCTATGCATGTCCCCCACCCCGTCTTCTTACAACAACTATATCAACACAAGGCTTTCAGAAAAAAAATGCAGTTGTTTTAGTTCCAGCAACATCTTTAGGCCAGTCAACATAGGTGACGTTTTCGATTTTTGATGCCAGTTTGCTGCGAATTTTCAGCGTTTATGCAGATGGGACCCCTGTGATATGAAAACTTTAGTTTGGTTGTGGAGAAAATCGCATTACAATTCAAGCCACTTTGGAACGAAACAACAATTTCGCAGCAACAAAAATCCATTAGGGTTCAGACTCCCAAATGTCTTCTCGTCTCTATGCTGTTGTATACCACTAGTGGTCGTCCTTCTTTCCTCATAACCCCGCGCTGCGAGCGAAAAAGTAAAATTGTGCAAATTAATGGTAGAAAGGAGTCAGTCTACTGTGACTAAAAAAAAGAGACTGCTCGCAGTCTGTCGAAGTCTAGTTGTTCTGGCTCAACACACGATTTTCCACCCACTCCATTGCTCTTTGATAGAAAGTGTAATATACCAGCCTTTGCATTAATCAATTCTTTATTACAACACACTTGTTTCAAGCTTCAAAAATATCTTATGTATTTGCTTCCACAAACGTCTTGCTCCTCTAGAATACACACCAAGTCAAAAAATAAGTCAATGTTTTCTCTTGTTTCTTAGCAGTCATTCTAAATCGTTTTTCAGTTAATAACTCGCCACGCTAGAAGACGCCTTCAAGAACAAAGGCTTCCTTGCCCAATTTTGCACGCTTACCTTACTTAATGATGTAGCGAAACGACTTGTAGCGAAACGACCGGACACTTTTAGCACATCCTGCTTAATAGATGCCAGGTAAATACCACTTGACCATAAATGGCTTCTCTGCAACAAACTTCCTCTGAACACGACGAAAACTGAGTGCATGTTAATTGGTTCTGGACACTACTAAAATCACCTAGGATTGTTATTGATGAGAACATGGCGTCGCAAAGTCATGTTGACAAACCATCCAAAAAGATTGCCTCTGGAATAGGCGCCATGAAACGAATTGGGCCTTTTGTTTCGCCAGATATACCACATTCCCTCTACAATGCCTTGATACAACCCTTTACAACTTGCGGGGATTGTAATGCAAATTCTCCGCAGGAAATGTGTGTAGCACAGTGCAGAGAATATACTTTGCTGATATCAGGGTTTCAGAAATTTAAGGCAAGATTTTGAGGGTGCAAGGGAGTACATTAACACACGTCTCTCCCCCCTTTAAAATGCACACACTTATTGTAAAGCGGTTTTTGTTGTTCTTGAAGGCGATACTCACCCCTGTCACCTACTGATATTTATCTGCCAACCAGAAGGGCATTGGTTCTTGTGACAAAAGGTTCTTTTGTTTCACTCGTTACAAATTTGATTAACAAAACAATGTTTGTAAACAGTGATGTCTTCCTTAGTTAAGATATAAACTATAAGTTAGTACTAAGTACCTCTAAAATCTCTGTTGAGCCTTTGATTTGCACCTAAATCCGTATTACCTAAGGTGCAGCTAAGCCATTACATCCAACACGGTAAATTACATTTTTTGCCCATCTTAATTAATACCGCGGGAAATATCCCTCAGCTTTTAGTTTGTCTTGGTATCTGTGGCATTGAGTAATTACTATAAGGACTTAACCGTTTGAGAAAGTCCACATAAAACCTTTTCTTTTGCCTCCCTATAGGCCATTTACAGGTCGCGTTCGAGTCTTGGTCAGGGTTGTGCCGTATTGCATTATGGGACTGGTTTGGCCCAGTTTCCTGCGCAACATTGTAAAAGACAATAGAGACCTTTAGATTCTAATTCCAAGTAGTGCGCGCGCGTGAACCAGCGTCATTTTGGCGGGGCTTGGTAGCCGTCGTCATTCTACTACGAGTTTTAGCGAGAATGTCGTAATGGCGGAAATGAATCATCAAATGTTAGAAGTTTTATCATTTTGCGATCGAGAGAGGGCCTAACCTCCTTCCATATAGATAACAGTGCTATCTTTTCTAATGAAAAAAAGTACATTGAAGCTTTCCGGGGTGTCTACTTTTTTGAGAATACGCGAAAAAACTTTAAGTTAAATCTCGTACTCGTAGTCGTTCTCGTCCTTGAATCTAAAGGTCTCTAATATAACAGAAGAGTGACCATAGTGCAAATCAACACTGAATCAGGTCTCACGCGGATGTCAAAATAGCTAACAGTCCATTTCCGAGTTGCCTCAAGCCTGTGTTTCAAAGCGAGGCTAAGTGCGACGCTACTGATATGAAAATGATTTTATATTCTCATGAAAATAGAACTCATTTCCACGAGAAAGGTTTTGCATGTAGCCTCGTTTTGAAAGTGAGAGTTAATCGCAGTCGGAAATGGCTCAATTCCAGTCTAGGCGTTCGCGGTCTGAATCGGTTCTGTAGCCTCAATTTCTTTCAACAGAGGTTTAAGCGCCTTGTTACAACCCTTAGAGCCTCCTAAGTAAGATATGATAGCCTTTTTGACGTGATAGCGTGACTGTTCTGGAAGCACCTTCAGCTCGGTGAGGTTCATTCGGTTCCAGTCGTTCATCGTCCTTTGATGATCCTCTTTCATTCTCCTCTGCGCTTTCGTTTCTTGGAGGCGATGAATGTCGCTTCTGTTGAGAGAAAAGCAGCACTTACTGATCACATGACTGTATTTGATTTCTGTTACGACCTAAACTCGGTTATGTTAAGAAGTGGTACCGGTGAAACATCGATTTCACTTGCGGTCGTCAAGTATTTGCATTGTCTTGATGGCGTCGATAAAGTTCTCATTAGGTTGTAGAGTACTTTATGTTCGATAACAAGAGTTAAATACCGTCAACTGACGTGATGCAACTCAGGCCCCGTCCACACGTATCCGGAGATTTTTGTATCCGCAAATTTTTTTATGCGGATACACCTAGCGTCCACACGTGTCCGCCGTATACGCTCGGTGTATCCGGAGATTTCTGTATATGCTCTCCAGAGTGGAAATTTCTGTATACGCTGTTTATCCGGATACGTGTGGACCCTCGTATCCGTATATTTTTGTATACACTGACGTCACAGTATCAGAACCAGTCTTTTTCCGCGCGAGATTTTCCAAAATGGCGGCGAGCAGAAACGTTGTGTGTTCAATGCTACTAGGACTACTTTCAAGCCTAATGGCGTGTCTCGAACTAAATGTTGCAATGTTAAATCTAAACTTTAACTACTTGAGAAGACGTCTAAGCATTATGCGGCTTCTAGCCATATCTGATTCAGGAATCAGACGCCAAACAAATGAGTTGTCTTCGGTTTTTTTCTGTTTTTCTCTTAATTGAGACATTTTTTATGGTGTTTTTTAACAGGAATTTTTTTCGCTCTTCAAGCTCACACGTGTTGAAACTTCAAGTAAACAAACAAGAAAGCCGCGAATTTGTCGCCAAAATTATCGCAGGCTCAGCTTTCTTTGTAATGCGCATGCTCTGTTGACTAATCCTTTGAGATGTCCGGATACGAATCGGATACGTGTGGACGGTCGTATACGATTCGTATACGCTACGTGTGGACGCAGATATTTTTGTATCCGCATAAAAAAATTGGTGGATACAAAAATCTCCGGATACGTGTGGACAGGGCCTCACTTTGATTCTAAAGATAACTACCGCACAGGGTGTCAAAACGTCAGTCACTGTCAAGACTCACTCAGACGATCATATTCCACCTACTTATGAAATGACTCTTGGGTTCAAGAGATTCACTGTATTACTGTTTTGCTCTTTTTTAAATTGAGGTCGGCAATGGAAAGTCAAAGTGTGTTTTTTGGCTACTGTTAGCCTTGCAGTGTGGATGCTGTTTCTTTTGTTAATTGATCTCCTTTTAAGTTACATGGCGATCGCTCCGTTCTTAATACCAGAGAATTGTATGCCAGTAGACTACGAGCAGTCTCTCTTTTTTCTTAGTCCGTCGACTGGGCGAAACGCGCGAGAGAGACGCGAAAGATCACACGCGTGATAGACTGAGGCGCGACTGCTCGCAGTATAGCATGCCAGAACAACTTTGTCTTTCCCTTTTTTGGTACCTGAAGGGCTGCACGTGTGAGTAATTCATGTTAAAGTGCTGATATTGCTTTTGTTGAAATCTTGGGTAAGCTACTTTTGGAATTGGAGGAAGTCTGGTGCTGCCTTGACTGCTATCTTTTCCAGATACAGTCTTGCTCCTAAAACAATAAAATAACAATTTAAAAAATGAAGAAGTACACAAACCGGCTAAAACAACTACATCATGCCCTTCCATATTGATGGTGAAAAATTGTGGACACAATTTTGCCTCCAATTATGAGCTCTTGGGTTTTTAATTCGCAAATTGCAATTTCCCCCCCGTTCAAGCATAAAATAACCCCCTCTCCCCCGTGTATAAGCCAATCAAAAAAAGGCCTGTAAAAAATGTTCTTGGGGCTTAATTCAGAATTTCACGGTATTTGTAAAAGACGCGCGGTATCACATGTACAAGGTATTGTAGATACATACCAAATGTGAGGTTTATAGAAACCTCGTGGGACCACTGAGTCATACATGGGTCCTGGAAAACTGTGAAGAAAGACAAAACGGCAATTATTCTAGAGGTTTATAATCAACCACCAAAATTTATTAATTTAGCACTTGAAAGTCAGTACATCGCAGTTATCTACGTAAATGTAACTTACGTGGTTGCAAATAATAAAGAATGCAAATAGCTCAAGAGATTCCTCTGTGAGGAGATTTGCGGTGCAGCCAGACAAGATATGTCTTACTGGTCGATAAAAGAATGAGGAATTTGTTAGCTTTGAAAAAAGGCTATCTAAATATCAAAGGGTTATAAGGCTGGATAGGTACGGGAAAAAAGGGAAAAGACGGGAAAAGAGAAAACTCTCTTTTTGAGGATTAAAATGGACTACTCCTGTTAAGTTGTACACCCTTTCCAGCTACTTTTGTCTGAGATTGTAGGCTTTTCTAAAATGCAAACTGAGGATGGTGTGACCGTGGATCGTACGGTTAATCCTCAGGCTTTTGTTCGGCAGGTACTGTTTTGTGAGAAAAGGAAGACAATATGAAGCAAATTTTTGTTTAGGGAAGGTCAAAGACATAGATAAGGGAGTGAACCTTTTAAGTTTCTAAGGTAACAAACATTGTCAAAATAATAGTAACTTACTGATCCATTCTCCACGACACATCTGGGTCTGAAAGAGAAAATTGTGTTGTTAATTGATGATGGCTTGCCTTAGTTTGTAGAGAGCAAAGAAGTAAAAATGGAACTATCTCTCTCTTTCATTTAAAATTGCTAAATTGTACCTTGTGTATGTAGAAAGTGCGCTTTATAAATAGTAAATTATTATTATTATTATTACTATTATTATTATTATTATTATTATTATTATTATTATTATTATTATTATTATTATTATCCTCTAATCAAACACTGCATAGAGGCAAGCATTAAGTTTTTCACTTGTGACAAGGTTATGTGAGTGATAGTTTTTCGCCCAGAAACGAATAAACTGATCATTTGAAAAGAAATTTGGCTCCAAACATGGCGATTCACCGAAGTTTTTGGGCGGCGTCTTCTAGAGCACAGACATGACTGCTAAACCAAAGTTCAAGAGATTTTTTTTTCATAGAGACCATGCATAATAAATGTCTTATTAAGTCAACCTTTCATGATTTTCCGGCCTTCATCATTATATTATTCTCTCACCTACAAGCCTTAGGGTCGTAGCCCTTGTGCCCCATCCTGGTCGTGGAACATAATCAACCTGAAAACAGTAAGAAAAGGTGTTACGGTGAATTGAACAGAGAGAAAAACTGGTAACAACCCTTTCAAAACCTGATGTAGCTTCCTCCCTAAGAAAATATCTGATGGATTTACCCTTCCCGCATAATATTGCTTTCTTTTTGAGTCAGTAATTCCGGGCTGTTTCGTCATCGCTCAGTAGTTCTGCACTGACAAGGGAAGGCACCTGAGCCGCACCGCTGTCTTTACTTGAAGTCAGTGTTCCAATTATTTATTTATTTTTCGACGATTAGCGTAAATCTTTTAATTGCCAAAATTATTGGACGAATGACTAAGTCCTCCAGTTTTGGTCAAATGTCCGGGGAAGTTTAGTCGGTCAGAAACGGGGAGATATTTTGATTTAATACTTTTTAAAGTTTTAATGCTATGCCTGGAAAAATCTCCAAAAATATGTCATGGTTAGTGCTCCCTGATGGAATTTTTTTATATTTTCTTCATACTCTACACGGGCATTTTTATAAAGGCCTTAAGTAATGACTTAGGCACAGAAATGACCCTAAAACAGCAATAATATCCTCGTGACATTAGCCCCTTTGAGAACTGCTCGATTATAACGTATCTCTAGTGTAACCGTTGACATACCTGGTCGTTTATCATGTAATTAACGATGTACGTGTTGTAGTACGGGGACAGGTCATTAAAGATATCCGGAGTGTATGGTTTGCTGTAAACATCAACAAATAACAAATTTGATGTTAGAAATAAATGCTATCGATGTAAACTTAATAACCAATGCCTACGTTAACAGAACTTACACTTCCGGTTTGGTCAATATTGTACTGTTTTCAATCATTTCCTTCTTCACTCGATGCAGTTCACAAAGCATCTGAGAGCGCATTTGTTTTTTGCCGTTGGAAGACTGGGACTGAGAATTAGCCTCTTCAGCTTCCTCCTCTTTTGTTTCTAAATAATGAAAACGATTGATACATTGCTAAAACATTAGATAAATCAGGCTAACTTTAAAAAAGCGTAGGCCAAACGTCGAACTTTTCATGAGACGAACCAAACTCTAATTTGGGTCGACCTGAATTACGTTAAGATCGTCTGTTAACTGAATCAGACCAAAAAGCTCAGATTTTTAGGAATTTTAGCCTGCCAGTGGTACATTTTCTCTCCAACAAGGCTAGATATACTTTATTTTACAAATTTTTAATTTATTAGTTTACTTCGTCGCATGTGAAGCCCGGAGACGATCTTCAGACGTTCTGCCTTCAGACGGACAGAACGTGTTGGATGATCCAAACTCATGTAGACAAACCTAACTGAGACAAAAGTTAAACTTTTCATGAACTTAACTCACCAAGTTTGGTTCTTCTCATGAAAAGTTCGACGTTTTGCCTAGTCCTAATAGCATTACCCATGACAGAACAGAAACCCATAACCCGGAGATAATAACTCCCATACTAGGCCTATACCATTTCGTTTTAACGGACCGGTTTATTTTTAGATACATTTTGTAACATTTTTTCCCGCGAAAATGGAATCTTCACTCCCTCTATGAGCTCATTCGAAGTCTAACGGGTATTAAAAAGGAAACTGAACTAAACGTCATTAAAAGGTTAAAAATACCATTCTTATGTCTGTAGGTTTTGCCGACTGGATTGTAGGTCTTAAAGGATATTCAGAATTCGCGCCAAAGCGGCCGTTCTAAAAATATGCTGGTTGGCAAAAAAAGTCGTGACACGAGGAAGTTGCTCGCTGCGGCTAATACGCTCCTGATTTTGATAGTTTAAATTTATTTATTTCTCTGGAGTCCCTACCCCCTAAGGTGTGTTCAGTAAGATGAGGGTCGGCGCTTGTGTAAAATATAGCGAGTGCAAAAAAGAACCTGTTTATTGCAACCTCGGCAAAATAAAATGTGATGTTATCTCGGTGGGGTGAAAGGCAAGACTTCATGGTGTCATGGAGGAGTTTGACTAATCGTCGCGGGTCGCGGGTCGCGGGTCCAAAGTCGCGGTCGCGGGTCCAAAGTCGCGGTCGCGGGTCCAAAGTCGCGGTCGAGGGTCCAAAGTCGCGGTCGAGGGTCCAAAGTCGCGGTCGCGGGTCCAATGTCGCGGCAGGGGAAAATGATTTGGGGTTCGAGGTAACAGCTGAGTGAAAACGACTGATATGAACACAATATAAAGGGAAAAAATCTTTTTTATGCACAATACTCTACGGTAGCCAATTTACAGGTTACGGATGTTAGAGTCAACAAAATAATGTCTCAAGGAAAGACCTAAAAGAAAAAGCTGGCCGACTTTTGTGTTCAGCGCAAGTTTATTTTTTTTTCTTTCTGTCGGGCCCAGTTATGTGTAAATTCAGCTTTGAATATACTTATGCATAACAGTATCTGATAAAAAAAAGTTACCATAAGTTACCATTGCTTTCTTGTTGTCGATGAATTGCTCACAAATGCTTAAGGGTTCAATTACTGAAAAATATGCGATGCACTTCATAGACTACAGATTATAAACGTTACAACAACTTAAAGCCTTTTTTTTAAAAAAAGCGAACTCGGGCTCAAAAAGCTACGAGTCTGTCGGTAGAAGAAACGAGAACTCTTACATTTAACAAATGTTTTCGACAAAACTGAAAGAAAATGTAAATAGGCGCATGAAACTTCATTCAAGCGGTATTCAAGGCATGAATTTAATATGGAAACAACTAATAATCCACAGAAAGGAGTCTGTTCCTCGAAGGAAGATTTTCGCTTAATGCTTTTATTTTTACAACTGAGACGGCAACCCAGAGAGTTCAATATAACTTCTTGTTCTCTTCACCTAAATGGCAACCAGGACAACCTGACAATAGGAAGCCATTCAATGTGCGTCTCAGTCAAATCTTGAAAACATGCATCGTAAATAACTAAGTGAGTAAGTAGGTAAGGAAATAATAACGCCCGATATCATGAAGCTGAAAAAGAAAGTAAACCAGACACTGAAAACGGTAAGTTATCAACTCCACCAGAGTTAAGAAAAGACAATAAATTAGGTAAGTAATTCCAGATTCCAGGTACTGGATTCAAGTCTTTGTCAGTAGAACCAAGAGACTATGATCTATTCTCTCTTAGTAGAACTTGGATTCCGGATTTCAATCGTTATTGGGAACAAACTCCTTTCTGTGGACAAGAGAGGATAAAGCTGGAGCTTTATCCCCTCTTGCTGTGGATTAGTACTTGTTTTTTATTTAAGTCATGCCTTGAATACCCGCTTGAATGTACTTTAGTGGCACTTCAAGCCCAACGTCTCTCCTCCTCCTTCCAGTTACTTGTGCAAAGAGTTTATTTTGGGAGTTTGCGACTTTTACGCGGGTAATCTTTTAGAGGACGGGTAGCTTGCAAACTAAACTGAACGCAGGGTTGTCGGAACAGCAACAAGAAGATTTATTCCAAAGAAGAACGTAGTTTCCACTGAGTAAAACTCCACAACAGCACGTAACTCGTTAACCTTACGCGGCCTCCGCCAACTTGAATAAAAACTGCCTTCGTCACACTTGACTAAACACGACCAACGTCAAACTCTCTTCTCTTGTGAAAACTAGTTAAAACTTAACTCGGGCTCGCCTACCTTATATACGTTTACAATAAGATTCTAGAACTTTCCAAATAGTCTAATTATAGAAAGATTACAAAATATACCGCTTTTAGAAACGCTTACACAAGATCCTAAAATAAACAAATTATGAATTCTCGCGAAGCTTCTAGAACGTCACACTAGTCACGCAATACAATTTTTCGTAACAGCGACCAGGAAGTTTTTCAACAAGCGTTTTCTTTATTTTTGCCGAAAACATTTGTTAAAATTGAAACAGTTCTCGTTTCTTCTACCGACAGACTCGTAGCTTTTCGAGCCCGAGTTAGCCTTTTTTAAAAAAGGTTTTAAGTTGTTGTAACGTTTATAATTTATAGTCTATGAAGTGTATCGCACATTTTTCAGTGAATGCACCCCTAAGGATTTGTGAGCAATTCATAGACAAGAAGAAAACAATGGTTACTCATGGTAACATTTTTTATCAGATACTGTTATACATAAGTATATTCAAAGCTGAATTTACACTTAACTGGGCCCGACAGAAAGAAAACAAAATAAACTTGCGGTGAACACAAAAGTCGGCCAGCTTTTTCTTTTAGGTCTTTTCTTGAGACATTATATTGTTGACTCTAACATCCGTAACCTGTAAATTGGCTACCGTAGAGTATCGTGCACAAAACAGATTTTTTCCCTTCATATTGTTTTCATATCAGTCGTTTTCAAATCATTTTCCCATGCCGCGACATTGGACCCGCGACCGCGACTTTGGACCCGCGACCGCGACATTGGACCCGCGACCGCGACATTGGACCCGCGACCGCGACATTGGACCCGCGACCGCGACCTTGGACCCGCGACCGCGACCTTGGACCCGCGACCGCGACATTGGACCCGCGACCGCGACATTGGACCCGCGACCCGCGACCCGCGACCCGCGACCCGCGACCATTAGTCAAACTCGTCATGGAGTGGGAGCTCGAGTTGAAACAATAAAACACTTGGCCTACGGCGTAACCTGCGATCAGGCGATTTTGCTACGGCGACGTCCTTTCATCTTTTTCCCGGTGTTTGGAACCCCTGATGAAACCCTCGCACTCGTTGTTGATATATTACTTCAAAACTGAATGTACAAAATAATCCTTGGGAGCGTCGTTGTCCTGACAAAAGAGCTAATGATCCTATTGAACTCACGTTTTCGAATTCTTTTCCATCTGAAAGTCACCTTTTCCAATAATGTTGAGCTTTCGTTTGTGTTTTTCTTCTTTTAATTATATCTTTTGTGGGAAAAAATTGAGTCGATCTGTTCGTGGAATAGTAACTGTATGCGACGTAAGATGATAAAAGGTTGTCAGGTGACGTCACACCTCTTATTTATTATAATTGATCGCTTTGTGCAATGAACTTTCTGGTGTAAAGTTGAAATTTAGCGATACTCTGCCCACTGAAACGTTAATGCAGAAAGGCCTGTAGAAGTTTCATTGTAAAGCGAGAATGATCTGAGTTTTTTAAGGCCACGTGAAACGTGACTCTCAGGAAAATTTCTTTCCAGTTTTTCTACTAGCCAACATTCAGAAACGTAACTTCAGATGAATGATTGCCAGCTAGCTTTAGTCGCCATTTCTGTCGTTTTCATACACCATACTTGTCAAAACTAGACGAGTACATAAAGTTTCAAGAATTCGACCAACTTTTCAATTTGTGTGAGAGAGTTTGTTTGTTTTATTCAAGTACAAAAGAGAACAGCCTCATTAAACACTTAACTACGGAAATCGGAGGACATTTTAGATAAGCCATTTATACAAGTGCTGTACTCTTCACAAAGATATATATTCAAGTGCTGGCTTTCTCATAGGATCTTTTATCGTTTTCTCCCAGCATGGGTTATATAGTTGGCTCATGTATTTGTTATTTGGTTTTCAAAAGAGCCGCCATAGAACGACCACGAGATCCGAAATACTTTCACCCAAGGTCATACACGGTATTCTTTTAAAAAGTCTTCTGTAAAATAACTTTAACGGTAGAAGGTTTTGAGGAGAAAATCATTAAACCTGTCCTCATTTTGAGAGATGAATAGAAGCCAACCAATAAAGAATTGCCTCATGCCGGCGTTGTTAGCTTTAGCAAGTCTTTTGAGAGTAAACATTTATCAATTATCATGTCCCTATTCAAATGTTATATTAAAATTAACTTCCCATCAGCTAGAATCTTATACACTGTAATTCATAGACGTTACCTTCAGATTGGTCTTTAACTTCGTCTGTCATTATTTCCAGATCGTCTTGTATTTTCGAACAATTTTAACTAAGAAGAAAACCTTTGTTTGAGTTAAAATGCCGGGCCCTCAATGTAACTAAAACTTTGTCAAGTAACCATGGTTAATTTCTTCTGATGTGCGCACAAAACGGGTACTTTATAAAACTCGATAATGGATACTTCAAAATTTTAACTTACCTAACAGGCAACGTAAGTGGAAATACTTTAAAGCAGCGTTTGGTCTCTTTGCAGCAATCACTCAACTTATCGCTGAACTTGTGTATTTGAAAGTGTTGTTTCTATAGAAACCATAGTCTTGCAGGTCCCTTGGCAATGGTACAGTAATTGAAAGCGAATATTTGCATATATCGTAGAAAGTAATAAAGAATGCAAACAAAGGAAAGCGTGTTTGGACTTTTTTGTTCTTGTCTTTGACCGCAAACACGTTTTATTTGCGTTTAACACACTTCAGATATTGATTCTGTTTTCTACGCACGCGTTCAGTACAGAATCTTCGCGATTTCTCTTTCCTTCGACCAAATAGGGGAATCATATATTTGTGTCACCTATTTTTCCAACAAAGAAATATATGAAGGGGGATGTTGTGAAAGAAAATGTGGTTCCCGGAATTTGTGCGATAAACAAAGACAGTGGCTACTCTTTTTAATTTTTAACAATTTGATACGACGTCTGACAGGAAAGTTTTATCTATTGGAAAACTCCTACTTTAATGTGGGAAAAGGTTCCCTTTTTTTGCAAAGTGTTGAAGCGCGCTGGTGCTCAGGTGAAACGATGAACGGATCAACAAGATTAGCGAAGCCGACTTAACCAGGGCTTGATTACCAAACTAGATGTCTTGAACAGTTTTCGTGATTTTGATAGTGTCGATCCCGATTGACTGATACAACGATTTGTCAGTAATTTAAAAACAACAGGTGCCACGAACGGGATACTTTTAAATAGGCATGCGCCTATCAACTAAGAGTTTGATCCTCGTGGGAATAGATCTAGGGGTAGTGCGGTATTCATCCAAATTATACCTTTTAGGAACTTTCTTTGTAAGTTAAGTTTTTATCTGTGTCATGATTGCCGGTACGATACGTGTAAAGTTTGTCCAAGGCAAGCCTAAGTTTATCGTTTGTTTTTGAGCTAAGGTATAGGAAAGACAACTTGAAGTCCACTTGCCTAACGTTGTAGACTTATATTAGAAGACGTTGACGTAGTTGGCGTTAAAACGTCTGAGACCGAGGCCAAACGTCGAACTCTTGATGAGACGATTGAACAGAACTCTAATTTTGGTCGACCTAAATTAAGTTAAGATCGTCTGTTGGGTCAGACGTCGAAGATGACTGAGAATACTTTAACGAAAAAATGTACAATTCACCCGTATGTTACTAGCCCCTTTAACTGAACCCGTCTGAACATAACCTGAAGGGATGTTTCCAAATTAATCACTTGGTTACTTATAAATCTTAGATTTGCGAGGACTAATGAAAGTGTTCGAACGCGACCTTCTGTTTCTGAGGGAAGACATAGATGACTAAACAATACACCGCTAAGTAACGTGAATGTGGTTTTAATAACGACTCAGATTCCATAAAATATATTCCAACGATTTGCACAGTCGACTAAATGTACTAAGGCCCCGTCAAGACGTATCCGTTTTTTTCTTTTTTGAAAACGGAGATTTTTATTTCCGATTTGGCCTACCGTCCACACGTATCCGGTGAAAACGGTCACAGAAAACGTAACTTTTCAAAAACGCACTTCGGAGTGGAGATTTTAGAAAACGCCGGCTTCTCATTTCCGTGTGGACGGACGAAAACGGAGGTTTTCGAATACGATGATGTCATACATCATATACTACTAGAATTGCGCATGCTCCGTAAGTGATGCTGTCGTATTTCCATTGATTAAGCGTTTTCGTGTGGAAGAGCGAAAACGACTCGGATATGGTACATTTGGACGCGTATTTTGTTTTTGAAAACGGAGAAAAAAAATCTTCGTTTTCAATAATAGTGAACTTACGCAACAGGACGGGAGAGGAAAGAAGACGGCAAACCTTGTGCGATATGTTTGAAAACACTTTCCGTCCAACTTCACCTTCCCTTTGACAAATCCTTTTGTAAAAGACCAGAAAACATTAAAGTTAAGTGAAGATCAAGACAATATATAGTTGCCAGTAATAGACCTGTCACGTTTGTCACACACAACCTGAGCGTTTTACTGTCCTGTTGCGTAAAGTCACTAATACCCGGATACGTGTGGACCTACGGGGCCAAACTGGAATCAAATTTTGAACTTCTTCATACAGTAAAATACGTCTAGGTACATTAATAAACTTTACATTTAGGAAAATCAGCAAAAGTGTGAGCTGCACTCGCTTGTTTTTGACAAACTTTTATATAAACTAAGGGCCAGTTATTTAAACGGAGTTTAGCTAGCGTTTAACAAAACCGCGTTCTAAGCCGTTTTCAGTTGGCCGGACGCTTTTATGTATACTAAACACAATTTACCGTGAACAGTTTCATGAAAGCACGTTTGAATAACCGACCCTAAATGTCTTTTTTTAAAAACAAACCTTTTAAAATTAATTAATGAAAACACGGAAGAAATAATTATTTATACTGACGTCTTTTTAAAAGCCTGATTAATCAAAACAAGGTGAATTCTACTTCCGTGTCCCTTCGTCAAAAGGAGCACGAGACTATAGATTCAATTTTTGTAACAATGAATTGGTTTACTGTGAGGCTTTTGAAAGCCGTTTTAGCAGCGAAGCCTTAATTTGTTTTTAATGGAGTCTAACCACTTTTGTGAATTAAAACTTGATTTAGCAGGCATATTTTGCAGTGCGATGATACTACAAAATGTTCTCCCGCCATCTTGGACGTTGTGGCGAGTCAAAAAATGATAGCTACCGCTGAGCTATCGTTAAAGAAGAAAAAAGCCTGCTCTGCAGCCTAAAATGTCTGAAATTGATTTGAAAATGAATTTCATTCATGACAATAACTTAAATTTTCTGTAATAAGAGTTGAAACAAAATATACAAATTCACAAGAGAAGAAAGCTGTCAGTATTCTGCTTTTCGCTCACATTATCCAATAAATTCAAAATGGTGTAAAATAGCTTCTTTAGTCTAGCTAAAATTGACTGAAAATTGCATTACGGATAACAATAAATTGAATTCTCTGTAATAGGGGTTAAACCAACATATACATAAGCTGTCAACACTTAACAATTGATTCAAAAGCTGGTTTTTAGTGGTAACAGCCCTTGTCCTTTATCCTCTGTAGTGTTCATCACGACAGGCAAGATTCCCATTTGAACGAGTCTTGGTTATAAAAATTTACTTTTGCGCAATTGGCTCCGGCGTTTTTGCATTCAGCTCTTCAGTTAGTGGTACTATTGCCTTGCTTGACCCCGGGGTTGTCCCGAGATACGACACAATGGTCTTCTTGAAATGATACCGCGGATTTGGAGGAAGTTTTTTCAGTTCGGAAAGGTTCATTCTGTTCCAGTCCTGTACGGTTCTCTGATAATCCACCTTCTCTTGTTTTTCCGCTTGCTTGTCGTACGTTTTGCGAAGATCACTCCTTCAAAGACAAAAGAAAACTGAATCGAAAACGATCTGTTGTTTGTGTTAGAGACAATCCACCTAGCGCTCCGTTTCGTAAAGCAAAATTAGTAAAAGCGATTGCTTTAAGTGTCCTCATACCTGAAGTTTGGCAGCTCATCATACGTCATTCTGTTAGGTTGATAATTTGATTGGTTAAACCGCGGGAAGCTGGGCATAGGTAGTGGAGGAAGCCTGGTACTGCCTTGGTTGTCACGTGAGTTTAACATGTTTCTGCTCCTGAATGAAAAATCAATTAAGCTATTTTAAAATGACTTCACGCGGCAAATTACTTATCGATCTGCTAATAAAACTCCTATGACAGTCGAACCTCCATGTGCGACCACCTCTGATAAGCCAAATTCCTTAATGAGCGACTACTCATCCAAACCACAAAATTTTTCCAGTCAAACTCAAAGCTTTATGGTTGGAGCCCCTCGTAAGCAATCGCAAACACTTTTTAGGATGACAGTTTAGAATTTTCCGTTGTTCTTAACCTCTTTTAAGCGACCCTCTGATATAAAGGTCTGATCTCTGTGTTCACTGTATGAACAACGCTACTCAGAGTTTAAAAATAACGTTTAGGAACAACATAGATTTAAATACAATCGAACCTCCATGTGCGACCACCTCCAAAAAGCGACCACCTATCCAAAACACCAACATTTTTCCAGTTAAAGTCTCATAGTTGGAATCTCTAGTAAGCGACCGCGACCACTTTTTAGGAAGGCGGATTTAGAATTTCCATTGTTCTTAACTTCTTCCAAGCGACCCTTTGATATACAGGTCTCACGTGATCTCTGTGTTTATTGTATAGACTACGCTACTCAGAGTTTAAGAAGAACTTTTAGGAACAACATGGATGAAAATCGATTAAAATATATTTTAACCTAGAAATTGCATGCAACACATTCTCTCATTCAGTTCTCTTGATTCTCTTCAAAAAGCACAAGGGTAAGTCAAGAGAGAGTGAGCTATTCTCTCTTAGGTAAGTAAATGAATCCGGATCTGTCTTCGAAAAAAACCCTCCTGCAGTTGGACTATCGTAAGCGACCACCTCCGGTAAGCGACCACTAACTCTTCACATTTTGTGTGGTCGCTTGCCGGAGGTTTGACCATAAAGAAAAATAACAACGTCAGACATACCAATCTGCTGAATTGTGAAAAAGCCTTCCAGGTAGCCTTGACAACGGAACTGGATTTGGAGAGCTGACAGCAAAAACAGTAAACGGAACTTATTCAAAAACAACACTTAACCCTTAAAACCCTAAGATCAAAATTTGTATTCTCATCTGTTGCCCCTATTCATTTCCTACATAAGTAGTGGGGAGAAGTTGATAAAATATCAAGCAAATACTTCTTGTGTGATCATGTCCGTAATTCTCATGACCACACTGTTTTACAAAGCACTGATATTACAAGGGAAATTTGATGCTGATCACTCTTAGCGTTAACATAGAAAGTGTTCTTTTACGATAGCCTGCGTCGCAGACGTAATCAAACACCGAGTAGTACATCTGCGAAGCAGCGCCTATGTCCTTGTTGACTGTCCCCACAACGGACTCAACGAATACCGGAAAGAGGGTTGAGTTTGTTGTTGGTTCTCTCCCTTGTTCTTCTCCGGGTACTCCGGTTTTCTCCTCTCCCTAACTCTCTTTAAAAACCAACATTTTCCAATTCCAGTTCGACCAGGAATCTGGTAGACGAAGAACCACTATGTGGATGTGCTAGCTCCAAATCGTATTTATTTTATTTATTTGATTAATGAGTTTCGAATTTCCCTTTATCCTGATTGGCAAATCGACAATGGCTTTGTTAAAAGGCCGATCATAGTGCATACTCAAATCCTGGTACACAGGTGGGGGCCCACAACAAGGATTTCGGTAGTTCCGGTCTGTGGCGTAGAGATTGCAGTTTTCAAAGTGGCCCAGGTGATTCAATTTGGCTCTGAAACTCCGTTATTTAAAAGCTTGTCACGCTATTTTCTTGTCACTATCTCTAGCCAAAAAAACTTCCCAAACACGATATTTTAAAGTCGAGCACTTCTTTGGCTATCGTTTATAACGGAAAGAGGGAGCAAATTACATTTTCCTAAGTTTCCTCATGCGCAAAAGGGCAAAATATCGAAAGAGGTAAGCGTGACCTTTATACTTTTTTTTCGTCTTCGTTTGTTTGTTTTTCGCTTTTCTAGTTTCCTCGTTTTTTTCATTATTATTATTCCTTTTTATTAGGTTCTAAACGCTGAGGAAGTAATAGACTGTTCACAGTTCCCTATTTTTCGGTAAGATCGTTGAGATCGAGCGCTTTGCGTTAAGGGCAGCAATCTTGGATGAGTGTCAAAAACACTTAGGGGGCGGGGGGTTGTTTGCTTTAAACCCCGAAGCCAGCCCCCTGGGTACATATGAAACCAAGATGGCCGTCCGTACCGTTCAGCGCTCGATCCTGACGATCTTACGAAAAAGTTGTGAACTGTGAACAGTCTATTAAAGGAAGTAAAGGTGAGATCCTGGAAGGATAAAGAATTTTTATTCTAATTTTCAAGTAGCCTGCGAAAACAGCCGTTTCTCCTGGCTCTTCGCTGCTGAGGACGTTTCGCGAGGAATGAAGGACGTTCCTCTGCGCGAAACGTCCCCAGAGGCGAAGAGCAAGGAGAAACGGCTGTTTTCGCAGGCTAATTTTCAAGCCAAGGTTACATGGTTCTTATGGTTTCTTGCGCGCTTGATCCCTATCCTGATTGACCAAATCGCGCATGACAGAACATGATCACCAACTTTAAATCCTGCACTAATTGAGTGTCTGTTATCTATGACCACCAACACTGATGACGTCACATGTACAAGAGATTTGGTAGCCTATGAGAAAGCTCTCCGTTGCGAATGGCGAGTGAAGCGAGCCGGGAAAGAACGCGAGTAAACCCAAACGTCAGTGGAAAGCTTCTGTTGCAGGCCATCAGGCCAGGGATGTCGTTTCACACGGGCGGTTATGGAGAATTGTTCCAGCTACTTCCACATAAAACAGGATATTAACGAGAACCCTTTTGAGGCAAACCGTGAATTTACCATTAAACAAATTATTACTTACTTGTCCATTCTCCAAGCGATTTCTGGGTCTGAAAGGAAAACATTTCAGTCCAAAAAACTGACATTTACAAACTTTTACATATTTATTACCAAAACCAATGCCCTACATTTTAGATTTGAGGGTGGACGTCGGGGTAGTCACTGGGATATTTGCAGTTCCCACTTTTCACACTTTAGTGACACTTGGGATGACACCCTCATTATTTCATTTATTTCTCTTCTCCTCATTCATTCCACTTTGGGAGTGTCCTCATTGGAAGCCTTTTTTTCTCCTTCGTCAAGTCAATTTTCTATACTCTTGGGGAGGACATTCAATCCACTTAGGGTTGGAGGGGACTGACAGTTTGGGGTAACAGGCTTGTGTTGTATCTTGAATTGGAAAAAGAACTCACTGTTTTGATTTATGATAATGATCTCTGTTATGTGGGCTTTACATGAATATCTAATCCCATCAATTGGCTATGTAATTTGCAAAAAGAAAATTCTTTCTCTAATTACCTACTATTCCAAGGGCTGTAGGTCTATGGCCATACCCTCTGGGCATTCTTACTTCTGGCTCCTATAAAAAAAACCTCGAAAGGTCAATAGCCTATATTTGAGGTCACTTTACTTATTATATAACATTGACTTGTCCTTTCAAATCACCTTTTACACTTAATTTTCAGGAAGGGGATGACTCCCATATACTAGCTGGGATTACTGAAACAAATCTGGGCGTGGCATTATTTTAGGCTTAAATAGACCCCTAAAGGAGACTGTAGTCTCACATAGAGCAAAAAACGGTTTGTTCTTTTTTTATATAATAGTCGCACAATCCTAAGCCAGAGAGAATTAACTCGGATCATGCTCTCTTGTCCTAAACAATACATTTAGGGGCAAAAAGTGAGACCAAAATCTGCACCTTCTACTACTAAGCAAGACGATTAGCATCCCGGTGACTTTAAAATGGGAGTCCCCCAGCTCTATAAAAGATACTAACCTGCATCAGATCCTGAATTGTAGAGTCTACCAGGTACTGATTATAATAAGGCGACAGGCTGTTGAAGATATCTGGAGTATATGGCCTCCTATTGGAGTTGAGAGACAGTAATTTTGTTACAATTTGGGGAAGCTAACAGTGGAGTTATGGGTAGCTAGGCCACTAAGCCAGCGCATGAGGTAAACATGTTTCATACAAGTTGGAACCATGATCAGTAGCTGGTAGGGTAAAACATGTAGGCTCCTTTTAGGAGGTTCATCCCTTGCTACTGGACATTTGTCAACTGGAACCTCTGTTTTAAGCTCTTAATTTACATGCTAATAAAAGGTATCATTGCAGCTGGTCATGTCGGTCAAAATTTTCAGGCCTTTAAACTTGTTATGTATTTTGAACAACTCTCACTACAGTTAACATCTTGCTGTATAAAAACCCATTTATGTATATTAACCTATGGCACTTTCCAACACCTTTGATCCTTCTCCTTTCAATGGAATGCTAGCCCAGTTTAGGGGTGTATTGATTCCTTTGTTACTTAATAGATATCCACCCAAAGCCAGTGTGGACAGGAAAATAATAGTTTTCTCTTAACTGAAAGGGACCATAAATGAGGGGGGCGCAAGGGGTTATGAATACTGCAAAACAGTACAGAAATATGTATAAACACCACACAGAATAACATAAGAAAACTGCAAACGACATTGAAATTACATTCAAAAATACTGCAAGCCACTTGGTATTGTAAAACCGCAATACTGCTACTTAAAATAAAAATTTCCGCAAGACTGCACCAAAAATCTAGCAAAACCACATCACTGCAAACCCTTACACCCCCCTCATATATACATGTACATTGGCCAACTAATGTCAATGCTGCTGGCCTTAACTCCTGACAACTACTTTACCTTTTTTTCATAATTCATGTCACCACCCTTCCCTACCACCACACCCTTTACCAGGTTTCTTCCCCAGCAGAGACCAGACAGTCAAAGATTCACTTACACAGGGGGTCTTTGTATGGACTGTTTGAATGCAGTCATCTGCCACTTCAGTCTGTATAATTCTGCTACCATTTGCTGTGTTTTCTTGTCAAGGTGTGTGGATGCCTTGGAGCTTGCAGCTTGAGAGCTGGTTCCCTTTCTTTTCTTTGGCAAAATTTTTGGACTGCTCTCTTTATCTCCTGTGATTTGCAAGATCCCAGAAAATGTGTAATCAAGAAGTTAGAAAATGCAATATCCAGCATTCTGAACATCAAAAAGAGTGCTGTTTTTAATGACAATTTCTATTGACTAAGCTTTTTTTATCGAGCTACATTATTATATGTCACACTTGTTTCGAGGCAGAAGAGTGCACTTTTTTGAAGCTACTGATGAATAATCAGTAGGTTACCTCTTGAAGTAAACAGTGTATATAGAATCTGTGCAATACAATAATCACACTATCAAATATGATTTCTCTATTTTTTCTATATTTTGAGATTGCGGTACTTAAAACCTGTTTATAATTTTCATCCCACAAATCCACTTTACAATACTCCACTAATCGTCACTTCCGGTCACGAAAACATCAATTATTGAAAGAGACGAGCCAATGAAGATTGAAAGATGTCTCTTATAATAAATACCGTATTTCTCTGAGTTTCAGTAAACAATTGACTCAACTCCTTTTCAAAGATAGCATAAATTTTACTCTTCGCCACTTTTGATTAATTGCTAAAATCTGCAAAAGAAGGAATGGCGTGTGTCTGTGAGTTTGATCCCCGCGGTTTACCACCATCGAGCAAATTAACACAACGGCGCCTAGCACAATTAGCGTGATGTATACATATATAACACTCTCTGGCTTAAATATCTATGCAGGTAGATCAGTTTGAGGGAATATTTTGTATAACTCGGAAGAATTTTAACTAATCTTCAAAATAAAAGCGAACTCTCTGCTATCAAAATAGGCTTGGAAACAATCTGTCGGACAAAGCGTGATCATCATAAGTTTAAAAGCTTAAACTGGACGCAAGTGCATCTTACCAGATGGCGCATCATGCCGAAATCCTTCTCGGTGCATTTCAGGTTCTTTGTCGTTGACTTTTTCGTCTTTATCCTGGTCTTGCGTTTTAGTATCTTTGCTGTTTCTCATCTTTTCAAGAAAGGAAACAATACGATGGATGATTACAGGTTGTAAAGTCAAATAGTTAGAAAGCTGTCTAAATAATACCGTAAGCTCATAAGCAATTAACTTTCTTTGAACATCAAAGTCTCAAAGGATTCACGATTTGATGTTGTCAATTACGGCTTTTCTTACCTCTACATCGCTCATTCTTCCGGAAAGCGAGAAAGACACGCTCCTAATGACGAAAATGTAATGTTTTCGATTCCAAAATAATACAACCTTCGAGTATCATGCAGCAATTAGTTCTCGGGTTCGTTTCTATGGAAATAAGCCGGCACGCTTAAGATGTCGAATTACTTTGATTGACACTATTATTATTTGGTAAATATTTTAATAAAATATTGATGAAGGGCAAAACGAGTATAAAAGTAAACAGCTATATTTTCGATAGGTAATAAGGAGACAAAACATTGTTACTTCTGATGATCAAACTGAAAGCAACCGAATAAAAGTTCATTCCCTCAAGGGTCATATATTCATTATAAACATTCTTATTGGCTACTGATTCTACACAAGGTCGGTGACTTTAATTACTCGATTCGTTTTTACGCTGTGGAATGGCAGGAGATCTAAGCAAGCTCTGCTGGGCTTTATTAGGAAACTACTAGTAAGTCACTCCGCACAAAGCCGAGAGCCAACAAACAAAAAAAGACTCGGAAGAATGGCGGCAGATGGACGGAAAACGTTTAAGGCCGGAATAAAAAATGTCAAAGTAATGGTAACGTTTACGAAATTTTTTCCTTCAGTACATTGACTACATTCCGTAAAAGATTTTTTAAAGGAATTATATACATTTTATCCTTGGAGGTCCTTTAGTAAGATTATCTAAAATTCTTCTCCAGGTTCTCTGAATATTTTAACGAGTCGGAACTTTCGATAATTTGTTCTTTTACCTCTGCAATATTTATGTTAGAGTGATCTCAGTACATACTTAACCCGAGAAACAGATACTAACAATTAATGCCAAATAGCTGAAGGTAAAGCCAGATGACCCTGAAGATTACAAGAGAAGTGTGATCAGAATAAGACGAATAAGTCCTTCTCCCTTTTTCACATAAATACGGACGAGAAACATTTTTTTTGCTTGCCCTAAGGCTTAGATTCCTCTATGTATTTAGCGGACACCATTATCCTAATTATCTTTTTTGGATGTTAAAAGTGCTTACCCAAATGACTGAAATGCAGTATGACAAGGCCATACTATGGAGTTGTAAATTCTCTGTACGATAACCAGTGCCTTGCTCTCACAGCAAGTAGCGTACAAGTAATTAACTGAAGGTACTCAAGCACCTTACTTAAAAGCGTTTATGTAAAAAATAAGAGAAGCCCAAGGACAGATCCCTGAGGGACTCCACCCCTCATCTTTCATTTGTTAAGCTGTTTGACCTTAAAACTATAGAAATGGTGCAAATTACAACTTCATTCGCCAGGGAAAACTTAGCAACATTGGATTTCAAAATAAAATCCACAAAATGTCTGTTAAATTTTGATTAAGTTAGTTCCTGAGCTTATTTAAATGATCGAGGTTGGAATAAATGTTGCGCATGCGCAAAGTCTTAAACAGCAGCGACTACCAGTACTGCCCCTGTCCTAGGATAAGAGATCACCAGGTTTCCTCTTAACTCACCACCCCGCACCCGCAAACGCCACGCAAACGCCTTTGGTACAAAAAACATGCATAACAACTCAAGATAAGAAAAAAGGACCGCTATCGTTTCTATCCGCCGAAGATAAGATGTACTCTGGGTCAGTAATTCCCCGCATAAGCTCCACACGCATCTTTTTGTTAGAGAGATGAGCCGGGGAACGATGTATGATGAGCCGGCGAACGATCAGAGTATCATCAGGGGAGAAAAACACCGGCTTGATACACTTAGAAACAGGCCATTACCGAGTTCCTCTCACTTACAAAACGAAGCTAATGGCAAAACCTCTGTTGTGAAAATAAATTTTATTTGAATGCGAAAAAAAAAAAAACATTTTCATAACAATGGCTTGGCACTTAGCCTCGCTTTGAAATAGAGGCTTGAGGAAACTCAGAAATGGCCTATTGACAATGACAGCGAAAGGTGCTGAAAAAAAGCTAGAAAAACTTGAAGATGATATGAAGCACATGCAGCGTCATGGGAGTGTGATGGGAACGCTGGATACACTTATCTCTAAAAATGCCTAAATAACGTCACTCAACGGCCCGTTTACTCGGCCTATACAGGTTCAGTCATCAGCAGGGCAAAACCGTCCTTGGAGGACGATTTTACCATGAAGAAGAATAATCAATAATCGGCAATTTCTTTTTTGCTTCTCGATGCTTATTTCAATGAAACTGACAAAACGTTTATAGCCTTTCATTAACTATCTATAAGTATTATTCATAAGAATAATTATAATAATGTAATAACATTAAAAACGTAAAGGATTAGAGACTGTATGTGTGCGCCTTTAAAAAGCTTTCCTTACCAACATAAAGAAGGGAAACGAAATAGTAATAAACTAGGATTAGCATCATAATCAATAACTTCGACGCTAAGCTTAGTTCGAGTCCATTATCGACAGAACAAGTTATTGACGAACGAGCGCTATATATATGTTTACAATTTTTAGAAATTCTATATGAAATCCTGCTTATTTAGTGGAATACATTTGTTGAGCTTCTCGGCTTATTTCAAATTAAAGCGTTAATTTATAGCAGTCGAGTTGCACCGGGAGTTATCGCCAGTGTTCTATTGTCCATGTTGAAGGTAGTTTATATATTAGCAAGACGTTTCTCTGGTAACAAGTGTGTCGAGCACCATACACAGCTCACTAAACTTGGGTCGCTCGCTGGGATTACCCTGCCAACATTTGGTCATTACTTCATAGCTGTTGAAAAAATAGATATAAGACAAGATAACCATTAAATGATTTGAGGTAGTAACTTTATCTCTTCTTGAAGTTAGCTGAGGTGAGTAATGATTCACTCGGTTACTGCTATCAGTGTTTCTTGAGTCTCCATAAGACAGAAACTTCTATTTGAAATTTGGAAATCACTGGTATCGTTTTTTATCCCTCCCCACAAACGAGCTCCCCTTAAAACGCCTGCTTGGGAAGTTATTATATTTGCAGAGCTCCTCCGAAAGGAAGGTTAAACAATTAACAGCTGAGAGTCCAAAAAAGCAGTCTACTCCGAGTTGTTCTGACGTCTTCCGATTCTCAACCCTTAAAGAGATTTTATACCCACACACAAATTCTCCTGATGACCTCCAGCACATTTCCATAAAGAATTAGTTAAAAGAAATTGCTAAAAAAAAAATCAATGAAAGCATTTTTCCTTTGAGGATCATCATTTTATTCTTTCTCAAAACCTTGTCTTTTGATGATGCACTGATGTTGTTAGGAGACAATTGATGTTGGTCACTCTTATGACTTTAACACTATTGAAGTGCCCAAGAGACAAGTGTGAGGTCACTTACATGACATCTGAGCACCCATTGGGTTTCTTCATTCTGTAGCCGGACTTAAGGCTTTGTAAGAGATCTACTGTCTCAATCTCAGGATAAGGAACTGCTCCTACAAGACAACAGTCAAGCAGTATCAAATGCATACACAGTTTTCCTAAAACTGATACGACTGATTTATATCGGATGAAAAATATGTAATCGGATGAAACACTTGTAATGCTTGGCTTACCTCCTGTTTCTATCTCCCACAGCAAAACGCCAAATGACCAGCTAAAATAAAATAAAAGATTGCGTATCTTGAAATAGACTTCATGCAAAAAAAATCAATGTAAGTTTGTCACGCAGCTCACACACACTTCACCTTGTCTTGCTCAGTTATCATTTTTATTCAAAAAGCCCATTATTTCTATTATTCACTGTTTCAGAGAGTGGTCAACGTGAGTGTCGAAATTAATTTTACATTTGCTCGGATTTTTTATTTCTGCGTTTTGTGATTGGCTGAACAATTTCGCACCACTTTCTTAACCAATCAGAAGCAACACCAAAACCTTTCCAAAACCGATCATAGCTTTTGCTTACTCGCGTTTTCCCGCGCTTCAGTGACGCAGGCTACATGTAAAAGTTTCCCGCGCTTCTTTGAAGCCGGTTACAGCTTCTAGACGTGATTGGCTCGCTGAATTTTTTGCTGTCGGCCGATATTGTGATTGGCCAGTTAGCACATTGGCTTCCCCTTTGCGGAATTTGAATAAACAGCTGAAAACTCTTAGCAATACGTGGCTTATTTCGACAAATTCTACTCTCAAGCTTTTATACTCATTACAAGTGTTGGTAAGTCTTCGCAGAATATATTTATACTTACATATCGCTCTGTGATGAGAAAATCATAGATTCTAACGTTTCTGGTGCCATCCACTTTGCTGCTGACAATTTTCCCTACAAGACAATGACAGACAAATACAGACACCTTTATTTGTATGCGGCAAGCTCAGTCATCCTCATTTTTGATCGATACCATTGTGCTAGCATTATTACCAACGCTATTATCGGCTTAGGCACCGTCATAATTATCGTAAACGCACTTAAAAAATAGCCCCCTTCAACTATCACTAGCGTTGGACTGGCAGCACCGTCATTAACATCATCTTTTGTTTTGCCATCATTTAATGGACCAGTTTATAGTTGTGAGCTTAGTATCCCAGCCTATGAGTGAAAGTGAGGCTTGAGATTGACCTTGTTTTGATACAAACCTCCTTCTTTTAGTTATGTAAATAATCCTTTAAATACTATTTAGCATAAGAACAACATGATTTACACAAAAAGCAGGAAGGGTTGTATGAAAACAAGGTCAACTCCAGCCTCGTTTCCACCTGGAACTGTAAAATGGGCTATTATCAATTGTTATCATAAATAATATCATCAAATGAACCTCAACATTTGAGACTTACCGATGAGATGTCTTCATAAAATGTCCCGTCATTGATGTGACCTGTGCTTCCTATGTTTGTTATCTTGGCGACCCTACTTTTGTCCAAACAAACACTGCGTGCTGAAAGATCCTTATGAACACACTGCGAAGGACATTTGATGGAAAGTGAAGAAGTAATAAACTCTACTGCACCAGTAAAACAACGGAAGCAGGAATTTTGGGAGGCTATTGTAACAAGGGCACCCAACGACAATTTTCGGAAAACATCTGTTCGGAAGACGATTTGAGATGTAGAATTTTCGGAATATTTGTTGTAAAATTTCTTGCTCGCCTGCCTCTCCTAGGATTTTCGAACATCTAAAAAAATGGTCTAATTGCCTATTTTTAACGGAATTTTTACCCTAGAAAGGTCACCTAGAATTTTCGGGAACCTTTTTTCTGACTGGAATTTTTGAAAAGGTAAGTTTTGATCCCTATAATTTTCGGATCCCTAGACTTTCAGCTAGGAAATCTGAACAGATGAAAAATTTTTAGGAGATAAAAATATGCCTACATCTACCGTTTAAATACTAAAATACGTTTAACAATGCTATGTGTAAGTGGTTTTGAACTATATTCTCGTTGGGTGCCCCTGATTGTAAGTCTATGAAAAGTCCCAGATAGGTGTCAGATGAGAGATCGTTACAAGTTTTTCGACCCCATCTGGACAGGACTTACGACTTCTAGGTTTTTGATAGTAAAGACAATATTAGGGCCATTTATACGAGGAAAAATAAGACGCGTCTTACACAAGACGCCAACTGTACCATTTATACGAGCATGTCTTATTTAAGACGAGAACAGCTCGTATAAATGGTTCGCGTCTTATTTCTGTTCTTGACTCGTTTTTATGTGAATGTTGCCCGTAGCAACGGCAATCCAACGTGGCGCGCCAAAAAGTAACGCATGCGTACTATGCGTTCTCGTCTTATATATGACGCGAATGCCATTTATACGAAGTTTTTCTCGTCTTAGCTAAGACGCGTCTTATCTAAGAACAGGTGTTAAGGGCTGTTCTAAAATAAGACGCGTCTTAGCTAAGCCGTACCTTATTTTAGACGAAATGTGCTGTTTATACGGAAAGTTCGCGTCTTATTTAAGACGCGTTCTATGTAAGACGCGGCTTATTTTTCCTCGTATAAATGACTCTATTGTCACTTATAATAATTAATAGTAGAAGGCACAGGGTTTGAACGTGAGCGGACAATCCGCTGAGTAAGGCAACAGGCATCTTTCGACTTTTGCGCCTGCGTTTACTTCGCCCAGCAGCCATACCACTCAGCCTCATCGAGCCTCCGTAAAGGAGTTAGGTTCAATGTCAGTAAACAATGGGTCTCTATTTATTGTCAGTGCGGCATGTGTCGTACACTATGTGTTAAAAGGAGAGTGGAGGGAAAAAGAGGGGAACCTATGACAAGGCGGACGTTTTCTATGTCGCGCGGACTACTCTTGATTAGGTATAGCGCATGCGTTTTGGTGTGGGTGCTGTTGAGTAATATTCAATCTATTTTATTACGTTATTTAGTGATTCCACCAATTGCAACACTGAAACAATTTCTATGGGGGGCGGGAGGTTTCCCTCTTCTTTTACCCGACGAATTTCAATCCTCTCAGTGGTGACCGGAGTTAAACAAAGTCGAGGTTTGGCCGACCAAACGGTACCTCCATTGCTAGTCTTTGCAACCCCCCTACCAACAACAACAATCCCCCCTCCCCCTCCCCCCAACCCTCCAGGCTGTCGACTATCTCGTAGTCCAGTCCAATCCAGAGTACAGTCCAGTCCAGTTTAGTTCAGAATCCAGATAATATTTACAAACTGTTAGACATGACTTTCTCCCCTTCCCCGTATCCCCAACTGACCTTCCTTTCTGCTAAATGTCTCATTCCTTTCACCACATCAAGAGCTATTCTAAGTTTCTCCACATTGGTTAATGTACACTCTGTTCCTGTAGAGCTGTCCGTATTTTTCTTACTGTTTTGCTGAAGAAAATTCAAAAGAGTTGCATGCTCTGCATCTTCAAATACGAGATAAGTAGGACCTGCGTAAGATAAACGGAACTAGAGTTCAATATCATTCATTTTGATGATGATGATGATGATGATGATGATGATGACGATAATGATAATGATGATGATGATGATGCATTCACCGCACATTAAAATATTGAATGGAGTTCGATCAGCTCTAAATACAGTCGAGCCTCCCGAGAGCGACCAACCAAAATGCAACAATTTAGTGGTCGCTTACATCAGGTGGTCGCTTATTAAGAGAGTCGAACTGTATTAGGTCTTTTACTAGAAGCCCGGGCACATCTACTTTTTGACTGTATAGTGTACAATTCTTAGGTTAAAATATATGTAAATCCACCTGTTTCTAAAAGTTCTTCTCATACTTTGAATGGCGAACTACATACAGCGGACACAAAGAGCAGGATCATTGTATCAGTTGTCGTTTAGAAGAGGTTTAAAACAATCGATCGGCGAAATTCTTAAGCCTTCATCCTAAAAAGTGATCGCATTCACTCACGAGAGGTTCCAACCATAGAGCTTTGACTGGAAAAATTTTGGTGTTTTGGTCGCTTACGAGAGGAGGTTGCACATGGCGGTTCTACTACTCAGGCCTCTAGACAAAATTTGCCCAGTGAAGTACAATTAAACTATCTTGGTTGCCAGGGACCTTCCATGTGCGTGGTTTTCCGCTTTCTGTCTCTTCGGCCTTCACCGAAGCATCCCGCCGCAAGCTAGAAAAAAGCCTTCTGGACCCAGCATATAAATGACCGCGAACGACTAAGTGAAGGCTTCCGACCATGTTCTAAAAATGAATGAAAAAGTTTATATTCTGGCTAGAGTAAAGGGGGAATAAATTGTACCCTGCCGGTGTGAGGCACATCCCCGTGTAGCCCATAAGTATTCTCCCAGGGAACTTTACATACCCTTAATGGTGCAAGCACCAAACAAGTTTAGTATGTTGGGGTGACTACCAAGGCAGCTCATAATTCTAAGCTCGGTCAATAAATCATTTTCATGGTCATATGATCCAGATTTCTTCTCGACAACATCTGAAAAAGAAACATTATTGAGTGTGAGCGAATGCTTAGCACGATTGTAACTACCTATTTAGTACACAGTTCGAACATTTGAGTCTGTGGCTGTAACACTATTTCACCCAATTCCAATGAAAAATCTTCACTAGTACTGTCACATGGTACTATCTATTTAGTATGTAGTTCTAACTTCTGAGTCTGTGGATGAAATCCTATGGTGTTACCATTCAAATGAAACCTCTTCAGGAGTACCTTCACAAGGTACTATCTATTTAGTATGTAGTTCTAACTTCTGAGTCTGTGGATGAAATCCTATGGTGTTACCATTCAAATGAAACCTCTTCAGCAGTACTTTCACATGGTACTATCTATTTAGTAGGTGGTAAAGACTTTATGAGTCACTGGACAAAATGGTATGGTGTGACCATTCAAATGAAACCTCTTTTTTTTTCATCTTTTTTTTTCTCATCTTAAACAGTACTTTCACATGGTACTTAATTTATTTAGTACGTAATTCTAGCTTTTGAGCCTGTGGATGAAATCCTACGGTGTGACTATTATGAACCCTTTTTACAGTGCTTTTAAATGAAACCATTCAAATGAGACCTTTTTCGTAGTATGGTATTATTTGTTTTTCAGTATGTCACAAAGTGAAACACGAGATTTTCGTGAATTTTGACTTGGCAATCCTGAATGAAAGAGTTGTAGTGAGAAACATCCATTACCTTCGGTAGTTTTCACAATACAGTCTGTCGTATTTCCATTCTCTAGAGAAAGCTGTCCACGAAATCTGACTCCAGTCATCTCGCTTTCAATCCTCTCTCCGAGAGACAACCGTTCCTTCGCAATCTCGCACCAATCGATCACGTTATCGGCCTTAAATTCCAAGGCGACTGGGGAGGGGACATCATTTTCCTTGAACCCTGGATTTGACACTCCAGCATCTGTGAACTGAGAAAACCCTGTTGTAATTGTCGTTACCGCAAAGAAACCGCGAATCATGGTTTGCAGAGGAACGTTGAAACGAGAGCCTGGACAGAATTTTTGGGAGGGCGAGTAGGGGTTTGTTCCCATGACAACTCATACGCTTTAATCCAGAATAGACCTATTCGGCTAACTCAATATTGTACCCAATTCAAATCTCCCGGAGTTAAGATTCTTTGTGTATTGTATTTGCATTATAATGTGGCATTCACATTTGAATGATATGGAAATTCCTGAACACAGGCAAAACGTTTTATTCTCTATTACTCGCTACACAGAAAAGATAATTTTTTGTTGGGGTGGGAAGGGAGAGGGGGAAGAGTTGGGTAACCGTCATCATAGCTTACCACACTCAATACAGTGCAATTTTATAGGAAAACAATAACTTAATGACCAGGTGGAAAACAAGAATTGTAGTTACAGTGGAAGTTCTCCTAACGGACACTCTCGTAAGCAGACAACTCTACTAAAGGCCGCCTTCACAAAACCCCGTTTTTCTCAACTCCCACACGAACTCTGTATTTTAGACTGCATAACAGGCGTTTAATGAGGCAAGCGAGGCGAACGCGGCATTTCGCGCGCGAAACGAGTGGAGGAGAGAAAATAAAGCGCCAGTAACCAGTCCATTGTTCTGGCTCTTCCGCCCACCTTCGCCCACAAATATTTACTGACGGCTGTGATGTCAAAAGGACTAATCAAAACACGATCCATTACTCGAAAATGTTCACTTTTCTGGCTACCAGATACACTGACAGCGGCATAAACCACAGGTAATAACAACTACGAGGGGCAAAAATGAGATTTGCTCGGAGTCAAAGTTTAGTTTATGTCCAAACATAGCGGCGAGAAAGAATAGAGGGAAAACATGTTGTTTAAACAAATTCCAAGGTCACGTTTCACATTACCACGAGCTCAGGAGTTGTGTTTGGCCCTGTCAACATTTAATTTCAAAATTAGTAAACCAGAATTTTTCCAAACCCAGTTGGAAGCAATCCAAGAACATCTTTCCTATTAAGCAATAAGTTTAAAGATTTCTTTTGTTTTCCTTATGGACTGGTAACTGCAAGTGCTTTATTTTTCTCCTCCCCTCGTCTCGCGGTTCGATTAAAATGCCGCGTTCGCCTCGCTTGGCTCATAAGGCGCCTGTTATGCAGGCTACTGTACTTTTACATTCCCGTAAGCAGTCAGCTCCAGTTACGGGCACTTTTTTCGCGTCCCAAGGGTGTCTCGTCACGAGATCTTCCACTGTAGTATATTTTTGACCTTGAAAAGCACCCCGCCCATTCGTATTCTTTTCTGCCACAAAAAAGATTGAAAGTAGACTGAGAGTTTTCGTTTTAAGGCAGTTGATCTAGAGTTGATGTGTTTCCTTATCATCGCAAGATACTTTATTCCTTTTTAGCTCCTTAGTAAATAATAAGGTTTCAACATACGGATCTCACTTCACCCAGGTGCACCAGATCCTTTCTGGGGTCAAACTCTCCTCTCCTTTTTCGGCAAAATCGGGCGTAAACTGCAACTATAAATATCAGTAGTGCGATAGCCGCTATGATCGGAAGTGCTATCACTAGGGCCAGGTTCGTAGTGGGTTTTCCTGAAATGCAAGAGATGATAACAATGTTGAAGACGAAGGTCTTATCCAGGTTCAAAGGTTTAAATTTTCTGAAGTAGCTACGTACGCCCGCTGGACTGCAATGTAGCATGACTAGCTTATGATCGCGGGATAACCCCGGAGGGTACTTTAGTAATGTTTGGGTAGGAATGTGCTGCTAGGACCCCAGAACCCTTAGCTTATACGAGACCTAGTTCGTCTGAACTTTTCCACCCTATACTACTAGACTAAACTCCCCCCCAAAAAATCTCTTGCTATCCTGGAGTCGCTATTTTCCATAAACTACTGGGGTTGACGCTTTTCTACTGTTAAACTGAGCTGAGGGTAAATTTAGATTTCCGATTTCCATTTTTTTTTAGTGTCAATTCCCGATTTCCCAAGTCTAGACTAAAATCTTTAACTAACTGATCAGTTTCCTGGAAAATGATACCATATTCTAGACCCAAACCTTTTGATTCCTATACCCTATCACAGCGGCACAAACCTATTTATCCCATATATAGCAGTGCACCCCCAGCCCTCCTTCCGGGGGCGAAACTAAGGGTGCGTTCCATTGGGATGATCTGGATCAAGATCAGTGATCAGAGACCACTCGGACCATAAAGGGTGGATTCGTCAGGTCCTTTGCTCTTTGACACGCTATGATCCGAGTCATCTCTAGTCACTGATCCTGACCTGGATAATCTTAATGAAACGCACCCTAAATGAAGTCAAGCGAGCTAGTGAATAGTACAAGCCAGTTTGCGTGAAACTGACGTCGCCCTCCACATAGAAAGGGCACTTTTCATAACAGCGTGATCACCCCCTATCTCGTAGACTATCTCTAACAACTGGGAGATTAAGGGCTTCATGATTACCATACAGCCTTTCAAATATTCTTTCTTTTGCACTTTTGTATCTACTAAAGACGTAACGTAAAACGGCGGCGCGAGAGGTTAATTGTTAGAAGTCAAGCCTCTGAAGCTCAGCTATAGGCCCCAGTTGTTCGAACGCCGGCTAGCGTTAACGCAAGGCTAAATTTTAACCCGGGTTTCGTTTTCCTTTTATCAAAAGCACTCTCTCGGATAATTTTCTCTATTCTTTTAAGAGTATCCAATCATCAAATTGTGGGCAGAGAGAATTAAACTGAATTTGTTTTATAAGCTCTCATATTTAAGTCCAAATTTTGCACTAACCCAGCTTCGAACAACCCGGCCCTGCGTGAAAGCAAAACGTGCCAAAGCCCAGGCCCTTAGAGGCTTGGTAAATACTCAGCCCTGGCACTGATATACAGTGGAAACCGGTTTGTTTCTGGGAAACTGTCCACCTACCTCTCCCCTAAGTTACGAGGAGGGTGTTATAACACCCTCCGAGATCTCCATAATTCTTCATATGATACGAAAGCCGAATTCAATAATTGTTTTAATTTGTTGTTCATTCAAAATAATTCCTAGTTTAAAAACATAGCTAAAGCAAGCTTACCTGCATCGATGTTAAGTTTATCTTCGATAGTTTACGTTTATGTTTGTCCAGCTCCGCAAATATTCTCCAAATAGCAGATGTCGCCCTCCGAGTTGTCTTCTTACTGTTTTTGCTATGTTTTTAGCCATTGTTTCGCCTAGTCCCGGCTGTACTTCTTACTCTTGAAACGAGTGAAGTGTCCGCCATTTTAGTTTTTACAACGAAAACAACTCAATCTCGTCCCCAGGTCTTCTCGGTTAATGGTGCATTAACCTGTAAAAGGCTGCATTTTTTACGTCATTTCCTCGTTAAACTCAAAATTCTTCCAAATTTGGTCATCAGTAACTGGTTATGGTGAATTATGCGTGTGCTTTTAGCCAATCAGAATTGGGGAAATATTTTAAATGAATAATAATAACACTTAGTTCTCACTTAGGGCAAAATGATGGCTTAGGGAAGGGGTAGGTGGGCAGTTTCATAGAGACCTAAATTGATCCCAACGGACACCAAGGGCACATTAGCCCCTTTCGGCGGTAAACTAAATTCAACTTGGTGGCGTTGTTGAGAGGACACATGCAAACAAAGAGCAGATTTATAATAATATTAACAGATTGTTCATTAATAATTAAGATCTATGCGCTACGAAGGATAAAAAAATGGGACCCAGTCAAGAAAAATGCGCAACGAGATCTTACCTCCTGCAGAAGTAGCACTACTTGGAAAGCCTAAAACAAATTTTAAAAATAATTAAACTCGAAGTATAAACGTTCTTGCATTGTGCAAGTTGCCTCAGTCCCCGGGGGGAGGGGAGGGTCTACTTGAGTACACTTTTGCCGCTGGCATTTCGGATCCACTACCTCAATATTATTGTCTATTCTATTTTGTGGCCAATTATAGACCTAATCTAAGTCAGTTTTGGGCAAATCAGCGTAATCTTCGCGATCTAAACTTAGTCACTTTATGTCACATTTTAACCAAGAATCTTCCCATTTTAGAATCCCTACTTACCAGAATTTTGCTCCCCCATAATCCTGAAAGTTGCTACCCTGTTCTAGTAGTTCTATTGAAAATTCAACCCCATTATAGTCAATCCAGTCGTGAAAATGCCAGCCCATCCAGCGGCACATCCCAATTAGCCTATTACAAGAAAGTCCCTTACTGGACCACAATCGTAAAAGTGGCCAGTACACGTACGGTAACCTTAAACCTCGAATGACAACTTACTTGTTTCAGAAGTCGTGCTACTTGGAGTTTCTGAAAGAAATAAATTGTGTAGATATAGTTTTTTGTTAGCAAAACATTCGGGTAACAGTTGAGAAACTATTAACGTACAAGTCGCGCCGGTTGATACGAGCAGTCGAAGAGTCTTAACTCAAAACAACATTTACCTGTTTCAGAAGTGGTGCTTCTTGGAATACCTATAAAAATCAAAAATAAACTCCAAGTATGATAATTCAAAAGTATATGGTATATGTTTTGAAAGTGTTGCGACCTTAGTATAAATAGTAATTAACAAGGCTTCGGAAAAACAAGAAAGAGATCTCAGTTTTGAAAGATTGGGCAAGGTATCTTGAACTAAAATGCATGAAGATTAATCTTTTCAGCAGAAAAAAACGGTCCAATGAACGTCCATAGTGCAACTCAACAACGACGGCCGAAACAGTTTCCAAGCGACCTCAAGATAGCCAATAAGGTAGAACTAAAAAGACAACTTGCTTAAGTACCCGCAAGAAATAATCATTTTTAATCAAAACATTTTGGCGCGGATTAGCGACTAGAGAGTAGATAGGTTACGAACAATAACACAGTGCTGAATTTAATAAGTAGCACATATTAAAAATAGCAACTAGAAGTCTTTAACAACACCTCACCTGTTTTCAAAGTTGTGCTTATAGTACTTGGAATACCTAAAAATGAAAAGTTTAAGGTAAAGCTTTATTTAAGTAAAATGCATTGTAAAACCGCCCAACTCAAACGCGCTAACCGACTGGAATTGAAATTAGGTCGCACGAGCAACTATAGAACTCTTTAACAACGTTTTAACAACACCTCACCTGTTTTCAAAGTTGTGCTTATAGTACTTGGAATACCTAAAAATGAAAGTTTTAGGTAGAGTTTTATTGAAGTAAAATGCATTGTAAAACCGCCCAACTCAAACGCGTTAACCTACTGGACACGAAAATATCACGTGCCATGGAAGAAACCTTCACGATCCCCTATTTAGCAGAAGGTCAGTAGCTCTTCAGACATGGTCTGTGGCTGAAAAATGAAATGATACTACAGAAATAACGCGCCTAGCCGTAAAACAAAAGAAGCTACTGCTTATAGAAGCCAATGAAAATACAGGTCTGCAAGAGCTACTGGACTACCCTATTTAGGGGTTAACAAATCTCACGCTTACTTGATCGAGTCGTGTACTTTGAGAACCTGGGAGGTCTATCTGCAAGTCGAGTTGAGCAACGACACTTTTTTCGTCGTCATGGCTTGAAGACTAATATTCATAATTTTTTCTATTTTTAAATTGGGAGGCAAGAAAATACTTCAGTACTTGCCCTACGGTAGACTACGAGCAAGCTCTCTGAGTCGCTCTAGGGGAAACAAGAAGTCTCAAGAAGTGTCTGTTTCGTTTGTTTTCTGAGCGGCCAGTCACTAAATGCTTACTGAATCCGGGCATGGGCTCCACATTCGGTTTCCAGAAACAGATTGTTTATGATATCCTAACTGATTATAGCTACGTATACATGCAAGCGTGCGTGTAGGTGTAGTAAAGGCTGCCGCACATCTTTGTACACATTAGGGACCTTACGAAGCTACGACGGCTATGGCAACGAGAACGTCTAAGAACAATAGGTTTTATGAGCAAAACAACAACTTTGCACGTGCATCACGCTTTTTTGTACATTTCTTTGCCGTCCCTACACAACTACGACGTGAAATGACCAAACTTTAAGTTGTCTTGAGAAAAGGAACGGTAAGACGTTAAATTTTTTACTTTCTCTCTCTCTCTGAACACGGACGCGGTCCCATCTCTTCAGTCCCAACCTAACCTTTTTACTTTCAAGTAACCAGGTGATTTAGTAGTTTCAAAGGACACGAAGTCAATTTTTCAGCCACGTTTTCATTGGCGTCGCTGTTGTCGGATCGTAAGGTCCCTATTGATTCAACGAAGCGAACGAGTGAAGAATGACCACAAGAACAATTGAACGTTTGGTTAGGTTTAGGAAGTACTGGGAGGCGGCCATTTTCCTAGAATCTGTTCTTCAATATTTGCGTCACAGTTCCATCCTCCCCCATTCCGTTTCTTTTTTCGTTCTTTCGCTCGCCTCATTCTCATTAGCTCCAGAGAAAGACTGTCAAGTACGTTAGTTGTAAAAATTAAACACAAACTTAACAAAAACGCTCTTAAAAGCCATAAGTCGAGCTTGCTTGGAGATTAGATAAGAAACAAGGAGGCGATTAGTTCTATAAGTAACAGGATTTCCAAGCTAAAAGTCTTTCCTGTCCTACTTATCGACGGTAGAGTATTCTTCAGGATATTTGCTCTTTTTATCGTATTCAAAAGTTTGTTTCTGAATAGATTGAGTACGCGTGTATAATTACACGACAATCAAGGGCCTCGATTGGAGACAAATTACATCATTGCCAAAGAGCAGGAACGTGATGAACATTGCGCGTCATTTAAATCATCGAAGAAAACAAACCGCATGCTCATCACAAGAACCATTTGCATACAATGAAAATTTACAACACCCGACCAGTTAGCCTCACCATCGAAGGCTTGCTCAGTAAGATTCTTATTTTTTCCGACCACTGAAGTATTCACTTGTTCCAAAGTAATCAACGCTTTCAAGCGATAGAATTCGTGGACCGACCCGTGCTGGAAAAGTTCGATATCTTTCGCACTAATCCTTTCTAAGCTTTCTTCACAGACATGCATGCCGCTCCAACAGCCAGAATATGTTGTCGGTCACGTCGCGAATCTTATCCCCAGTTTCCACGGTCTCCGCTAGGAACGCCTAGGACCGTGATTTCCCTTTTGGCGCGCACCCATGAAAAAAAGAAAGAAAAGAAAAGAAGAAAGAAAGAAACGCTTGCATTTGCGCACACACGAAAAAAAAAAACGCTTGCTTTTTTAGAGTCTCGCTGCTAAGCAAGCTCCTCTAATTATTTGCTTTAGTTCTATACTTACACTCGACACCAGCATCATTATCGTGATCCCAGTAAATACCGGCTATTTTGGGCCAAGAGCAGTTGAATAGTGATTCTTCATGTCCTTCGCATTTCAGTCCCGATATCCACACAGGCCCTTCGCCCTTGCCAAATCTCTCCACGGAGTTCAATATGGCGGCTTCAGCTCCTTGGTAGCCTAGCTGTCGGCAAACCACGTTTGAGGCAGTTAAATTCCACCCTCGATTACGTACTGTACCCCAGATCCCTGCCATTTGAACTTCCACGCGGCCAGCATATGAGACATTGCCACCAGCAAGCCTCATATCCGTTACTATGACAAGAAAAAAGCAAGTCATAAATAGAACAATTGCACGATGACGTCATTTTACTACAACTACCAGAATCTTTGAGTTTGTTGTTTTCTTGTGCGAATTAAGGCTTTTGTTCTTTACTCCTCAGCGGGATTGACAAATTTAAATAGTAAAGCAAAACCGAAATGAATGCTGGCAGTTGTAGTCACATATCGTCATCATGCAATGGTTCTATTGTTCCTTAAAGAACAGACTTCATGATCCGAGCTGGCCCTCTCTGCTAGGCTAGCTCTGTTGCCATGTAATTAAGGTTGACTTTTGCGGCTTTCAACTAAGCCACCTGCGTGGGACGACTTCTAATTGTAAGGGTTAGACCTAGAGTAGACCTGAGGGCGGAGGTGAGCTTACACCCACAAAACTTTGTTCAGCGCCCACTCAACTTTATATACTCGTTGGTGAAATAAAAAAATGACCTTTGAAGAACAACTGAGAAAGATAAATAAATTCATTCTCCAAGGTAGGAACAGACTGTAACCAACGCTTTTTCAGCGATTTTCCCAAACAACACAATCAAACTTGACAAATTCAGCCCATATGAGTCCTCCTCTCTTCAAGTCAGAGATCTAGACTTTTAGCAACGCGAGGCCAATGACTTTGTAAGTGGTACTAAATCTGGCCGTTGGCGACTCTACCTATTTATATTAAACTGATTCTCTTAAATTTGTAATGAACACATTAACGAGATTTGTATCGCCCCATGTAAGGCCTGGTTCAGACGCTGTACTTTTCATGTCCCGAACATAATTGAATAAGATCGACTTTGGAGCGACACTAGAGCGACATATGATTCAGATGACGCACCGTGTGTCGAGCCTAAGTTAATTTCGACAAAAGTTCGACAGACTCTGTCGAACTTAACGCTTTTGCCGCACCAAACTAAAACTGCTGTACCAAATTGATTCAGAGGCTACCCTTTAGCCGTACTTAATTCATCAGTTAGGTTCGGCCCATGACTGGAGCGGCGTCTGAATTGGGCCTAAGGTAATCGAAGGACAGTCTTGAAATTCTGGATTCCACACTGTGGATTCCGGATTCCAGGAACTGGATTCCGGATTCTTTCTCAGTGGAACTCGGATTCCTGATTCCAATCGTTGGTGGGATTCCGGATTCCTTCAGCTGAATCCCGGATTCCAACACCCAGAATTCTGGATTCCACAAGCAAACTTTTATCAGGTTCCGGAATCCTGACTATCTTACATGAGCCTCACATGAAACGACAGATGAATGCGTAGATATTGAATTACCTAAATCGCTTGAGTTACAAATGACGCCAGCTTCAAGAACAGGCCCAGGAGTGAAGGAAACATCATGAACGCACTCATTAAGCTTGGATTCGTTTCCGAGGCACTTAACATTTTCAAGCCATTGAAACCCCATTGCTTTGATTCCTTTGGGGCTTAAAATATAAGTGGCCCCTCGAACCGCGAGAAAAGCTCCAGTGAATCCGAGCTGCCTACACGCCACTTGAGCATCCGGGAATTTCCAAGTGTATCGGTCAATTGCACCCCATGTTTCCGCCAAAGAAACTTCCAGCCGTCCAGCATACGTCACGTTACCCGGCTTTAGGCGGATACGAAAATCTGTACATGAGAGGATAAATGAACTGATGATAATTCACTGGTAAACTGGAAAACGATCCTCTTTATACTGAGGAACCAGTTAATACGGACACCATAGGGGCATGCTTAAGTTAATCCATTAGTTTATTGATATAAAGACTCAAGCAAAACCACAGGTAGCCCAAGCTCACTATGAGCACTATTCTACTTGGCTATACTTAACTATTTAGACGGTAACAATTATAAGACGTTTTATGAGAATTATCTTATTTTCCTATAATTGAGCGAAATGTGCATTATTCACGTCCCTGAGTATAAGGTCAAAATCCACTTTCTGTGCGCAAGGGCTCACAAGTCCAGGAATCCTCGTGCCATGTTGCATTCTTTTAGCTAAATCTAGCCTGCATGGTAGGGGTTCTAAAGGGAAGGGAAAGGCGATTTGCGGCGCTTGAGAAGTGCGAACGGCGGGCAAGGAAGGAGAGAGGTGAACGCCTGCAAGGACGCTAATCCCTTCTCCCGCGCGCGCGGTCTTGACCCAAAATTCCCTTCCCTTCCCTTTTGAACGCCTGGCACGTAGGCTATGCTAAATCTACCTATACGTTTAGTAACGCTTTAAGGATTAATATATCATAATTGGTTCATTTATACCTTTTTCAGTTCCATTTGTGCAAAACACTCCTGCGTCTCTGCCCAAAGCGCCTCTGAAAGTCTGCCATCTGTGAGTACAGTTTGTTAAGGAACTTTCGTTTCCATAACAACGCACATTATCCATCCACGTAACGGTATAGTAATTAGATTTAAGAGTGGCGCTACATCTCCATACAACTGTCACTACATCTTGATATCCAAGCTCCCTGCATACAACGCGGCTATTTTTTCTATTCCAGTAAAACTGCCCAACGTCGCCCCAGACTCCCGCGAATTTCACCTGCACGCATCCAGCATAAGGGACTGGGGTGTAGGCTAGACGTAGCGGTGGGGTATAAGCTTAAAAAATGAAAAAAGATGGGGCCTGTGAAACATATGTTTCAGCATGAAAGCGTTATAAGGTTTGACTTAAACCTAAAAAGAAGAAAAGGTTAAATGAAGGACAAGACAAGTATCCACTTTCTGTGCGCAAGGGCGCAAGGTTTTGCGAGAAAACCGTTGAATTGAGTCAGTTATGCATGGACCTTGTCTTCATCGCTACAAAACAGTTTGTCGTGAAGTTTTAAAGGGGTGCACGGAGCGTAATCGAGTTAGAAAACATTTATAAACAAGATAAAAAATATTCAGCTTTAAAATTGTTCTCTTGGAATTTTCTCCTACTTAAAGGAATAGACCAAAGGAATAAAATCCTCGCTCGTATGTTGCTTTCATCAGCACGCACTTTAAACAATGTAAATAGATGAAACGATCGCTATCACATTTTTTACCTGATACCGATACTAGTTAAAAATTCGCTCGAGGTCGCTGTTTGTCTCACCCACCACTAACTTTCTTCATGGCAGATAACTATGCCGCTTTATAACTCCTCCGAAGTTTTTGTGCCAACTAAACAATATGGAAACACTATTCACAGTCCTTGGATATTAAATAGACTGAAAGTAACGCACTATGTGTCCTTGTTTACTTTTGATCACCGCACGAACTCTTTCTTTTCAAGCAATAGATCTCAATGCACAATAATTGACCCTTACATTAAGTAAAACCCTTTGGTTCATTCATATTAATACTGTTTTTGCCCCTCACATTTACTGTCTTCGTTCGTATTCAAAATGCCTTTAGGAAAATAAAGGTCGGCTCCTGGTCATGTGTATTATGTTTCGAGATAAATGGATTACAGTCTTTTTTAAGTCCCCATTTTGCGGTGACTTCAGTTTACATCTCCATAAAATGGTAAAACGCATTCTAACCAGAGAGAGGTTGAAAACGAATTTGGAAGGCTTACGACTTTAGAAGATCAAGTCAGATAACAAGATTATAGTTGCAATAAACTTTCAAGACAAAATTTAAAACCACAAGCAGGGAAAATGAAAAGTCAAGTTATGTAATTCTATACATTATGTCAGGCAGTGAAATTAAAAAAAAAAAAGGAAGGAAGGAAGAAAAAAAGCAAGCATCAAGTACTACAATAAACGTTTTCCTGGTAAAGAGAGGAAAAATTAGCTACCACGACAGACTCGTACCCAGTCGCTATTTAAGTGTTTTCTGGGATGAGAGAAGATTGGGGATTAGGTTGAGGCGCGCGCAGGGTCTCATGGGAAGGGAAGAAGGAAAAATAGCGACACATGAGACCCCGCGCGCCTCAACCTAATCCCCAATCTTCCCTCATCCCAGAAAACACTTAAATAGCGACTGGGTACGAGTCTGCTACCACGAAATTCACAATAATCCTGGAATGAGATTCGCTAGCACTACCACCATAAGATGGTGAACAGGACTTGAATGATACAATGCTACTTTTCGCGCTGGACAGCTAAGTAATGGGCTTTGTCAGACACTTGAAGAACGAATCAAAGATTGGAAATCTACTATTCAGAGCATGCACATTACACTTTTCACTGGATTGGTAAGTGTCACGTGAGCAGCAGCCTAGTTTTAGATTTCTTTCCCTGCTACTGAGTTTTCTATGTGCTTCACAACGGGACTCGCTTCCTTCGCCAGATTCTGATGATCTTCTGAACTAGACTGAGATGAATTTGAACGACTATTCGATGAAAGGGTCTACACTTCATCATCTGCTATTGATGTTCATTGCTGGAATTCATACTCGCTCTATCTGATGGGCTGAAAGTTTTTGGGGCGGCAAGAAAAGAATCTATAAATATAGCTTGAAAGACTAATGGGCTACGGCCCAGGCTAATGATTAAAGTGATCGAGGCTCTAGAGTGATGGGCTTCAAACAGGTACATTACTTACAGATCGATGTGTTAGGTGCTCTGCATACAACGCTTGCATCATCTAGAGTACGGTAGTGGTGGCAGTTATTATTATCTCCCAATTTCCCGTAGTCGCAATCAAACAAACTACTTTCGTTTCCTTGGCATTTTACAGCAGCCAACCAGAAAGGACCTTTGCCGGCCCCAAAGGCGCTACAACATGGGGTGGCAATGGCCTCTGGGTAACCAAGCTGTCTGCATATCACGTGACCCACGTTGATATTGAAGCCGTCATCACAGACCGAGCCCCATGTTCCATTGTATTTGACTTCTACTCTCCCAGCATATCCACCGGGGCCTCCTTCTAACCTCAGGCTGAAGTTCACGGCTGAAAGAACACAATGGTGTGAAGTCAAAAAAGGTATTTCTTTCGGTTAATAAACAGGCCTCGGTTGTTCAAAAGATGGATAGCGCTATCCACCGGATAAATCTCTAACCAGTGGATAGCGCAATGAGTTTCCCTAATACTTATCCTCTGGATAGTGATTTATCCGATGGATAGCGCTATCCACCGGATAAATCTCTAACCAGTGGATAGTGCAATGAGTTTCCCTAATACTTATCTTCTCAATAGTGATTTATCCGATGGATAGCGCTATCCACCGGATAAATCTCTAACCAGTGGATAGTGCAATGAGTTTCCCTAATACTTATCCTCTAAATAGTGATTTATCCGATGGATAGCGCTATCCACCGGATAAATCTCTAACCAGTGGATAGTGCAATGAGTTTCCCTAATACTTATCCTCTCAATAGTGATTTATCCGGTGGATAGCGCTATCCACCGGATAAATCTCTAACCAGTGGATAGTGCAATTAGTTTCCCTAATACTTATCCGCTGGATAGTGATTTACCCGGTGGATAGCGCTATCCAACATTTGAACAGCCGGGGCGAGGTCGATATACACGAAGTCATTCATTTTAACTGTTTGACACTTTAAGGTAGAGTATACTTTTTGTTGACGATGTAATCATTATAACTTGCAAGGCTGGGTTCATAGCATGAGTCTTTAAAACGTGTCAATATGAATATCACAATGTGCGTTGACTTGCAGTGCAAACGTCCTACGGACAGTCACATGGCCATTTCTTAAGAAAAAAGAACTTTTTATAGTTTGAAAGGTATTGAAAACATACGCATCCCACATTTATTACCTTCTGTTGTGGCACAAAATAGGAATACAGCCCAGCAAAACAGCATTGTAGAAGAGGCAGTTTGTATGTATTTGTAGTTTTACCAGGAAGGACCATATGAATGCTTCAATTCGCTGCAACTGAAAAGTGAAGATATAGAGCAATTCTGTCACTCGTCAAAATGCTTTCAATTAGAAGGTAGTATATATATCTGATCTGACTGAATTTATAAAAACATGGCTTCAGTGAGTGTCTACAGGTCCTACGCTAAGTGTGTCTTTGGTACCAAGACTTTGACCCTCCCCACCCAGGATAATGGGTGACTGTCTGCATCTCCCACTGAGCTCTGCAATTATCATGATAATCATTCTAAGCAGAGGACTGATTCAGCTGGCTAGGGAAAATTAAGAACAAAGGTACTTACCAGTCAAAGCCTGTACTGAACACTGCTGCTTACTGAAGGGGTTGTGTCAAAACAGCCCCCTCCCTACCCCACTAGGTTTGACCCCCAGGCCTGATCCACCCACCCACTGTTAGGGCAGTCCCTAGGCTAGCCAGCTGTACCGGCTAAGACGGCAAGCCACCCTACTTTTTTGGACACCGGACTGGCCTGGAACCGGGCTGTGCCCGGCGCCAGGCGAAAACCTAGTGGGCACGTTTTAACGAAATCAGACAGTTATATTTTAATCAGAAAAGTCAAAACACAAATATTAATCATACGAGTCCTCGATGAGTACTCCCACATATTTACTAAGGGGGTGTGCGGGTGAGTCTGTGGGATTCTGGTCCTGTTCTAGCCTGCGCCTCAAACGAAACGAAACTCTGGTTAAGTTGGTCTGCAAAACAGCGCCGAAATCTTTGTTCTGGCCCGTTAAAAATGCCATTGTCGATTTGTCAATCAAGATGAAAAGAAACTCTTCCGGTAATTCGTTGAGTCCGGGGGTCCGGAACAAGGATTTTGGCGCTGCTTCGCAGACGTTACTAACCGTAACTAACCGGTTGCCGTTGCCGTCGTCGTTATTAGGCTGATTTATCAACAGAACGGGAACGTCATTTGACGACGGCAAAGCGCGCGTAAAGGACTAAACTCCGGTGCCCAGTTTGCCGCTCAGCCATTGGTCAAGCCAGTTGTTTGATTTGCGCGCGCCGTCGTCAACTGACGTTCCCGTTCTGTTATTAAATCAGCCTTTTATGTCTGCGACGCAGGCTAGACCTGTTCAAGACAAAAAAGAAATGACTTTCCGACCCTGTTCCGGACAATAAGCAAAAAATAGTGGTAGACATTTTTATTGTCGCGCATTTGTTTATAATCTGCCTGCATCAAGTTTTTACTTTGTAAAGCATTTGAACTTGATGGAGAATAACAAGGGTTTGAGGAAAGCAAAACAGCCCTGTTCTCTAGAGTTAAACGGAAGTAAAAAATACCCTCTTCCAAAGGGAAACAGTGGTTTTTATAACCTGTTCCAGAGTCGGAGGCGGCAGAAGTATAAACAGTACCCCCTCTCCCCTTCTCCCGCTGGAGTGCGAGTCCACCTTCAAAACATCGTGATTATCTGATAGCCTCTTAATTGAATAAAACTCACTCGGCCTCAAGAAGTTTTTTAAAAAACGGTGTCAAAAATTTTGCTGTTGAGCGCGGCAATATCATTCCTTTAGTCTCACGCACTGAGACATGGGAATGCTGTGGGCACCAGCTTTGTTGCGGAATTAAAGTGGCGCATGGCAAGACGAATCAAAACTGTTCTCTCACCAAGTGGTCATAATAAGGAAAACGTCTTATCGGTCGGGTTTAAAACGCAGTGGAAAACATGGCCAGGTTGTATTGAACATTTAAGTATTCTTTGGAAAAAGCAATATTTCAGACTCACGGGAAGGATGGGTAGCGGTATTTTTCGCTAAAAAATCGGACAAAAATCCCCTATTTCCGTGATACATGCTAAACTAAAGGAAATGTGTTAAAAAAAACTTGTTTAATTGAGCTATGAATTAAAAAACGATTATCTCCTTTCATATGAGTAAATAACATGACTTATTTTGTATTCAGTATTCATAACAGGGCAAATGGCTTTGTTTTCTTTTAAAGCAAAAAGCAATTAAAAAAAGCTTTAGCATTTCCATACACTATTTGTTTAGATTCGTAGTACCGGATGTTTGTATAGTATTGTTTCCACATATAGACGGAAAATTAGGGAAATACAGAACAAAACGCAGTGAAGGAAAACCATTCTTTGCCGAGAAAGTGAAAGAAAACGTAGAGGCTTCTCTGGACTCCCCGGCGGACAACACAAGTTTGCCTGCATCAAGCGATGAACCACTTTCTCCGCGGTACTATTTCTTTTGGTCCTCTTTTGTAACATCAAATTTGTGGTTTCCGGTTGCGGAAATTTGCATTTTATTTCCTGCCTGTGAGAGTTTAAAAAAGCAAAGGCCTGTGGGGGCGGGGGGGGGGGGTAGGTTACTCCAATGAATTCTCGGTCGGTGTGTGCCTCACTATGACATAAAGCTCTGATGCAGGGGTATAATACCCCCTCCTCCCCCCGGGAAGAGGACGTCACTAAAACAAATTAAATAAATAAGTTATCGTTGATTGATGAGGGATTAACTCTTTATACCATTTAGGTGGCCAATAAATAAATTGAAATCCTTGAAAATCCTCATTTCAGTATAAAGGGTAGTAAAAGCAAGTAGCTATTTAGCAATTCAGAGTACTACTGAAGAGATTTCAACTAATGAATTTTTCGTCCACAGACTCAATTTAATTGATAATTTGGTTGGCGTGACTCCAGCAGGGCTTACGATATGCATAAAATGAGTCCTCCATGTGACATGTGCATATCAAAACTTACTGTTGGTAGTTCTGATCGTTTAGTTATTGAAACATTGAAAAGAAAAACAAGAGATGGTGAATTTAATTCAACCATGTTTGAAACTTAGTTTTGCTATGACACGACTTGCACAGACGAGAAAGGAAGAAAGGGATACATTTGCCCAAAAGTAGGGTCTTTTCGGATCTGTTTCTTATTAACAAGAACAATCCTTCTTTATAATGTGCTATAATTTACGCATAATTTCAAATTTCACGAGAAAATTGTTTCTCCTTCGGGAACTTAGAGTTTGCAGCGACAATGACGAACGACCTCCTAAGTAGATTAATCTGGTCCCATAATATCATTTCAACTCATTCATCGCTATGAGTGCTTAAATTCACTCCTTTTGAGTGATGTAGGTTTAAGATCTGATAGCGCTCCAATAACTCAAGGCCCATGCCAGGTACAGGAGGAGACCAGTGACTTTCTGGTTTGAATAACCACACTCCAGACCCGAAAACCAATAATCTAAAGTAAAATCCACTATGCAGCGGGGAACAAGCAGTCGATAAACGGGCAAGATAGCTTCACAACAGTACACAAATATTTCAAACACGCTGCAGAGTAGCTTGCGAGTGTCGAGATTAACACGAAGAATGAATGATGTCACAAACGATTCTATTCACGCAACTCTTACCTGAAATTCACCGATTTCATGGCCACTAACTCTTGCAACGCAGCAAGCCCGCCGGCCGCGGGAACTTGTTATCGTACTCTTGACAAAACAACAATGCCACTGCAACAATTTGCACCGGATGAACAATGTGCACGTGACCTTTAAACTCTTTAACCACAATTATTTTCATTTATCTTATTTGATTACATTGTGAAGCAAGGATTAAAATAGGTGATAAGAAAGCCCGTTGGCGATTCAAGCAGAATAGCATGCAAACGGAAGGAAATGCCTGAGACTTCTACAGAGGTAAATTTAGGTTTCGTCATGAATAATTGAGGTTACAGTCGACTCTCTCTTTCTTTACTCCCTTTATTTGACCCTCTGTAAAACTTGACGGAAACCTAGAGTTGGTCCCTGCCTTTCTCAGTTTACTCCCTTTATTTGACTCTCTATAAGACGGACACCTCTGTAAAACAGACACCTAGAGTTGGTCCCTGCCTTTCTTTACTCCCTTTATTTGACTCTCTATAAGACGGACACCTCTGTAAAATGGACACCTAGAGTTGGTCCCTGCCTTTCTCTACTCCCATTGTAAATTTACTTTACAAAGTCAAATTCATTCGTATAATACAAGAAACTCGTGTAAATTTCGTCTGCCTTTCTGTCGTACTCGAACCAAACAATTTTCCGTTTTTTATCAAGGACCTAAATTTTACAACACCTTAAACACCAACATCATCAACGCTTCCTCACCTTTTTCCTTTAAAAGAGCACTTAAGGCATTTATTTCTAATAATTATTAGTATACTCCAACAGAAATCTTGCGAAAAAGCCTTTTAATATACTCAACATTATTTGTAAACTTTCGTAATATTGATTAGTTTAATTTCCACCTGATATTATTTTGTATCCGTCGCCGTAATTTTTATGCCATCTTCGAAAAATTGTAATTGAGGAGGCCTAATTAACATAAGCTCTATAGTTTCCTTTAGGCCTCTTCGCCATTTCTTCCTACATTTTTTTTTTTGCCATTTCTTTGTAATTATTGTAATCGTGTGGCAAATAAAAAAATACAAACACAAATACAAATACACCCAGAGTTGCTCCCTGCCTTTCTTTAATTTACTCCCTTTATTTGACTCTCTATAAGACGGACACCTCTGTAAAACGGACACCTAGAGTTGGTCCCTTTCCCTCTTTACTCCCTTTATTTGACTCTCTATAAGACTTACTCCTCTGTAAAATGGACACCTAGAGTTGGTCCCGCCTCTCTTTACTCCCTTTATTTGACTCTCTTTAAAGACGGACACCTCTGTAAAACAGACACTTTCATAACCGGTTTCCTAAAGATGAGATTCAGTGACGCCATCGTTTCATAAATTTCTTTTTCTTCCGCCCAGACCACCACGCTCACTGAGGCATCCGACGTTCTCGAAACTGACCGTTACTATTCTGGAGAGCGTTTTCATTGCGAATTTCGTGGCCGGCAATGTACTGTATACTAAAATATAAACTATGGACGAAAGGGCAATCCACAAAATGGTTTTAAGATTTTTGAAAAAATATGGATGGGTGTGGAAAAGGCTTACTTTTTTATACTAGAAATTTCAAAAATAAAGACTCACGAAAATCCCAGAAACAAGGCCAGCAAGAAGCACAAAAATACAATCCTTGTTCCCTCTATTTGTCAACATTCTAAGGTGCAATTCAGAGTATCGCCATCAGGAGCCATCGAAAATTACGTCATCAGCTTATTCTACACGCAAATTATGGCACGTAAATGCATCATACTCCAATGTGAAAGAAGCAAGGTTAATTCAACAGTAAGGGAATTTAATAGGGCCATTTATACGAGAAAAAAAAAGACTCGTCTTACATAAGACGCGAACATTCCGTATAAACGGCACATTTCGTCTAAAATAAGACGCGGCTTAGCTAAGACGCTTCTTATTAGATAAGACATGCTCGTATAAATGGTACAGTTCGCGTCTTATTTAAGACGCGTCTTATGTAAGACGCGTCTTATTTTTCCTCGTATAAATGGCCCTAATGTTTAACTTTTATAAAGGAGAAGTGGCCCAGATTGATCAGTGAACCATCCTCGCACCCAGGACGTGGGCGAGGTTAATAGGGAGCTTAAGGAACGACGACGGCGATGTCAACAGGGACGGCAAAAAAGCAATTGGTTTAGATTAGAAAAACAACTACTCTGCACGTGCATCACGCTTTTTTGTACATTTCTTTGTCGTCGCTGTACGTTATACAAAGTAAAACTTCATAGTTCACGTTTTATGGAGGACGGGAGCACAAGATATAGATATAATCCTTTAAAATTCAACTACCGACAAAATCGCCAACCTATGAAAAACTAGAAGAAACAAGAGTGATGAAATTTGAAACAGCTATTTTGGGATGAAGTTTTCGTTGCCGTCGCTTAAATGATGAACCTGAACAGAAACGTGAAATATATTTGGTAGCCTGTGACTATTAAAATTTATTCCAGGAAAAACATTGGGCCTTTTCAGGAGGATTTTTCTTTTACCACGAATATATAAATTATTAGAGATGTCTCTTCACGCTCTCGCATACCATGGATCATTACATTAGATATCATGAATCATAAATACTATGGATTTAGTTTTTATCACGCTTACGAATGACCACGCAAACAAAAAAAGTCAGTCTTGAATCAATCGCGAAAATTCGTTCGAAACGATCGTAAGGTCATCAGAGAAAGCCGTGGGTGCTACGAGTTCCGTTGCTCCAAGACTATTAAAATCCCTTCTATCATTAATGCTGAAAGGGTATTGCATTTACGTACATCCAGCTGAAATTTGTGGAATTTATATCTGAACATATAGCTAACAGACTTCACTCTAAAATTTTGTCATATACGTTTGTTCGACGGCTACGCACTTAGACATTTCTGGCAACTTTGTGTTGTTAGAACTGAAAAGTGCTTTTCCTTGCAGGAGTAATCCCCTAATTCCTGAGTACTGTTAAATCCATGTTTTCGTTAGACATATGATTGACACCAAAGAAACATCTATACTTTAATATCCCTTAGTTTAAATAAACGTAGATGACGTTACGTGAGAAAAATCTGTTCCTTAAGTAAACGGTGCTACTATGAAATTATTTTAATAACCTCTCTGATTTCCTCTGACAATTTGTTTCATTTTAAGTTATTTTCACGCCTACACTTAACTAAATAGTAAATTTTTCTGAATACCAATTATCTTCAAGACCAATGCAAAATATGAATGCTGTTCTAGTTAAACAAAGTAGTCCGGGAGAGACGCGAAGGCGATGTTCAACTCCAAGAAGTGAAAACGAGAAGCTAGACGTCAACTGAAATTCCAGAAATATTTATGTAAAAGCTTTGCTCTCCAAATAAAACTAAAGACAGCAAAAAAATTGAAAAGCACACGGCTTAATTATCTTTTCACTTTCATTGTGCTGAGTTGTGCCTCTTGTAAAATATTGAGAGCTAACTGCACCACTACAATACAGCTGTCTTCCATTGATTATAATGTGCCTGACACTTTTTACTGTGTCATCTATAGTCTTAGGAAACGTCGGAAATGAGTTTGTTTTAACCAATTTCTACACAAAAGTGAACGAAATGGATTTGAGACTTCCTTGTTAATTGATCTTTTAATGGTTTCACTTCTTGCCGAATTACTCAGTGTTAAATGTCACTTTTGATCGCTAACAGCCAGAAAACTGGATGAATACTCTATTTTGTGTGTTCAATGGTGACTGAGAGCATTGTTGACTCAAACTTTGTCTTAAAGTTTGGTAAATACGGCATGTTATTACTTCAATCATTCGCGATAAATGTTCCCACGGTTGGGGTGGAGTGTGTATTTCTTTGGACAAATAATTGCAAAGCGAGGCAAGAGATAGAACTATGTGATCCACGATCTTTGAACACTAAAATAGCCGATAGTAACATGAATAAAGTTGTTTGCACTTGATCATTTTGGGTAATTCCTTGTTTTAAAAAATTAATTCGTGTCACGCAATAACCTTTTTGTTCACTAACGTCGACAACCAAACGGTTTAGAAGCAGGAAAGATTGTTTTTTAAGTAGCTGTCGAACAAGCGAGCAAGCATAAATATTTTCCGGCACATTTCTTTTTTCCCTATCTGGCACAACACCTTCGCAAAGTTGTTACATTAATGATAAGTCTTGACTAGTACTATTCAAACGTCCTTACCTCGATTTTGCTGGGCTTCTCTGAGTCTTAATGAAACATCGTCAAACTTCACATCGCGGAAAAGCGTCCAGCCCGGTGCCGATCATCAAGTATCATAATGATAATTCTTTCGTATTACTTTCTAAATTTAGATCTTTATAACTACCAGTTTTCGAGTTTCAGCGTTTTTGCTGCCGTAATTTTATCACCAGTTGTATAATTTTAGTTTCCCGGTTAACCGCCTTGCAAACAAAATAATTTTGATGCATATGATCGTCCTTTGTGCAACGTAGACCGTGGGAGTCTGGTGCCTAGACTGATGACCAGGCTCCAGGGGTCTTGTATGGCCGAGCTGCTGTTTGCAAAATTGGATGAACTTTTGATTAAGTGATGAAAACGTTGTTTACAAGTATAAAATAAAAGGAAATTCAGCAAAGATTTATGAAAAACCAAAAGCCTCAAACATTTGTCGGTATGACAGCAGTATGCGGTAGTGCAACTCAAATCAAAATTTAGACTGAGTCAACTTGACTGAATACAATAACTTTTATTTTCATTAAATAAAGACGTTCTATTTTTAGTAGATTCGCCGTAAAATGAAATTAAAGAAAACAAATTTGAACTGTAAATGAATAAAAACTTACCGAAACCGTTTTAACTAATACAATTTAATGGCTTTAACTAAACTGAGCTTAATGCTGCAGGCTAATGTGACAAGCCATGTAGTCAATTTAACCACACATAACGGTATTATGGTGCATAAATCCCCCGTCGTAACCTGTCAACGCCGCTTTCACTCACGAAAACGTATCCTTTGAAGCAGAAAAACAAAAACAGGACTCAACAACGGACTTGGTAGAGCTCGATCGTTACCGTTTATATTAGCCAACTGATTATTTTCAAACTTGTCTTTAGTGGGCAGAACTGATGCAAGAAACTAATGTTCATCCTTGCTCCTCAAAACTGCCGCTTAAACAAACATGGTGATTAAAATTTGCTGACCTTTTAGATTTCATTGTCTCAGGCACAAAGTACAAGTGCGTGCGTGCGTGCGTGCGTGCGTGCTATTTAAAACGACACGTATCAATGCAGCTAAGAAGCAGAACGGGTCTCGATCTTTCTACGTCTATGTTTAGGAATAAGTTTCAAACAATGCATGTTTTAAGCATCGCATTTTAAAAAACGCTAAGTCCTAATTAGTAAAGTCTCTACTAAATATAAACTTTGTTATTTAAATAACAATAAACATATTCAGGTTTAGAACAATAAGGAACTTCTAAGTCTGGTTATGAATATATAAAAATTAAAAGCTCCGTTTTAAGCATGAAGTACTGTGCAACTCCCTAGTTAACTTAGACAATAAGACAAAACAGTTAAGAGGTGATACTTTGGAGACAATTTTGAGTTTCGTTATTGATTTTGGAGGAAACGGATTAATAGTCTCCACTATGGTAGCCTCCCACGCAGGCGTTTAAGGGAGCTCGTTTTTCATCCTTCCCCACAAACGCCTGCTCAACTGAAAACAACATTCCTTTCCCATTGTGCGTGGTAAGTGACCAACTGATCAACAGTTGTGCAATAAAGTGTTGACGGGCTAAACGCGACTAAAACGTGACCCTAGAGTTACAGTATTTCCTTCTTTTCTTTCCTTCGCTAAGGTTATGCAGTGCATGCAGTATTCTAAAATTTGACTAAATCTTATTTTTGCCGCTGTGAATCTAGCATTTATTAGAGGTCAGAAAGCTTTCCCAGTGTTTCGTGCAGATCGAGAAATTATCAGATTACCTTGCGGTCAAGGTCAGCTTTCCAGAATTTGGAAAGTATAATGTGCTTGGCTAACCATGGGAAACGAATGTTGTCTTCGGTTGAGCAGGCGTTTGTGGGGAGGGATGAAAAACGAGCTCCCCTAAAAACGCGTTCGTGGGTGGCTACCACTATGGCTACTTTTCTTTTTTTTAATGAAATCTGCTTCATTTTAAGAACAGACCGTCAATGCCACTTACTGACCCAAATGTATGCTATGAAGCAGAACGAAAAAAGCAGACCATTATGGGTCTAATAAAAACGAATGGCGCCGGTCACAATAATAATTGGCTAGTTCCATTAATAAATTCGATTAATTCTAAGACTTTTAATGCGCCTGTACAGAACCGTATTTATAAAAGTTGGTTAGTTTAAAGTAATTTAGCCCCCTCATACCCAATATGGGTTTGATGAACATTTTGATTTTTAGTTTAAAAGTTCCGTCGTGAAGTACATGCAGTGTAAGTGGTATTTCATACTCTTTTGTTATGAGTGCAGGACAATGTGCTTATGAGGCGAAACGCCTGATTGAGGATGTGAAGTTCTAAACGATTTGACTTTGTGATCGCCTGATTGAGATTAGTGAAGTGAATCAGAAGTTCTAAATGATTTGATTTTGTGATCGCCTGGTTGAGATTAGTGAAGTGAATCAGAAGTTCTAAATGATTTGATTTTGTGATCGCCTGATTGAGATTAGTGAAGTGAATCAGAAGTTCTAAATGATTTGACTTTGTGATCGCCTGGTTGAGATTAGTGAAGTGAATCAGAAGTTCTAAATGCAGCAGTATGCAGTAGTGCAACTCAAATCAAAATTTAGACTGAGTCCACTTGACTGAATACAATAACTTTTATTTTCATTAAATAAAGACGTTTTTATATTTAGTAGTTTCGCCGTAAAATTAAATTAAAGAAACCAAATTTGAACTGTAAATGAATAAAAACCTACCGAAACCGTTTTAACTAATACAATTTAATGGCTTTAACTAAACTGAGCTTAATGCCGCAGGCTAATGTGAGAACCCCATGTAGTCAATTAATCACACATAACGGCATTATGGTGCATAAACCCCCCGTCGTAACCTGTCAACGCCACTTTCACTCACGAAAACGTATCCTTTGAAGCAGAAAAACAAAAACAGGACTCAACAACGGACTTGGTAGAGCTCGATCGTTACCGTTTATATTAGCCAACTGATTATTTTCAAACTTGTCTTTAGTGGGCAGAACTGATGCAAGAAACTAATGTTCATACTTGCTCCTCAAAACTGCCGCTTAAACAAACATGGTGATTAAAATTTGCTGACCTTTTAGATTTCATTGTCTCAGGCACAAAGTACAAGTGCGTGCGTGCTATTTAAAACTACACGTATCAATGCAGCTACGAACTGCAGAACGGGTCTCGATCTTTCTGCGTCTATGTTTAGGAATAAGTTTCAAACAATGCATGTTTTAAGCATCGCATTTTGAAAAACGTTAAGTCCTAATTAGTAAAGCCTCTACTAAATATAAACGTTGTTATTTAAATAACAATAAACATATTCAGGTTTAGTACAATAAGGAACTTCTAAGTCTGGTTATGAATATATAAAAATTGAAAGTTCCGTTTTAAGCACGAAGTACTGTGCAACTCCCTAGTTAACTTAGACAATAAGACAGAACAGTAAGAGGTGATACTTTGGAGACAATTTTGAGTTTCGTTATTAATTTTGGAGAAAACGGATTAATAGTCTCCACTATGGTAGCCTCCCACGCAGGCGTTTTAAGGGGAGCTCGTTTTTCATCCCTTCCCACAAACGCCTGCTCAACTGAAAACAACATTCCTTTCCCATAGTGCGTGGTAAGTGGCCAATCAACAGTTGTGCAATAAAGTGTTAAAAACGTGACCCTAGAGTTACAGTATTTCCTTCTTTTCTTTCCTTCGCTAAGGTTATGCAGTGCATGCAGTATTCTAAAATTTGACTAAATCTTATTTTTGCCGCTGTGAATCTAACATTTATTAGAGGTCAGAAAGCTTTCCCAGTGTTTCGTGCAGATTGAGAAATTATCAGATTACCTTGGGGTCAAGGTCAGCTTTCCAGAATTTGGAAAGTATAATGTGCTTGGCTAAGCATGGGAAACGAATGTTGTCTTCGGTAATGAGCAGGCGTTTGTGGGGAGGGATGAAAAACGAGCTCCCCTACCACTATGGCTACTTTCTTTTTTTTTTAACGAAATCTGCTTCATTTTAAGAACAGACCGTCAATGCCACTTACTGACCCAAATGTATGCTATGAAGCAGAACGAAAAAAACAGACCATTATGGGTCTAAAAAAAACGAATGGCGCCGGTCACAATAATAATTGGCTAGTTCCATTAATAAATTCGATTAATTCTAAGACTTTTAATGCGCCTGTACAGAACCGTATTTATAAAAGTTGGTTAGTTTAAAGTAATTTAGCCCCCTCATACCCAATATGGGTGTGATGAACATTCTGATTTTTAGTTTAAAAGTTCCGTCGTGAAGTACATGCAGTGTAAGTGGTATTCCATACACTTTTGTTATGAGTGCAGGACAATGTGCTTATGAGCCGGATCGCCTGGTTGAGGATGTGAATTTCTAAATGATTTGAATTTGTGATCGCCTGATTGAGATTAGTGAAGTGAATCTGAAGTTCTAAATGATTTGATTTTGTGATCGCCTGATTGAGATTAATAAAGTAAATCGGAAGTTCTAAATGATTTGACTTTTTGTGATGTTAATAATGTAGTGTGCGAGGATAAATAGCGGAAAGAAACTTGAAGAGTCTCAGTTTTAAAGTGCTTTTGGTACTTACTACAGATACTAACTACCTTCAGGATCGGATCCATCAATCATCGTCCTCAGTGATTCCTTGGTCCTGAGAGTTCTTTTGAAGTAGGTAAGTCTGCTCCCAGGAAAAAAAAGTTTCAAAATCGAATGGCTGCCTATAAAGTTTAAGTTTAGCTTAATCAAAATGACTGAAAACCAATCCTATTTCATTTCTTTCATAGCCTTTTTGCTGCCTAACACGCTGATCATATTATCATGAAGTTGCTGATCTTTCTGCAGTGTTGTGTTCTCCTCTGCAAACTAGCAGCTGGTAATGAAGGTAAGTTATTTTAATTCTCATCCCTTCTTAAGTGATCAAACACTGAACCACAGTCTAACACTACTATTAATAAGTTAAAAGGTTGCTAGCCTGTTGCAGAAGATCTTTATTGGTTTCCGTTGCGTTGCAGGCGTTATTAAGATAGCTCGACCCAGTATTTTTGTAGGTACACCTTTAGCTTCCATCTTCGAATCTGTTAAACAAACTTATTTTCATTGTAAAAACCATTATAACACATGTATTACACGTAGACTAAACTTTATCCTGATATTATTTTTGGGCCATCGGAATACATATCACGTGACGATGACGCCACTGACAATAGTTTAGTTTTTCGTTTTGTGTTTCGAGTTAACTTCATAGGAAACTCAGGAGTTTAGCCATGAGGCAAAAGTCGAGTTATGCCATTTTTAAAAACTTTAGTACTTCCCTATAGCTAGAGTGGGTAGCTATCCGACTCTTAAAGGTGTCTGCGGTTTTGCATATCTTAGATGACTCCTTATTTATCGTGCTTAGTCACGACAAACATTACAAGCCGCAGGCTCGATTTTCGGGGGATTGCGACGTTCAGCGTCGCAATCTTCGCATATTTCTGAAGGGCGAGGCGCCAAGTCTATTGTTTTGAACCAAGGATTATATTACATCAAAAGACCCTGAGCCTATCTTAAAGCTGTCAACAATGTTCGTTTTATTGAGCAATCTTTCATCTTCGACACTTAATCCAGTTTATCTTAAGTGGACACCCAACCTAGTTGCTATTCACGTGCACTTTCGAAAGCATAATATCAAATAGACTTCAAAAATTCTGCATTGGAGCTTCACTCTTCGTCTTTAATTTTAGCCGACCCACTCAATAAACAATAAATAAGCACAATATTACCGAAAAATAATTACAACTGAGAACTTGATGAATAAACAATGAAAACAACAACTCAATTATCTCTCAGGGAGACCACCGCCAAAGCGGATACCCGCGAGGTTTGTTCGGTTTCATCATAGACGGAAGAAATTTTTACAACCCTAGTATAAATCTGGCCTAATTGTCACTTGATCGAAGAGAGATATTTACGCAAAAAAAAAAAACTATCACAGTTCACAAATGATTTAGACATTATCTTAATATTTTACCTTAAACTGTCGAAATTAAAGTATTGCCGCCCGCGGACAAAACTAGCTTTTCTCCGGTTTCCGGTGTACATCAAACACAGGCATCACGCTGAATATTATCCAGACTGAGAGCCGTAGATCAGAAAAAAAATCACAATGACTAAATTTCGCTTTTGAAACCAACACCACTCGTCGTAAGATTGGGCGCATCGCATAAGAGCTAAAGACTTGAGAGGGAGAGAAAATAAAAATCTACCGAATTATATACACTAACAAAAACAACAACTCTATAACGACTAGCTAAAACACGATCGATTCAAGCTGTGGCTTACTTTATACTTTATCACAGCTTCTTAAGAATGGGCGCGCTGCCTGTAAGCCATTAGGAAGAGGAGAGAAAAATCTACCGAATTATACAAACTAAAGCAATGTAAAAAAAGCTGCATTTACTAGCTAAAACACGATCGATTTTAGCTATGTACTATTCACTTTAAGAAAATCTCCCTTCACCTCTTAAACTTGGGCGCGCCGCCTGTAAGCCAAAAGGGAGAGGAGAGAATAATCTACTGATTTACCAAACTAACACAGCGTATAAAAACTGCAATTGGCTAGGTAGTAAAACATGAACGACTCAAACTACGAATGTTTCAATCTAAAAAAATCTCTCTTCACCTCTTAAACTTGGGCGCGCCGCCTGGAAGCCAAGGGGGGAGAGGAAAGAGTAACCAAACTGATACAGCGTATGAAAACTGCAATTGGCTAGCTAGTAAAACATGGTCTATTCAGGCTACGAGTTTTTTACCGTTGAAAAAAATCTCTCGTCACCTCTTAAACTTGGGCGTGCCGCCTGTAAGCTAAGAGGGAGAGGAGAGAAAAAATTACTGAATTATCCAAACTAACAACGCATGAAAACTGCACTTGGCTAGCTAGCTAAAACATGACGATTCAATCTACGAGTTTTTTACCTTAAAAAATCTCTCTTCACCTCTTAAACTTGGGCGTGCCGCCTGTAAGCCAAGAGGGAGAGGAGAGAATAATCCACTGAATTATCCAAACTAACATAGCGCATGAAAACTGCAATTGGCTAGGTAGTAAAACATGATCGATTCAAGCTACGAGTTTTTTACCCTTGAAAAAAATCTCTCTTCACCTCTTAAACTTGGGCGTGCCGCCTGTAAGCGAAGAGGGAGAGGAGAGAATTACCTACTGAATTATCCGAACTAACACAGCGTATAAAAACTGCAATAGGCTAGCTAGTAAAACATGATCGACTCAAGCTACGAGTGTTTCAATTTAAATATTTCTCTCTTCACCTCTTAAACTTGGGCGTGCCGCCTGGAAGCCAAGAGGGAGAGGAGAGAGTAACCAAACTAACGCAGCGTAAGAAAACTGCAATTGGCTAGTTAGTAAAACATGGTCTATTCAAGCTACGAGCTTTTTGCCGTTGAAAAAAATCTCTCGTCACCTCTTAAACTTGGGCGTGCCGCCTGTAAGCCAAGAGGGAGAGGAGAGAATAATCCACTGAATTATCCAAACTAACATAGCGCATGAAAACTGCAATTGGCTAGGTAGTAAAACATGATCGATTCAAGCTACGAGTTTTTTACTCTTGAAAAAAATCTCTCTTCACCTCTTAAACTTGGGCGTGCCGCCTGTAAGGTAAGAGGGAGAGGAGAGAATGACCTACTGAATTATCCAAACTAACACAGCGTATAAAAACTGCAATAGGCTAGCTAATAAAACATGATCGACTAAAGCTACGAGTGTTTCAATTTAAATAAATCTCTCTTCACCTCTTAAACTTGGGCGTGCCACCTGGAAGCCAAGAGGGAGAGGAGAGAGTAACCAAACTAACACATCGTAAGAAAACTGCAATTGGCTAGCTAGTAAAACATGGTCTATTCAGGCTACGAGCTTTTTGCCCTTGAAAAAAATCTCTCGTCACCTCTTAAACTTGGGCGTGCCGCCTGTAAGCTAAGAGGGAGAGGAGAGAAAAATTTACTGAATTATCTAAACTAACACAGCGCATGAAAACTGTAATTGGCTAGCTAGCTAAAACATGACGATTCAATCTACGAGTTTTTCCCCCTTTAAAAATCTCTCTTCACCTCTTAAACTTGGGCGTGCCGCCTGTAAGCTAAGAGGGAGAGGAGAGAAAAATTTACTGAATTATCCAAACTAACATAGCTCATAAAGACTGCAATTGGCTAGATAGTAAAACATGATCGATTCAAGCTACGAGTTTTTTACCCTTGAAAAAAATATCTCTTTACCTCTTAAACTTGGGCGCGTCGCCTGTAAGCTAAGAGGGAGAGGAGAGAATAACCTACTGAATTATCCGAACCGGTAACACAGGATATGAAAATTGCAATTGGCTAGCTAAAACACGATCGATTTCAGGATCCGAGTTCTTTTTACTTAAAAAATCTCTCTTCACAAAATGCGTTCCTATAATCCATTCCTCGAAATTTGAATCTGTATATCACTTTCGGGGAAAATCTAACATCTTGCAGAAAATACTAAACGAGCTTGGCCCAGCGTGACATAAATTGGAGGAAACCATCACATTCACGGACAAAAGAATATCGCCTTTAGCTATTCAGATCCAGGAGGCACTTTGGAGAAGACTAAACAACCTAAAACTCTTATTTAGCCGCAAAGGAAGAGATTTACGTTTCAAAAGAGGTCGAAGAAAGTGCTCTTGCATTAGAGGACAAATCATGCCGACCAGAGACAATAACCGCAGAAAATCAATATGCGTGTCATGACCTCTCAGTATGAAACAAGCGGCAAAATTCACATTTACTCATTCAAAGAGTAGAACCCAGAATATAATATACCCACCAGAGAAAACAATTTTTGGAACAAGCAGCATTTTGGCACGAGGTAAAAGTCGTGTGTTGCCTACCAGCCCCCTTTTTACACTCTGTTAGATGGTTCGAGCATTTTGGCGGGATCACGGCTCTTTTGGCGCGTGTTGTAAATGCCCTTTGAATTATAATATTTGTGCCTTATTGTGTAGTGATCGAGGATATACACAATACCAAAGGCAAGTAAATATTTTCCTCTGTTTTCCTCAGTGTCGTCAAACCGGCTTCACCGATGTGCTCGAACTCCGCATGCGAGAGCCATAACAAGCTGCTCCTCTACCTTTTTAAATAATAAAGGTCTCTCTTACCTTATATCGGCGAACACAGTTTCTGTCCTTCGGACATAATGCGAAATAACATCCAGAACTCTTCACGTTGAACTTTTGAAACCATTTCGGCGACAATATGTAACTTACCAGGTAACGTACCGAATAATTATTACTTTGGAGGGTTCGAATTCGACCTTCATAAAGCGCTAGATTTTGCCTTTCGCTTAAGAAACCAAAAAAATATTTCTTTTTTTCCAAGACTTGCACCAAGACCCTTTTTTAACACCAACCATGAATTTAAGTATTTTCATTAAGTGATTTTGACGAGAACCATAGCTGAGTTAAAATTTCTCGCTCCGATGGCATAAATTCGGCGCGCAGAAGACAAGCTCTGATATTTGACGCAAATTTGTGTCCTGTCCTAAAATGAGTTTATTGACAGATGAACTGACAGAAAGCGATTAATGTGAACACCTGAGGTGCGCAAGGAAATGTGTCAAGACTAACGCCTTGTAGTTACTTGAGTCCAGTTTGTGGGTATCTCCATGGAAATTAAGGATCCCTGGTGCGTGCACGAAAATCGACCTTGCGGCTCGTAATGGAAAAGCCGATCTTTGTATTTTTTTTTTAATATGTGCACGTGAAAACGTTACGGTTCCCACACCACTCTACAGTTTGCACAAATCGAATTAGTTTTTGTAAGGCAAGAAGCCTTCAGAAAAGATTCACAAATTAGCCCATCAATTGCGCAGAAAAGATCAGTCACCTCGCGAGAACTACAGTCGTTAATTAGCCCGTTAAACTTTTGTTGGTCCGTGGTCACTCCAGGACGAGCCTATTTGCGACGCATCGATCTTACCGCAGGCGTTACACGCCCCTACCATCACGTCCGCCGTTTAAACACCTAAGATAAACATGCTACAGTTTTAAGATAGTTTTAACAGAATTTTTTTTTTCTGTCAGAGCTATGGGACACTTTATCGACTTTCGAATTATATACAGATGCCGTTGCATCAAAGGGTTACGGAGCGATATTTGGAAAGCACTGGGTTTTATGGCCCTTTTCCTATAGCATATGGCACTGCCTTTTAAAATAAAACTTTACTCGAGCCTTTTTATTACTCTGGCGCTACATATTTGGGACCCACCATGGCAAATGGTTGCGTCTTGTTTTTCACTGACAATGCGGCCCTTGTAGATATTATAAACAAACGAACTTCAAAAACATTAACAGGTCATGATTCTTTCTACGTAACCTTGTACTCAGCTGCTAGATACGGAGGGGGGAGGGGATATATCATATTTTTTCGAGCCAGCCGCGTCCCCGACTTAAAGAAGAGTCCTGCATCTCCCGTTTACAGATTGAGGGATTCAAGGAACTCTCGCCGGAGGAGGACAACTTTCTAACAGCAGTGCCAACGAGCCTACAGCCGGAAAGTTGGTCACTCACTTGAGAGACTTGCTATTAGGCTCGGGCTATTTGGCTACTGCCTCTCGTAGCCCGTACCTTAAAGTGTGGCTGGGAACCAACCCTTCCATACCAAGGTGACTGCCTTTATCTCCAATCTCTCGGCCAAATATTTCGCCCCTTCTACGATGCCTTCTGTCCTCTCCTGTCCTACCCTCCCACGCAGACTTTCTTAGGGGATTCGTCATAGAGGGACTTCAACGAGAGCCCCCGAAGTTACTTTTAGGGTATCGGTATAAATATGGCAATTATTTAAGTTACTTGAGCGGCTAAGTCAGAGAACTGATTCCCCGTTCCTTTCTCCTGGCTTATTTTCTGTTTAATTTTGTTTGTTTTGTTTTTATTTATTTTCACTGTCCTTTTTTTTTTCTTTTTACTAGCTACAAAATTTGGTTTTTTAGTCTTACTTCATTTTATGACTAGTTCGCTTCACTTACAGTTTAAGCCAGAGATATCAAAACGTTTCCTAGCCTCTGCGGCTCGACCGGTAGGTCTTACTGATAATGATAACGACAAACTCCGCAATGTTTTGCTGTAGACTGATTCGTTTCCTTACAGGAGAGGGATGCCGTGAGGCTTTTGGAATGGAAAACGGAAAGATTGCTGACGACCAAATAACTGCTTCCTCAGAAAAGGAAGCCTATCCAGCCGTTAATGGAAGATTACATTATACCACTCCACAAGGAAGACCATTCGGTTGGCAACCTAAAAACAGTAGCTGCATTGAATGGCTGCTAGTTGATCTTCTTCTTGACAACAGCACAATAACGGGGGTAGCAACACAAGGATGCAGCAGTCGCACGTCAAAATCTGTTTTAAGTGTAACCAAATACGAATTAGAATTCAGCAATGATAGTAAAGCGTTTTATGCAGACCATCGGGTAAGCTTATTTCGTTTTTCTTTCAATGAAATTCCGAAGCTTATATATTTGTCTTTAGAGTTCCACAAAGCTGAAATACTTTTTGTCTAAACGTCTGAATTGGGGGACAGAAAAGCTTGTTTTTTATATGATCAAGTAAATGGTTTTCCAGGGAGAATTTAGCATAACAAGAGAAAAGTACAAGTTATATTACGTGTATATTAAAGGATGGTTTCAAAGGAAAAGGTTTCAATTTACAGTATTCAAATACTTTAGCAGAATTTCTCTCTTGATGCAATGTTTACAACAGGGGCGGATCCACGATTTTTTTTAGGAGGGGGTGCACTCGTCTCTTAAGCTCTACTTCAACACCAAGAAACCACATTTTTTTTTTTTTGCAGAATACCAGTTGTATTAGAAAACCGTAGGTCATCTAAGGGGGCACCCCTGCACCCTCCCCCTAGATCCGCCCCTGTACAACTACAGTTTACTTGAAATCAGGCTGTTTTGTGAACTCAAAATTTCCTAAAAAGACGAATTTTTCCCCAGAAATGAAAGTTTCTTTATGACTTAAAGAAAATGAAAGCAAATCTTTACGATAATTCTACATTTCAAGTAAACAGAACAAACTAAGGAATACTACAGAGAAACAACGCCTTATTTCAAGCAACCGTGGCCGCTGTCTCCGCTTTTCTATAGCCGCCCCCTACCCTCTCTGATTTTTTTTATGAGGGGAGGCTAATAAAACTCAGGCTTGAGTAGCGAAATTTCATGCCGTTTACAGATGTGTCAATTTAAATCGCGAAACTGTAATAAATCCCCGCGAAATTAATGTAGCAAAAACGGCGACATAACCCCTCAAAAAAAAAGGGGGGGGGGGAAGTGTAATTACTGTACTGATCCTGAGGTAACAGTTGACTTTCTCTGTTGATATCAACATTGTTGATGTTTATTTCCGTACACTATGTTTCTATTTACTTTATCGAAGTACAAGAGAATAATTACTGGATGACACAGTAGTACCTCTTTCATAAAACAGAGGAGAATATCTCATAACATGTGACTTATCTATGTTTTCTGGATTCTCTAAAATCCTGTTTTCCCTTAAATTAGTTATACGCAGGAAACACAGACGAGGACACAGTCGTATATCACACCTTGGATACACCAATAAAGGCTCGCTACGTTCGCTTCCAACCAAAATTTTGGAAAAATGGGATATGCGTGAGAGTGGAGCTCTATGGCAAAATCACAACAGGTACTTCAGTTATGTAACTGGCACTTTTTTCCTATAAGCTATACTTTTGGTCCCATATTACTTTTTGAATCAGTAAGCTTAAAGATGATTTTAATTTACTTTTGGCTCACTATAAAACGTAATCAAATTAACATCACATAAATAATACTTACAGATACTATTTGTAATATCATCACATGTAAATTGTGCGTTTGGGAATTAAATGTCTGTTCAAGACATCTCTAAAAAGTGTAAATTAACTTATTATTTGACAATATGAAGAACGTAAAATTATCGAGGAGGTAAGTGTATCAAATGAGACTCCGCTAGTCAATCAGGCCACCTGATGATCCCCTTCCAGAGACTCTCGCGAAAACACTCAAATCAAACCAATGCCGCTTTCTATTCAGTAAGACACTTCTTACTTACGTACCCTGCTCGGCGTGCGCTGATGAGCGCAGTTTCAGCTCGATGAAAGACTTCATTACCTAATACGATGACAGATGAGCGACTTTCGTCCTTGTCGATTTTACATATACATTAACACAAAGATGTTTATTTTGATAATGTCGCTAAATCTGCGCAACAAAAGGGGAGGCACCAGAAAATGGTTTGATGCATGGCGAAATGACCGTAAACCTTGCTTTCTTAATAGCCTGTGTACACTGGGCTTTTTTTAATATAGATTTGTTCTTGTTTCATGTTCATTCAATTGTGCCATTTTTTCCGATCCCAAGCTTGTGATTCCAGTCCATGTCTCAATGGAGGAACCTGTTTTGAAGACGAAAGTGGAAAAGAGTACATGTGTAAATGCAGTAGTGGATGGAAAGGAGACAATTGCGAAAAAAATATGACAGGTAGCCATTGATATTAAGAAACGTTCTTATTATATATTTGTGGCTTGTAAGAAATCCAGAGATATCCACAGGCATCACCTTAAGGTGCTCAGTTCGAAAAATCATCCATGAGCGGTGAATTCCATATTTTGAAAAGGCGTGAGATAAATGTTATGAATGAAATCGCGTTGCAACCCTTATCATAGCTATATCAACTGTAAAAATAGCCTATTGTTTCTTGTTTATTTATTAATAACTGTGTATTATCAATCTTTAAAATTTCCAAGCTTGTGATTCCAGTCCATGTCTCAATGGAGGAATCTGCCATGAAGAGGAAAGTGGACAAGGGTACATCTGTAAATGCAGTTGTGGATGGAAAGGAGACAATTGCGAAAACAAGACTTATACAGGTACCCCCTAAATTTAGAAACGTTCTTCATTATACATTTGTGACTTATGTTCATTTAACTGTGCCATTTTTTCCCAAGCTTGTGATTCCAGTCCATGTCTCAATGGAGGAACCTGTTTTGAAGACGAAAGCGGAGAAGAGTACATCTGTAAATGTGGTAGTGGATGGAGAGGAAACAATTGCGAAAAAAATATGACAGGTAACCACTGATATTAAGAAACGTTCTTATTATATATTTGTGGCTTGTAAGAAATCCAGTGATCTCCACAGGAATCACCTTAAGGTGCTCAGTTCGAAATATCATGCATGAGCGGTGAATTCCATAGTTTGTAAAGACGTAAGATAAATGTTATGAATGAAACCGCGTTGCAACCCCTTATAATAGCTATATCAACTGTAAAAATAGCTTATTGTTTCTTGTTTATTTATTAATAACTGTGTATTATCAATCTTTAAAATTTCCAAGCTTGTGATTCCAGTCCATGTCTCAATGGAGGAATCTGCCATGAAGCGGAAAGTGGACAAGGGTACACCTGTAAATGTAGTAGTGGATGGATAGGAGACAATTGCCAAAAAAAGACGTATGGAGGTACCCTCTAAATTTAGAAACGTTCTTCACCATACGTTTGTGGCTTGTAAGAAATACAGAGATCTCCACAGGCATCACGTTAATGTACTCAGGTCAAAATATCATGCATGAGCGGTGAATTCTATCATTCTTAGGAAAGAATCAAAATGAATGTTTAGGGAAGGACCATTTAATTTTTGAAAGGGGTGAAGGGGGGGTGTACCAGACCTCGTGTCTTCCCTCCCCCGGGTGATCGTTTTTCTGCACAGACGACCGAAAACCGACAATATAACTGGGCTTGCCCCATTGGCAGCCCAGTAAAAAGTAGCCACGCCCTGTCCTCCCCCACTAAATTCCCCTTGCTCCGCTTGTACTTTAAAACCCTTGTTATTCTGTTCTTACTTAGTAGTTTTATCAGAAAGTCCTTTTAGTTTATTCTCTCTAGATAAGGATTGTCCTCTCAACGTTTCTCTGCGTTCTTTAATTATCATTTTTAAGCGACTACTTAATAATATTTGACTGCCGAAAAATGGCTCTTGTCCTTGCAAAAAAACGCCTTCGACAGGAATATATAATGGTGCCTAACCAGTTTGTTATTCCACCCACAAATTAGCCGATTTTACGAATACAAAAAAATACTTGACTAAAGATGTTCATCATTTGCGTTATAACATTGTCGAACTGACTTAAGGGGAAAAAACGGAAATAAACACAGCGCACACCTAATTTAACAACCGGTTGCAAAAGTGCTGAGCCAATCTGACGAAAAATCCGGCCTTCTTAATTCAAATCGCTGCTTGTCACTGACTCGTCCGGTGAGATATAATACTCACCTCCCCCTTCCCCTCCATTCAAAGTTGTTCTTCCAAATGTTGAACATGGTCATGTACTACTAGCAACTTTGATAAGGGAAGGAGGAGGGATGACAAGCATAAAATCATGGCCAGGCCATTTAAGCAAAAATAAGGTATGGTATAGCGTCTCAAATATCTTTGCAACTGGTTGTAGCTTTTTTTAAAACAGCTAGTATACAATAGACACGGCCGGTTGCACGGAAATCAGTGACCTTGCGATGCGTTCTCGCAGCCTTCAATAACCCGTTCATCGGAGTATTACAGTACTGTTTCCCTCATTTCGTTTAATAGGCCATCTTACAGTTATGGACGGAAGCGAGGCTGGAGGTGACCTTGTTTTGATACAAACCTCCCTGCTTTATTATGTAAATCAAGTTGTTCTTATGCTAATTAGTATTTTTCAAGGACAATTTCCATAACAAAGCAAAGGAGGTTTGTATCACATTCACTCGAAGGCTAGGGTACTAAGGGCGTGTTTATATGGAGGTGGGAGACCCCAGATAGGTGAGGTAACATGTGGCGGGTCACCCCACCTATCATGTAAACATGGTCAAAATAATTAAATAAGAGATTATATCGATAAGCGGTTACCCTACCTAAGTGGGTTATCCCACCTTCTTGGGGTGCCGCACCTCCATGTAAACAGGCCCTAAGTCCACAACTGTAAAATGGTTTATTTTTTGTATAGAGCCTGTTTTACTCCTTTGATCTCTTAAAATTTGAGAACAATGTACGTTTAAAATATTTTGACGCCGTTTTGGAACTTCAAATAATAAAACAGCCTGTCTACACTTTAAGCATGTATTTTTCGTGCGATGATCAGATCCGAGAAACTCGCGAAGTTACGAAAAGCTTTAAACTTTGAGTCTCAAAGAGACATCTCAGTTAACGAAAGAATAAATGTTGTCAAAACATAAGCCCTTTCAATGGTAATTTTTATCCGCAGTTATATGGAAACACCACCTAATTTTTCTAAAGAGGACGGAAGAAAATGGTTTTCGACCTCGAATGGAATCATAAACCTGTGAAAATTAAAAAGACCACTCAGATAACATTTTTTATTTTAAGACCAATTAATTAAAAATCGGTTAATATTACTTTAAATATCACAACGTTTTGATAATAACATTGTCAAATGAACCTGTAGAACTTGTTTGTGCAACGAAGACGACGAAGTTTGTTTGTAAAATACTTTATGGTGTTCTAAAAATATGTATGAAGAAGTAAATTATAAAACTGTGATAAAACTAAGAAAAAGATGAGCCATAGGCTAAGGGAATTTTATAGCTTTCAAGCTTAAGCTTGTTTTATCATGTTTACTGTTGTTTTACTTGTTTTTAAGAAAAGATAACAATCCAACTAATCTAAAGCGCTTGTTCATAAATATCTGCGTTTCAGAATGCCTCCACTACCAAAGTTTGACCAACGGTAACAGGAAAGTGTCCCACGGTTCATCTCCACTTCTTTGTGATAATACACTTCCACATGGATGGTATCGTTTCCAAGGTAACGCGGGGACAAAAATGCCTACGTCATGCGTTTCTGACTACAGATGTAGTACTCATGCCACTGGCTGGCTTAACGGTGCTCATCCGTCAGTAGAAGAAGGCAAAGTCACCAAAAGGGTCTGCTTCAGCTGGGCCTCAAACTGCTGCACGTGGTCGATCAATATTGAAGTACTCAACTGCGGAGATTTCTTCCTGTATCACTTCCAAGGAACTCCCCCGGAACATCCATGTCATCTTCGTTATTGTGGTACAGACTGAGGGAATCAAGGTTTTCGAATTCCCATTCTTCGGGACAAAAAAGTGTGTTCAAACGCCCGCCTTAAGTTCAGAATAGACGACCAAGTAGCTTTTCATACTAGAGGGAATTACTTACTATAGAATTTAGTGAATCTGAGAAGTAAAACTGTATATTTGCCTAAAGTTTTATTCTCACAGTTTCAATCCTTACTCCTAATAGTAGGCTTGTTGGCTTGTTTGGTTAGTAAGTTTCCTTGTGAGTTTCTGAAGAAACTGTAGTGTTGCCTCAATAGCAGAGGGAAATGTAAAAAATTGTAGTTTGCGTATTTTGCGTTCGCTGATAAAACGTAGCCTTTAATTTAGTGTGCAGTAAACACTCATCATCATCAAGTCTCATCGCGCCTGGTACAATATCTTTGTCCACTGAAAATTAAAATTACTCAGCTTCCTGGTGGATTCTGTCTTAATATGTTTATGCCAGTGCATGAAGTGTAGTTTCATCCAATATATAGAATTAAAAAATAATTGTGAAATTCTGTAATCAAATTTCTTAGGATATGATGTTACTAGTCTTAGCATGGGAGCATTAATAGCTTTAGCATTAAACACAAGTGCTTTGAAAGACAGTCCAAGGGCTTAACTCCCTGGATGACGCATAGGTTACGTTCTGAATAGTAAAGATTACGTTGGAACCAAGTTATTGGTGCTCTGCTGCCTCTTAGATATTAAGAGTTATATAATTTATAGTGACGTTTATGGCAAACAGCGAACGTCAGATTCAAAATAGAAAATGTGCAGCTAAAAAAAGTAAAAAACAGTTGTTACTAATTTGGGGTGGAAGTAATTAACGATCACGTGGTACAAACTCATTTACCGTTTGCCGTAAAACGTCACTCTAAGTCTCAGTCTCCATTGTTTGCTGTTGGTAATATATCCCGAACCTCCCCACAGCCAGTGAGTCGCTAAGCTCAAAGACCGGGCCCGGGAGACAGCGGCCAGCGAGCCTAGTGACTCCCCCGAATTCCAGGGTTTTCCAGAGTTTAGTTTACAGTAATTTGTCAGGCCAAAACCCAAATTCAGTGCAATGTAGGAAAAAACCTATTATCACATTACGACGATTTGCCCTTGTAGGAGGGTCGAGAAGATGACGTTTCGAGCCGGCTAGACCTTCTTCAGAGCGAACCAGAGACTGTGCCGTATTTTGTGTGATTCCTGTATCGTTTTAAGCGATCTGGGCTTGTCAAAGGCCCATGCAGGAGTAGGGAGAGGGGGTAGAGTAATCCGGGGTTAAAAAGACGGGATAATCAGCGAGGGCTTTTTGGGTTCGATTCCGCGATTTTTTGGGTAGGAAAGTTTGGCAGTATTTTTTGGTTGGCTTGATTCAAGTAGGGATTTTGTTTGGGCAGATTCAAATCAATCTGAGGATTCGTGGTAGCGCCAGCGAATCCAGCCGCGTCGTTGTGAGAACAAAGTAAAACCAAACTTGTTTCAGCTGTTCAGTTTTTGCGGCTCTTTTAATTTAATATTCAATACTTTCTGGATATTTTTAAGGCTCAGAAATTCGGCATGGGATTTTTTTGGGGGGGTTAATGTTTGTTGGAGGCCCTAGGGATTTTTGGGGGGTTTTGATATTTACCCCCCTTCAATTATCCCTGTCACTTGAATTCAGCAGTATTTTCCCCCTGGGATCACAACGCTAGCCATATCGCTTCAAACGACAGTGAAGAACACAAAAAAAACGTTAAGTTTATTTCATTTGAATTTTATACCCCACGATAACCTAACGGATGAGGCGATATTTTTTTCCTTTTTTTAATATTTCCCATATGATCCCTTTTAATTAATAGCTACCAAACTTTATCCCACTTACAGTGAGCAAATAAAACCGCATAAAATATTGACGAATATATTCAAAACAAGCTGATTACCTCCTGCTTTTAAATGTCGAAAAAAAAATAATAACGCCTTGAAGGACATAAATTTAAATGATAAATATAACAGTGAAAATGAAGGGTGGTCTGACACGTATGACATTCTAAGGACTTTCTTTTCTGAAAAAAATAATAATGATGAAAGAATAATAATAATAATAATAATATATCTGCAACTTAGTTTTTAATGCAAAATTTTTAAGTATGGCGCTGAGGAAAAGCGACGCCGAGCTAGTTTCCATTTAAAAGCTGAAAAAAAACCTAGCATATAGTTTGTTCTTTGGCAACAACCAAACATCAGTAGTCCAAACAAATGCAGCTGAAAATTGAAGTGTTCTCTTTAGAGTATTAATAAGAGAACGAGCTACGCAAACAGCAAGAACAGGCAAGTAACAGAATTTAAACTAAATTGCCCAGAATTAGCGGTATTATGAACTTTATTATTTATATTCTTTTTACTTTTATAGTTCACTTTGACATTTTTTCTCTCTTCCTCTGTTTTACAATCTTTTTTTTTTCTAAAGGTGATGTCACACAGGACGATTCGCAACGACGATTTTTAGCGCAGCACAGCTTTGCAATAATGCTGTAACAATGTTGTAACCATTCGAAACAATGTCGCAACAATGTTGCAACGCTGCGCTGGGCTAAAAACTACTGAAGTAGTTTCTGACTACAATCCTCGTCAAAAATCTTGAAACAGTTGTGTGCGTTTCCCCCTCCCCAATGTTGATTTGGGTATTACAGTGGTCTCAGTGCTTCAAAATACGCGTGCCTCAACATGGGAGAGGGAGAGGGCACATTACAGTGAGAACAAAAGTGTGAGGAGTAAATCTCAAGAATTTTTTAGAAAATTCAAGAGAAGCGGTATCTGTTTCAACGATTTGTGACGAGTATTGTAGTATAAATATTGACAGCACCGAACATGACTGTGAGTCATAAAAGTGGGTATCCATAAATAATTAAACGGCAATTTGATTAGTATACCGGGAAAACAAGTTGTCACATCAAATTTGCGGATGTACCCAAGCTAAAAAGAACGCAAACGGTACAAGTTGATTCTTTAAAAACTAAATTGTTTTTCACTTTTATCACTTTGAAAGCGTTAGACGTGACTGTGAGAAAAAGGTTTTGAAAACTAGGGATCGATCATAGGAACCTTAATTAACAATCTGAAAGTGAAGTACTCGCCTTTGTATTGAAGTAGAAAGAGCATCGTACCGACTCTCTATACGTACCTAAAGAGATCCCGCAGCAAGAAGTACCACCAGCTGAGTCTTCTAATCTGCATTACTTGGTTCACCGTATGTATCTACTCTTTAAGATTATTTTCCCCCAAATAATTTCGAAAAATTTAACATCTTTCAAGGCTTAATCGAATAGAAAAGTCCAACTTATTAATGTTTTTCTTTTGAAGGCTGTTAAGTCATGAAGGCGCTGAAACAAATCTTCTGCATGTCCGTTATATCTGTTTTGGGCCAAGTGCACTGCGCAGTAGTAACTCCACAATGCCCGAGCAGTGGATACGAGATATCCATACTGGGTTGGATGTTACAAGGACACATTTACAAAACGATGGAGGCAAACTTCCCGCTAGGCTGCTTATTCGCTTGTAGAGAAGACGATCGATGCCAAAGTTTCAATTGGGTGATCTCTCGTCACTTGTGCGAGTTTAATAACAGAACAAAGGAAGCCAGACCTAAGGATTTCGTTTCAAACCCAGACAGATTTTACTTTAGACGATACAAAAACAGAGGTAAAAAGGTGTTTTAGACAATACTACCTAAGAAACGGTGAAGACCTTACTGAAACATTTGAAAACAATCAAAGATCTGTTCAGGTGTTGTGGCTGTTGTAAATTCACTTCAAGTACTACGTTTCAGTATTTAGGCCACGAGGACTTAAAGATTGATAAAGATTTCAGCGTCATTGCAACAAATCAAATTCCCCACTTTAGAAATGAGGTGGAAACTGGGCCTTTAACTTTCGCAAGGAAGTATGGGACTGCTCTGGAGACAGGGATCCCAGAAGTCTTTGCGAAAGGTAACTCGGGCCAGTTTCCTACCGTTTCTAAATAGGCGAATGCAAAACAGAGTTCAATAGAGAGGACAGGTCATTACGTTACGTTGCCATGGTAGCAACATTTCTGGATTACAACAAACCAAAATGTCACTTATAAAGTAGATTAGCACTGTTTCAAACTTCATCGATCTTATTTAATTTCACTTAATTTGTCAAATGTTGGCGACATTTTTAGGGTTGAATCCGAAAGGACCGTATCTAGTAAGTTTAGAAAAAGGAAAAAAACATTGTGTTGTGCTCACCTACTCCATAAAGCAGGCGAGTGAAATTAGGAAGTTTCGTGTCGCAGTCGTGGAACAACGGTCAAGAAATGTACAAAAAAGCGTGATGCACCTGCAAAGTCGTTTTTTATTGCGACTCTTCCCAAACCGAATTTACGAAAATGATCGAGAGCTCCACATGGTGGCGCACTGGTTTGCTGAAGAGATGACCCAAGCAAGAATCTCAAAATAACTAATTAATATTTCTCCAGGAAAGATGGGGACAAAAAATCCACCACAAATTAGCAAACACTTACGACAAATTAAAGAAGATAAAATCATAAGAATATGTAGACAGTGGCAGGTCGGAGTCCGGGGAGGTGGTGGGAAAAATTTTCAACTAATGGCAATAGCTGGAAGGGCCGCGCTAAACATATAACAAGTCTTTTATACAGAACTAAACACGTTCGATCTCCTGATTGGCCAGGGAACCACCGCCTGCACACTGCTGATAAGAAACGGGAAATGCCTCGAACTGAAATCACAGTATGATTCCATCTTCTCATCATAATGATTGTTTTTGCTGATATAAACCTATTGCTTTTTTGCTGTTCTCCGTCGCCGTTGCAAAAACTCCCTCTTGTTGCCATCTAAAAATTTTGCTACCACTGTAACATGACGTCACACTTCTCCTCTCTAAATCTGTTCTGTCTCTCCAGTCCCTCTCGGTTCAATTCCTGAACTCCCGGCTGAATCTTGCAAGGAAGTAATGGCAAGCGAAGAACAAGCGGTCAGCGGCAAGTACTGGTTATACACCATAAAAGAGAACATTCCTGTTCTAGCTCACTGCAATATGGAAACTTTCGGTAAGTTCTAAACTACACTGAAAATACCCCTAGAAACACACTGCAGGCTTCTTATTCCTAACCGTGGACATTTAATAGGCAGACTAACCTTTGCCTCTTGTCGATTGGAAAAGCTTAGGCACCATAAATATGGCGCACTATTGTGGCTGCGTTTTGAACGTTTTCGGCCTTCCATATTAGGGAGTTTAAGCAGCCACGTTTTTTAGCGACGTACGTCAACCGGAAGTGGACTTTTTCCGCTCTTGAGCCATGACTTTTTGAACAAATATTTGGGCAGATCGTCCCTATAAGAGTAAAGACACTTAGCAATACAAATTTGCTTGCGTCAAGGCATATTGCGTTGCAATGTTGGAACAGTGTTGTAACTATTCGAAACAATGTCGAACAATGTTGCAACGCTCTGTTGCGCTAAAAATCGGCGTTGCGAATCGTCCCGCGTAACATCACCTTTAGATTTATACACCATTCGAGACATTTTGAAAGATTACGTAAGTATGGGTCACTTGGGGTGTGTTGAATTGCATTATGTGACTGCTTTGAGAACGATTTGGACCCAGTTTCATGTACTATCCCATTAAAGCCAATAAAAGAAGAGCTGGAGTCCCAAAACTAACCCAGTCTTACACGAAATAGGTGTAGCCTGCGTGGCAGGGGTTAAAAGAGAAAGGGAAAGAGGGAATGTGGGCGCCCCCTCGTCGCGCGCCTCTTGCGCCCTCGCGCGCCCAAAAGTCTCCTTTCCCTTCCTCTTTTAACAACTGCCACGCACGCTATACACGCAACGTCGAAATGGCCACTATCATAAAGGACCACAGCTTACTCAATCAGAGAGACCATTTTGCAGTGTGAGACGGTATAATGCTTTCATTTAAGACAAAAACTCCCTTTGTTTAAAAGTGATAAACCGAATGACGTTCCTTTTCTTACTAAACTAAACTTACTGTTTAATACGCACACCAAAGGGAGGTTATATTCTAGAGCGTTTTTTTAACTACGCCCTCAAACTGGAAGTGAAGTCTTGCCGCTACACTGCAGATTTCTTTGGGTGAGTGTCTTTACCCTTATAAAATGAGACGATTAAACCCCTGCCCAAGAATGCATAAAGTTCCAATTCCAATTGACATGCATCGCCTTAAAACGACTTTGCTTTAGCTCCCTAATGACACACTAACATGACTGACATGCAAGTCGACAGTTCTAAAGTCCCAAATACCTGGACAGAAAATAGTACCTGCAATTGGACTTAATCGATAGAGTTATAAGTTGGTCTTTTTGCAACCGGAACTTGAGAATATATTCACTTCAGGAGGCTAAAGCTGTAGAAATTCGTCATCAAGGCTTATAAGTTCAGCGATTATGTCAAAGTCGAAACTGGACTATGAATTATTTCCGACGGTCCTGTAATCAGTTCATGAGAAGCGGAAAGCGAGCTCGGCCCATTTAATTTACGTCCCATTCTTTCTCGGGTCGCTTGCGGGTGACCTTCGACTGGCGAGCCAAAGAGGGACTGCTCGGAAGAGTACGTAGTCCAGGATACGTTCATTCAAGAGACTTTTTAACAACAAACGTCAACTTTTATTACGTTAAACACTGTTGTTTGTCTTATTTTTGATAGAAAAGATGACAAACAAAGTAAGCTAAAGTATTTGCTCATAAAAAGTTTCAGATTGCCCCAACTACCAAAATTTGACCAACGGTAACAGGAAAGTGTCCCACGGATCATCTTCACCTCTTTGTGATAATTTACTGAATGGATGGTATCGTTTCCAAGGTAAAGCGGGGACAAAAATGCCTTCGTCGTGCGTTGCTCCTTCCAAGTGTAGTGCCCATGCCACTGGCTGGCTTAACGGTACTCATCCGTCAGTAGAAGAAGGCAAAGTCACCAAAAAGGTCTGCTTCAGCTGGGGCTCAAACTGCTGCAGTTGGTCCATCAATATTGAAGTACTCAACTGCGGAGATTTCTTCCTGTATCACTTCAAAGGAACGCCCCCGGAACATCCATGTAGTCTTCGTTATTGTGGTACTGACTGAGGGAATCAAGGTTTTCGAATTCTCATTATTCAGGACAAAATGTGTTCAAACGCCAATCTTAAGTTCAGAATAGACAACCAAGTGGCTTTTCATACTAGAGGGAACTACTTACTATAGAATTTAGTGAATCTGAGAAGTAAAACGGTATGTTTGCCTAAAGTTTTACTCACAGAGTTTCAATCCTAATTCCTAATAGCTGGCTTGTTGGCTTGTTGAGTTATTTCGTTTTTTTGTGAGTTTCTAAAGAAACTGTAGTGTTGCGTCAAAGCTGAGAGAAATGCATCCACCACAATGTTCTCCCTGCTGCTAGAACACTCAGTCCTATAGTGCCTTGCACTTTCTCCCATTAAGTTGGAGTCCTGCTCTGGCTGCTTAATTCCTCCCCAATCTCTTAGTCTTTACGTACAAGTCATTGAACTTAGATGACATTAGTGCAATGTCATCTGCGAAATCAAGGTCCTCCAGTACTGTTGTGAAATTCCACTTTATCAATCTTCTCTTGTTTGCTGTTGCCTTCCTCAATCATGACCCAATCCAAGCAAAGTAAGAATAGGAAACCTGACATCACGCACCCCTGTTTTACCCCAGACTTGATCATAAACCAGTCTGATGTCAAACTCCCGTCAACTACCGTCTACAACAGCCGTTAACACTACATGTTGTTAAATATTAAGGCAGTAACTATTCTGAAAGCTCACTACTTTACAATGCGTCGAGGTTGTGACGCAATCTTTTAGAGGCTGTGACACCAACGTGTTTACTTTTGAAAGCTATTAATGTTTAAGCATGACGTTCAGTTTCATCCAATATATATATAGAATTAAAAAATAATTGCGATATTATGTAAACTAATTTCTTAGGATATGATGTTACTAGTCTTAGTATGGGGGTATTACTAGCTTTAGCATTAAATACAAGTGCTTTTTAATATGTAAATGATATACAGTCCAAGGGCTTAACCCCTGGCTGACGCGTCGGTTACCTTCTGAATAGTAAAGATTACGTTGGAACAAAGTTAATTACTGGTGCTCTGCTGCCTCTTAGATATTAGGAGATATATAATTTATAGTAAATTGGACTTCTCGTTCTTGATAGACCCCCGTTGATAATTTATAGTGACGTTTCCAGTAACGGATCCAGGGGAGGGGCCCGAGGGCCCCCCTCCCCCCTTATTTTTGGACCAAAATGAGGCCCGAAGGGCCGAAAAAATGTTTTGGGAGACCGTGCCCCATTGAGTTTATGGCAAACAGCAAACGTCAGATTCAAAAAAAAAAATGTGCGACTAAAACCAGAACAAAACAATTGTTATTAATTTGGGGCGGAAGTAATTAACAGTAAAGTGCAAGTTAAGAGAAAACATGGTCATGTGGTACAAATTCATTTGCCGTTTGCCGTAAAGTCTCAGTCTCCATTGTTTGCTGTTAATAATAGATCCCGAACCTTCCCACAGCCAGTGAGTCGCTAAGCTCAAAGACCAGGCCCGGGAGACGGCGGCTATCGAGCCTATTGACTCCCCCGAATTCCAGGGTTTTCTAGATTTTAGTTTACAGTGATTTCTCAGGCCAAAACCAAAATTCAGACCGATGTAGGAAAAAACCTATTTTCACATTACGACGATTTGCCCTTGTAGGAGGATCGTAGGAGGATCGAGAAGATGACGTTTCGAGCAGGCTAGACCTTCTTCAGAGCAAACCAGAGACTGTGCCGTACTTTGTGTGATTCCTGTCTCGTTTTAAGCGATCTGGGCTTGTCAAAGGCCCAGGAGTAGGGAGAGGGGGTAGAGTACTCCGGGGTTAAAAAGACGGGGATCATCAGGGAGGGCTTTTTGGGTTCGATTCCGGGATTTTTGGGGGTAGGAAAGTTTGGCAGAATTTTTTAGTTGGGGAACTTTTGTTTGGGCAGATTCAAATCAATCTTAAGATTCGTGGTAGCGCCGGCGTATCCCAACAGCGTAGTTCTGAGAATAAAGTAAAACCAAACTTGTTTCAGCTGTTCAGTGTTTTGCGGCTCTTTTAATATTCAATACTTTCTGGAAATTCTTAAGGCTCGGAAATTCGGATGGGATTTTTTGGGGGGGGTTAATGTTTGTTGGAGGCCCTAGGGATTTTTTTGGGTTTTGATATTTACCCCCATGCGATCATCCCTGTCACTTGAAATCCGGAGTATTTCCCCCCTAGGATCACAACGCTAGCCATATCGCTTCAAAACGACAGTGAGGAACACAAAAAAACGTTAAGTTTATTTCATTTTAATTTCATACCCCACGATAAGCTAACGGATGAGGCGACATTTTTTTCCTTTTTTTAATATTTCCCATATGATTCCTTTGATAGCTACCAAAATTATCCCACTTACAGTGAGCAAATAAAACCGCATAAAATATTGGCGAATATATTCAAAACAAGCTGATTACCTCCTGTTGATTAATTTTTCTTATGCTTTCAAATGTCGAAAAAAATTAAGAACGCCTTGAAGGACATAAATTCAAATGATAAATATAACAGAATAAAAATGAAGGGTGATCTGACACGTATGAAATTCTAAAGTCTTTCTTTTCTTAAAAAAAAAATAATAATAATAATAATGCATATATGCAACTTAGTTTTTAATGCAGAATTTTTAAGTAAGGCGCTGAGGGAAAGCGACGCCGAGCTAGTTTCCACTTTACAACTGAAAAAGCCTAGCATATAGTTTGCTCTTTGGTAGCAAAACAACCAAACATCAGTAGTCCAAACAAATGAACTGAAAATGGAAGTGTTCTCTTCAGAGTATTAATGTCACTATTCCGCTTGTAAGATACGCATGCAAACGTCACGCAAGTAAATAACGCACGCAGGCTAAGTAGACAACAACTCCATGATGGCGTACTAAGGGGGGGACACAGCCCTGTGGCAGGTTATAGCGACTTCGGGTTTTGCGCACAAAATAACACAAACCTTACTTGTCGCCCCACTACCGTGGGGTAGGACAAGAGTCTTGGCAGAGCCTTTCTTATCTCCCCAGCGCCGCACGGGCTGGATCGGACAAGATTAAGGCAAAGGAATAGCTCAAAAGATGGCAAGACACAAGCAATGTCAAAAGCTTGGGGGAAGTCGCAACGCAGACTTAACCGCCACAGATGCATGCAATGCATCCCCCCAAGCAACAACAAAACACTAAATAAAGTTCCCTGACACGCGAGCCATTTTGGGAACAGCAGAGAGCAAGACTGTTTCGGGAGTGCGAATATACAGCTGATAACAGTCCGAGGACCAACGACCTAAAACTTTTATTAACCAGTCTGGTAAGCCCGCAGCGGCCGCAGCAGACGCGGCGCCTATACGAAAACTGTGACCTTTTAGACTCTCGTATGGGAGTCCCGCACAGCGAGCAGAGTCCTGAAGTAAATGCGTAACAGAGGACCGAGTGAGAAGCCGACCCGACTGAAAGTAAAAAAGAGGCCCAGGCCGAGGCTGGGCAAGCAGAAAATACCGTTGCATCGCGGAAACGGGGCACAATAGAGAAGAGCACCGAGCTACAACGAGAGATTGCCCCTGTCGAAAACTGTCAGTTTTAGACGATTTAAGTTTGAGAAGCATGTGCTGCGGGCGAGCCAGACTTGGTGAGAAAATCACGCAATCAGTAGTGAGGTTAAACTGGGAACTAAAATTACGTGCCCCCGGGTACGTAAACTCGCTACAACGAAGAAAGGCAAAAAAGGCTAGGGTAAATGCCGCCCAGATCATAGAAAAATCCCGAACATCTAACCAGCTCTCAAGGACGGGACGGATAGCTAACAGGACCCGGGGGGTCACCGGCTGACGACTCATACGAGAACACCCCTGGTAACGAAGAATACCCCTTAAAATCTTTTTTAAAAGCAGCTTGCCCTGTAAGGGATCATCGTAACCTGAAACTATATGTAGATTCCTGACAGCTGCTAAATATATTTTGATTGTGCAATGTCGAACTGTGCGGGCTAAATAAGACGCAAAAAAGATAAGTGTCCCCTCCGAGGCAGGTAAAATATCACCTGTTGGAGATGTAAGTCTGTTCATAAGGCAAAATGAGATAAAACGCTTTTCTCCGGATGTATAGGTGCGTTTGGTGTTCCATGATAAGGTCCAGTTAGCGTACCTTAGAACTTCATCCTTCAGAGGGTCATGAACGAAGGACGGTATTGGGTGCGAGATCCCAGAAGCGTTTGACCTGGAAACGTGAGAGGGCGTCAGCAATTCCGTTATCTACCCCCGGAACGTGGTGGGGCCCGTACCAAGAAGTTGTGTTTCATGGAAATGAGAACCAAAAAACGGACCAGGTCCATCACCCGGGGAGCTTTTGAGTGACCAGAGTTGATAATAGCCACGACGCTTTCATTGTCGCACCAAAATTGAAGGCGTTTACCCGCAAAATGGGGGTACCAGAGGGCGCAAGTGATAACAATAGGGAAAAGTTCTTGCCATTCAATGCTAATCCCCGTCTTCTTGTTGATAAGGAGGTGAGGCGGCCAGTGCCCTTGGAACCATTTCCCATTAAAATACCCCCCGAACCCAATGGTGCTAGCGGCATCTGCGTACAATTCGAGGTCAGGGGAGGAGGTAACAAAGGAATCAAGGAAGAAGGACCGCCCGTTCCATTGGGTGAGAAAAACTTTCCACATAGTAATATCCCGTTGGAATTGCTTGTTCAGACGGATATGGTGAAAACGGCTGGGAACACCCCTGGTGAGATTGATCATGCGCTGGAGAAAGGTTCGCCCGGGGACCACTACTTTACAGGCAAATTGCAAGGTGCCGATAAGGGACTGGAGGTCCACTAGACGGGCTGAGCGGCGGGCACTAAAGGAATCAAGGAACTGATTAATCCGAGCTAGCTTATCCTCCGGCAGCCTAGCTTCCATGCGGGTACTATCGAGCACAATCCCCATAAATTCCAAGACTTGGGAGGGGCCCAGGGTTTTGGCTGCTACTATTGATACCCGGAGGGACGTGAACGCTTTTAAAAGGGTACTAAAGTTCTCT